GTTAGATCAACGCTGTAGATCCCATGTGCAACATTCAGACAGAAATGACAGAATAGCATGTATTGAATCCTGAGGGGAAGCCAGTCCCCAAGATTCTGATATTGAGCTGAGATGGCACATCACTCTCACCTACAGAGTGTGGAGAACAAGTATTTGGAATAACAGCTGAGTGCCCCATCTGAGGAATACATGAGAAAAAAATATTCAATCAACAACCTTCAAGACAGAGACTGAAAGTTGAGGAAGATGAATGAAAAGGAAGAGGAAGAGGAAAACTGTACCCTCGCCCCATGGCAGAATGACTGCGATTAGATACTGTAAATTTCAGAGCAGAACTCTAAAATGAATTTGTTTAAAATACTTTAAAGGAAAAATAAAAATATTTTGCACCAAAAAGTACTGAACTATCCCAGTGAAATTTAAGAGTTGGAAAGAATAGAAAGAAACGTTTTAGAGGTCTCCTCTAGAAGAGGAGATTAAACTAGAAATGTAACATAGATGTAAAGAGCTCACCCCATCAGGGACAGCCTGGAAGGGGGGCAGGTGAGAGTGTGGTGGTGACAGGAAGCAGCTGGGTCCGGCTACCACAGAGCTCTGAGGATCTTGTGTTTGATTGTGAGATCTGGAGGAGAGAGAGGAAAGAAGGGAAATGGGGAGAAAACAAGAACCTAGATAAATCATGTACAGTACAGATTCCCAATGATGAATGTGATCAGAATGAATACCTAAAATGTACCAATAAACTTAATGGAATCATTTTTAAAAAATGATTCTGAGGTCTGAGAAAGAAAAAGTACAAAAGATGTCTAAAGTAATGATAGAAAAAAAGGTGATGATGAAAACAACTTCACCAAAATGACAAAGTAAATTAAGTAGCAAAGATAAAGCAAGATATAAGGAAGTATAACAAAAGTAACCTGCCATTTACTGCATATTTTCTATGTACCAGGCACTGTAATAAATACTTTATATCATTTAATTACTACAAATTCACAAGGTACACAGCCCTATCCCCATTTTGCAGGAAAGGCCCAGGAGTCTAAGAGCTAAATGACTTCCAAGATCAGACAACCAAGTGGCAGTAATGCCAAGATTCAAGCCACGCCCTCCAGATTCCAAACCTCCATCCAACCAGCCTGCTCAGCACTCCCCACCCTGCACTTCCTGGTTCTGATAACCTGTGCATCAGTCTTCTTTCCACAGTACCATCCACTACCTCATCTTCCTTGAAATATCCGAAAGGGGTCAACAATTTTACTATGTGCCCAAAGTGTTACTCAATGTTAAATATTTAATAAGTATTAGGCGTGTACCTTGACTAAAAAACAGTTCCTGAACAAACGTTTTTGTTACAAAAATCATGTGTGTTCATTTTGGAAGACTGAAAAAGAGAGAAGTGAAAAGAAAAAAATAACCATCATCCATAAGAATACTAGCCAGGAAGTGGCGCTGAACACTGGTATAAATATTTGTCTTTGTTTTCCTGTGGCATCCTGATACATAATGAATATTTCACATTTTTTGTGTTTGGGACATTTTTGCAATGTAGTATAGAAATTGTTCTGCAATATAATTATTAGTGGTTGCATAACACTCTAGTGGATGAAGTATGAAATCATCACTATTGGCTGACTGATCGATTGATTTCAGGTGCTGTGCTAGGTACCTAGGATATCACATGGGAAAAACAAATTTGGCTACATTTTAATGGAGGTTTCAATCAAGCAAAGCGTTCCTAACAAGGAGTCTCATGAATGTTACAATAAGAATAATCAGCTAGCAAAGAAGTAAGGCATCTAACTCAGTCTTGATGGTCAGGAAAAACTTGCCAGAAAATATGAGTTTAACTAAGGTGAAGCATAAAGAGACTTAAAGGAAGTGTGTCTGTGTGTGTGGGGGTAGGAAAGGCAAGGGAAGGACAGAGTGGGTGTGCAGTTTCTGAGGTTCCAGCTGGGAAAACAGAAGTGCAGAGGTTAGTATGTACCGACAGTGACTCGGTGTGACTGGAGGTTTGAGGGACAGGGTGACACGCAGGCCCGGACCACATCATAAGCAGCCTTTAAGCCAAATAAACTGGAAGTGTTTACTTAAGGGACAAAGTATGGAAATAGAACACACAAAAGTAATTAAGAGACCAGAAAGGGAGGAGTAAACCAGGGAGAATGCAGTGTCAGAGAATAGTTTCCAAAAACTGTAACTGATGTCAGCAATATCAGATGTTACATGGGGTCAGGGGTTCATATAGGCAAGTTCAGAAAACTGTACCTTGGATTTTAACTAACTCCTTAGTAGTGAAACATTGAGAGTGGTTTCTCTGGTTCAAATCAAGAATGGAGTGGGACAGGAACAAATGGGAGTTGAAGTCAGGGAGGGAAGGAACAGAGTCCAATCTTGAAAAGCTTGTGGATAGAGGGTGTTGGGAGGTGTTATGGCTTCTATCTAGATTTTCTCCCAAAGCCTCATGTGCTCATAGGTGGGCTTTTCAGGGGTGGCTGGATCTAGGTTGTGTGGATATGGATTAAGGATGTGTGGTAACTGGAGTAGTCCACTGACTGGCTAACACTGCTCTGGGTGTGGGTAATGGGAAACCCTACCCTGGGTATGGGTGGCATCAACTATTAAACTACAAACAGAATAAAAAGGAAAGATATGAGGTGGCACTGCACCTGCCTCACAAGTGCAAAGTCCTGAGTTCGATCCGCAGTACCACAAAAATAAAAAGAAGGCAGGGTGCTGCTGCTTACTGCTTGCCATCTTCTGCCTGCCACACCATGATTGTTTCTGCTCTGCCATGCCTCCTGCCTTGGAGGCAGCTGACTATGGGCTAAAACTTCTACAAGCTGTGAACTACAATAAACCTTTCCTCCTTTAACTTTGAGTGTCAGGTATTTTGTGGCAGTGACACAGAAAGTAGCTAAGACAGGAGAAAAGGTGGTGGTTTAGGATACTTTTGAGTTTGTTTAGTTTTGGATGGAAAAGGATGGAAAAAAGTTGGTATGTGTTATGCACATGAACCAACTTCCCATGATGTATGTAATCATTATGTACAGCAAACATGTATTAATAAACTTTTTATAATATAAAAATAAAGTAAAAAATAAAAGGAACATGGAAAAGGACACACTGAGTAAAGAGGATGGAGGATATGCAAGGGAAGGTAAAAGTGCTGTAGCAGGATCCCTAGGGAGAAGACAGGATCTGGGAGCCAAGAGGTCGTTCTCTGGGAAGAGGAAGCTGGAGCTACGACCCAGGCTGGTTAGAGAGGTCGCCCTATGGGGCCAGCATGCGAGGAGCAGTGAGGCTTCTACAGCCTTTTCCCTACCTGCAGACTACCCGGTACTTAAAATACTATCATCAGCAAATCTAATAATAATGCTAGCTAGTGTGCACAACAAAGGAACATAGATGCTGTGACTGTAAGACATTTGATTAGTACCACACTTGTTAGATCCAAGTTTATTTCTTGAAACTTTATAAATAAGTTATCAGAGTTTGGAAAAATGAATTAACATTTAATACATTAAATGTTAATACATTTTTTTTATAACTTTTTTTTGTTTCTGGACATGAAGTATTTTTAAAGATGTAAGTATTTAACAGCATCAATTATAACTAAAAAATGTAATGCATATCTACATATTTCTCTTCAAAATTTTCTTTACCAATTTGTCACAAATTTTTTTTTTTATTGAGTTTATTGGTACATTTAGGGATACAGTACAGTTACGTTCATTGTTGGGATCATGTACCTTTACATGGCAAGTCTTGATTCTCATTTTTTCCCCTTACCTCTGCCCTCCCTTCCCCCCCTCCTCCCCTCCCCATCTACAAACACTTTATTTTCATCTTTTCATTCTCTCACATTTTTTTCTTTTCCCTTTTTGTTCTTCCCCTACGTATCACACCTTCCCTACACCTTTAGCTCCTTTCCTCCCATTTCTAAATGTCAGTAATCTTATTAGAATCTTATGCATTGTTGCAGAATATTCACACCAGGGAAACTATTTGGTATTTACACATGTGGGACTTATTTATTTCACTTAGGAGTATATCTTCAATATGTATCCATTTTCCTATGAATGAATCTATTCTCTCGCTCTTTATGGCTGAGTAATATTCCATTTTATAGAAAAACCACAACTTCTTTATCCAGTTTCCAACGGATGGGCAAATAGGTTGTTTCCAAGTTTTAGCTATTACAAACTGTGCTGCTATAAACATGGGTGCACATACTTCTCTGTGATATGATTCTTTTAGTTCTCTTGGAAAGATACCCAACAGAGGGATGGCTGGGTCAAATGGAATCTCCAGTCCAAGCTCTTTGAGGTATCTCCATATTGATTTCCATAGTGGTTGCACTAGTCTGCACTCCCACCAACAATGGAGGAGGGTTCCTTTCTCCCCACAACCCCGCCAACATTTGTTATTGTGTGATTTCTTGATAGCAGCCATTCTTTGTGGGTGTCACAAATTTTTTAAAATTCAGATTTTTTAAATAGGTTAGTAGACAAAAATAGTGTTACTTAAGAAATGTAGTTGTACTTTGTTTTTACACAATTTTTCCTGTTAATTTTACTGAAATGTATAAATAGACTATATGGTTATTATTTCAATTGAAATGATTAACTGGATAAAATTAATATAGTCCAAAGTACTTATACGTGTTATATTTATTGTAATCCACTTCATACATTATTCATACATAAAAATCATCCAGGGCCGGGGATTTAGCTCAGTGGTTCTGCCGCCTGCCTTGCAAGCATGAGGACCTGAGTTCGATCCCCAGTACCAAATAAATAAATAAATAAAATAAAAAATCATCCATATATCACATAGTCACACATGGTAAGTGACCAGACACTTAGATAAATGTATCCTGAGTATTCACAAACCTTTCCCCTTTTAAATGTACTCATATGAAAGCCTGGCTGAAAATAACTTAAAATCACACATCAAAATTGCACATTACTGAAATGCCATACATGTTTCAAAGTTCTTACCAATTCTCATTTTTATTTTGGCCAATAACATGACATGAGGAAGCCATATATTTTTTAAAGGCTGTAATGGATTTGCATATTCAGAATTTGATAAAGGAAATTCAATTGTTTCTCCCAAAGTTAGCATCTATAAAAGAAACACTGTAATGAGGAACTGGAATGAGAAAAAAACGAACAGAAAAGCAAGTTTTCTTAGTTTTGTGGACACAAAGGTATTCTCACCTGTTCAATAAGAATGTTGTGAGCCTGAGTCAAAAATTTTAATATTTCTGTTTTTGAGGAGGGAGACTGCTGCCTAAATTTCTCAGCTTTTGTTAGGTCATCCAGTAAAACAAGGCTTCTTGCCAGCGTTAACCAAGACCGAGGAGAAATAAACTCATTTCCTTCAAGCAAATGTATTATATCCTATTAAAACAGAAGTATTTTATTCAATAGCACGGTTTCCAATTTACAGAAACAAGAGGTGGCTGCTTGTTATGCCTTCAATACCCAAAATATTTAAACTCCTCTCCTTTTGTTCTAGTGGACTCTTTCCTAAACAATAATGTGAACATGGATTTCTGTGTACCTGAAGGTTTGTGATGATGTCGGCCTTTAGATGCTTTTCTTGCAGGCCAAGGATCACAGCCTGCATCAGAAATTCAGCCTCCATCTCCGTGTCATCAGCGCTTGTTGCCTCCACACACACTTCCTTGATGAGGCTCAAACAATCTGTCATATCGTTCTCTAAAATAAACAAGTGTGGGCGCTTAAAATGCACCAAGGAAGTAGGAACATATATACATGTATGTATGATGTTTCCAAGGTTCATTACAGGAACAGTGTAGTAAGGTTGAAGAACAAGAGATGTTAATATGGAAATAAATACACTCTCCATGAAATATTAAAAAGAAATGAGGTGAAAGTTGGAGGAAGTACTTTAAAACAGTCCAATGCTGCACGAAATATTTTCGTGTACTATTGCATGAAATAATTTTGTGTGGAAGATGGACAGAAGAGTGGTGAATAGACAAGTATAAAACAGATATTAATCATTGGCAAAAAAATTTATATGCACCAGGCTATTATCTGACTGCAGATGTAAGCCACTTAATTTTGACAATAATCTAGGAAGCAGGTCCAATTTTATCTATTTTACAGAGCAGACCACTGAAGTACAGAAAGATAGAGAAGAGACTCAGCCAAGAAATACTTGGCCAGGAACTGGTAGAAGCAACGTGTGAACCCAAATTCAGTGGCTCCAAAGTCTGTGCTCTTTACTCTGACACTCTGCCACCTCCCCAGATGACAAGAAGGGCTGGGGATATAAGTGTATTCTGCAATCTCCTGGCTGTTTTCCACTTCTCTGTGGCCTGCATGCCACTTTCATCGACACAAAGGACTGCTGGAAGCTATTATTCTTATTACATAACCTGGACTTTAAATTCCAGAAGCAGATCAAGCTAGAAAATGATAAAATGTAAATGTTATAATACGATATATCCGAACAAAACCCCTTCACCTACATACACCTGTGTTTCCCTTCACATGCATACACTTTTACGAAAACAACTGACTCAGAAAATGAAGCACTTGTACCTTTCACAATTCCGATGCCACGGATCTGCGCGACAAATGCAGTCACGAGTGCTAAGCGGCACCGCAGCCACAGATGGATATTGAAATATTCTCGGGCGTTCAAGGAAATCGGATCCAAAAGCTCATTATCATCTTTATTTTCTGTGACCTAAAAAAATATTAAAATGGTGGTTCTCTTCCCATTTCATAATGTCAAAGTTCTTGCCCAGGGCTAAATGTAAATCAAGAGAAGCATCCAGTAGCATTTCACAGTATTGAGTTTTTAAATTTAGAAATTATTCTTGCATGTTGTATAAAATAAAGAGACTGAGCCAATAAATCCTCTGGAACTACTGGGAGGGAACTACAGGGAGCATTTTCCTCTCAGTACCTAAGTTACCTTAAAATTCTCTCCTTTTCTTTGAACTGAAATCCTTCCTTAGGTATAAAAGTGAAGAAAGTGCCCTTCCTACCCAAGGGGTGTCACAACGGCTATCTTTAAATGTCTTTCTTGTGGGCCCCAGATTGGAGCTTACACGAAGAATTCAGCCTATAGCTGGAGTCAGTCACAGACACTTGGGAACATCAAATCTTCTAGAAAAACCCTATGTGTTCTAGAATTCCCTGCCGTGCATATACAGCAGTGCACTATCATCCAACCAGCCAGCAACACCTGCTACCCAGGAGCAGCTAATGGGACTTAAAGGGGGACAGAATGTGGACACAGGGGGGCTACAGGAAGACGGGGGTCAAGCCGTCCCTGGGAACAAGAATAAGCAGGGCACAGAGCCCACCCGCAGGATAGTGTGAAAGCCAGCCAAGTACTCTTGGCCTTCAGTATTTACATTAATAATAGGAGGAAAAAACACCCAGCAATAAAACCTAAACTCCCAATGTTTACATCTCCTGTTACTCATGGAAAGTCCAACTCCACTTCCAATCAGGATTTCTCAGCCTTGGGACACTGACTGACATTCTGAGCCAAGTAGTAATTGTTATGTGGTGGGAGAAGTCATTTTGTACATTACGAGGTGCTTCCTGGTGTCCCTCACCTTTAACCAGTAGATGCCAGTAGTACTTTCTCTGTCCGAAATAACCAAAATACCCCTGGGATTTCCAAATATTCCCTAAGAGGCAAAATCTGGTGGACGAGGAATGTTCTAAATCTGTCTCTGCAATTAGATTGCTGTTTAGTATTGCTATCAGTTTTAATGTAGTTAGAAATGAGTCTCTATTTAGGACAATTAGTTTTGCTAATTTGTAATGTTGTTGGATATTACAGTTTTTATTAGTGATGCTTGAAATAATGAGGACGATTTCTATGTGATGCATCTTTCTACTTTAATCCTAATGAGCCCTATATTATTAAATCATGTAGGCTTATCAAAGTCCAATCACAGGATGTGGGAACAGTTGTGAAATACATCTGACAGCTTAGACACGAATGCTCTATGGGGAAGCCAAAGAAGGAAATGGCACAGGTGTGTTACGGGCAATGCCCAGGTAAAAAACTCAAAAGCTACATGAAGGGCAGGTTTTGTGAGACAATTTCATTTGCTAGAGAAAACGTTTTAGGCTTACTACAATGATGTATCTGCATGAAATTTTAATGATTATATCTAATTCCATCAGGTCACAAACAAGATCACAATTTTATAAAAAGAAATTTAAGAGATTTTTGTTAAGGCATGCCAGTTAATAGCATAAATTCAACTTAAGCTTAGATCTCTCTTTTTTCTGAATTCAGTGCTTTTCAACTTTACCCCTTTACTCCATCCAAATAATTATATAATTAATTGCCTAGTGTGTCAACAGCTATTATGTATTAGGTACTGCAGGGATAAGCATTAATCCTTCAATGCCTAAGTGAGCCAGTTTTGGAAACCCCATAACAGTGAAATGTGATGCAATGTTTTCTCTTCAAATCTTTGTGTCTTGAATTTTCCTAGGTAATATATATGAATTTCATGCAAAAAATCAAAAAATTTCAATCTTTGGCATGTATGGGTTAAGTTCATACGTACGGAAGTTCCTGAAGAGATGGGATTCTCCGCATCATCCTGTACTACCTTCTTTTTAAAAAGTTTTGAATCTTGGAGAAGTTTAAGTGTGGAATATACTATTGCAGCACTACAAGAAAGAATATGTTTTTAATGCTATTATTATACTTGTAGCATTTATATATTATTTCCTAAATATTTGCTCCAAAAAAAAATTCCAGTTGGAATTTTGTCACTTGCAACCAAAAAACCCTAAAAATACATGAATTCGCAGCAACTTTACATTCATTGTCACAATTCACATGCCTTTTTATTCTACTATTTTATACTTTCTATGTTTATATTTTTTCCTGTGTTTTATGTCTTTTGCTATAGACAATTTTGCTTTTATTTACCACATTGATTTTAAATATATATATTCTGGTTTAGATTCTAACAGCATTTATTTTTAATGTTTGCAGAAACACACTTCCCCACTGGTCAGTTTTTTAAAAACAGTTTATCTGCTTATCAAAGTATAAAATGAAATAAAAACGAAGATAAAGAATTTAGTATTCTTTCATTACCCTATCTCTTCCCCACCTGCTCGATTACTACAATCTAACAGGTCATTACAATTACTACCTTTGTGACTGGTTAGCTTTTTCAGGATCAGTTTGGAAACATGCACTCAGTTATGCAAACATCATTATTTAGGTTGAGCACAAACCTATCACAAGCCCACCACCAATCACTTTTACAGAAGAATTTCCTCATTCTTAAATTCTTAATTATGAAATTCATCTCTTTCCTTGGCTGAGTGCTCCTTCAAATCTTCACACAGTGTTGGAATACTTGCACAGGTTTTTGGACAGTGAACTCCTGAGCTAGGCTCTTAATAGCGGTGGAAGGCCATATCTTTTTCCCTTCTTCCTAGCCAGCTCGGCTGCTCCTTGCAGGAGGAAAGAGGATATAGATTCTTACTCTATCCTCATTGCTGGATGCTATTTGAGAAAAGGAAAAAATTTCCCCACTTCTTGAAGAAGTTTATTACCTTTAATTTTTAGTACTTTGAAGGCTTTCGTATTTGTTTGTTCATGGATCCTCATGTCTTTAAAAGGGAAAATGGAAAGGAAGAATTCTCAGGAAATATCCTGATGGCACCCTAAGAGGGAAATCTCTATCGTCACTCATTCCTTTACCTTTACTTTACAAGGGGATACATGTTTGTGTTTATACACTTGTTATAATATTTTCTCTTGGTGGAAAGACATTTCTCACTTTCAGCATTTTTATCAGTTTTGTCAATAACTACAAAATAAAAATGATATGAACTATTTTTCATATTTTGCTGTTTTCCTATGTATCATGATAAAGGTATCATGGTTATCTAACCTTATTGCTTTTTACTTAAAATAAAACTAACCAAGCAAGACAACAACAACAAACACAACTCAGACACAGTGTATATACAGACACAGAATTCCCTCTCCCATCTGTCTCCAGCCCTCAGTGTTACACACGTTTCTAAGTACGGCACCTTGTTACTCGGTAGCTTCGAAGGCTGGTGCTTCAGAGCACTCTGGAAGAAAATGATGCCCAGGCTGATACTCTTAGGCTGGAGTCAATATTCTGATTTCAAGGGAAATGAAGTATGATGTTTGACACCTTGCCAGCCCCAAAACTTAGTGGGTAAAATATAGGACACTAGGGTGTTATAATCTACCTGGCAGTGCTTAGTTGCTGTCTTAGCCTGTTTTCTGTCAGTATAACAAAATACCTGAGACTAGGTAACTTACAAAGAATGGCTGAGCTCTGGAAGCTGGAAATCCAAGAGCATGATGCTAGCACCTGGTGAGGGCCTCCTTGCTGCATCGTAACATGCCGGAGAATAATGCGGGAGAGACAGCCAGCTTGCTAGGGTCTCTTTTTTTCTCTTTTAACAAAGCCACTAATGCCATGATCACAACCTCGCCCACATGACCTCATCCAACCCTAATTACCTCCCAAAGGCCCTGTCTTCAAACACCATTAAGATAATGCCTTTGGGAATTAAGTCCCTTACACATGAATTATGGGGGACAAACACTCAAAGCACTGCAGGTGCACAATGGAAAATTCCACTTTCTCCACTGTAGTGCACAGGGTTACCTACTATCAACAGCCCAAAACCCCAAAGGAAGGAAGCTTCATTCTCACACAAAATTAAATGTTTAAATATTTTCTATTAGGCAATAAATTAAATACAAAGGAGAATAGGAGGAAACACTTATTAAAAAAAAAAGATTCTGACAGAGAGACAGAGAGAGAGAGAAAGCCCTCAGAAGTAGAAATATAGTGTGGATAACTTTGATCCCATTTATTTCTTATTAACATTCATGACAAAAATGGTCAGTTTGTTCTCATAAAATCCATGCTGCTCACTCTACCTGTCACCCTAGGGAATGTGCCTTTCAATTTCCTTGACACATAATTTTATTAGAAGTATCAGGAAATGTCAAGCTAACCATCATTTGGAAAAGGGACTGTCCAACACTCTCAGCAGTGTCCAAACAGAAGCTCATGGGGGGTAAAGTTCACAGAGGAAAAACTCATTCAGCCTGACAGTAGGCTTCCCCCAAATGACAACTCTGCTCCAAAAAGGCAGCAACATTAGTTTTTGCAGGTTTTGTCCCAAGGGCCAGGTTCATGTATTTAAAGAAGGAGCATTTCTGACATACTTGCACATTACTTGCATACATCTATCTGGTCTTCAAATTAAAGTTCTATTATGACAATCCTTTCTGTGGACAATTTGTAAGTTTTAGTTTCTCATTTCCTTTTTACTCCCTGAAAAAAATCACTCATATCCTCCATTCCAAAGGAATGTAGGATACAGACAGAGTGGAGAAACAGTGATGGTACACGACAGAAAAAAAAAAAAAAAAAAAGTATCTGAAGGCTGTTGTTACTTCAGAGCCATAGTTTGGAGAAAAAGAGTTCTGTAGAAAATGGTATCTTAGGAGTTCCTCTGCTTGGAAACTCTAACAGGGAAAACGATTCTTATTTTGGAATAGGATAAGCCCTTTCACCATTAATAAATGACTACTGTCCTCTAAGATCTGATAGTCCTCTAACCTGGCAAGCTTCATCTCACCATCCCTTCACATACCTGAAAGTTATTTAGGATCCCTAAGAGTTTTATACATATTTACCATACTGGAAAGTAAACTGAGAAGTTTTATTTTGTTTTTTTTGTTGTTGTTGTGTTTTTTTGAGACAGGGTCTCACTATGTAGTTGAGACTGACCTGGAATTCACTATGTAGCCCAGGCTGGTCTCAAACTCATAGTGATCCTCCTGCCTCAGCCTCCGGAGTGCTGGGATTACAGGCGTGCACCACCATGCCCGGCTAAACTGAGAAGTTTTAAATGTCTTCACTATTTAACTCATCTCAAAATAAAAATAATGAATCCATTACATGTTAATATAAATAATTTATATGCAAAACAACTGTGTTTTCTTTAAGAAGTTAGAAGAATGACATTATTCTCAATGTCTGGCTTCATAGGAGACTATCCAATTTCATATCTGCTTGAACACTTAGGCTGTCGAGAAATATTATTTTGGGTGGAGTATGAAAAAGATGAGGCCTCACATAGGTAATTTTTGGAAATGGGAGGACAATTTTAATAGTATCGTTACATTACTATTTTTACTTTATTTTTTTGTTTAAGAAAAATTTTTTATTGCTGGCATATACAGACAAGATTTTAAGTTTTTTTTTCTTCATTGAGTTTATTGGTACATTTTAGGTATACAGTACAGTCACATTCATCATTGGGCTCTTGTACCTCTACATGACAGGTCTTGGTTCTCATTTTTTCCCCTTGTTCCTGCCCTCCCTTCACCCCTCCTCCCCTTCCCCTTTACAAACACTTAATTTGTAGGGAAAGTGGGAAGGGTAGGGGAAAGCTAATTAGGGAAAAAGAAAAAGCTAATAAGGGAAAGAAAGAAATATGATAAAAAACTCTATTTTTATTTTATACTATAGTATTCAGCTTTCCTGTTACTGGGACACAACTCCCAACTTCAAGGAAGAAAGGTTTCATTTTCTCAGTTTCAGGGAATTCGATCTGTGGCTGGCTGGCTCTGAGGCAGAAAGATCGTGGCAGAAGGGCATGGCAGAAAAAAGCTGCTTAGCTCAGGGTGGCAGGAAGCAGAGTAGGACAGTGGCAGGGAGGAAGGCGCCAGGGATCAGATACAATACCAAGGTCGTCCCTTCGTGACCACCCAGACGTGTGGTGCTCCAACCCCCCGCACAGCTCCCAAACTAAACCTGATTCTGCCAAGATTCACTGTCACAACACTGTACCAAAATGTGATGAGGGACGGTTTCTCTACAGTTCGTTCCCATGTAGAACTGAATTTCCACATACTGATAAACTTGTCCGACCTCCCACTGCATTTAAATCTAGTGGTCTATCTCGCTAACTGATTTCTTTCTAACTCTTTTCACAGGTCATACTGAGGAATTATCTCCCTGAGTTACACAGATACCCCAAATGGTGAAGTATTCCATAATATAAGTAAAAAATATTTTTGTGAATATTCTCATTCTTCTCATCAGAAAAAGAATAAACACCAGCAAACTGTCAAGCTCATGGCGGCAAATACAAATTGTCCAAAATTCCAATTTTCCTATGAAAGTTCAAATTTTATCATTGGCCACAAACATTATCAGTTGTCTGCCTATGTGTGGTATGCTCATTTCTAAGAAAATGTCTGCCGAGTACCCAAAGCTGAGTAACCACAGTCTGTCAGTTATTTTTTTTCAAACAGAGATGGTTTTTCAATCACCGTGTGTTCTTTCTCAATCACCATCAACTTTGATACGCAGCAGAAATGCCGAGGAATACTTCGTACTTCCTGTTCAGGGTCCCCACCAACCATGTCAGGTACATTTAAGCATAGCAATTTATAAGTGTGAGGAATGTTTCACCCTGCTTCATTAAAGACATTCTTAAATACAATTGTTTTTTTCTTAAATTGTGAGTGTGGAGGGTTAAAGACTACAATGACTGCTATGATAGTTTGCTGCCACAGCCTCAATTCATGGCGAGGCATCTGTTTTTCCACTGTTGCCTTTCACCATCAATGAAAACAATACACTGAAGAAGGCAAATGGTGTCTATTTTAACAGAACAGATACTTCCAGCTCATAGACCACCTACTAAATGGACCCGAGACACAGCCCTAGAGAGCTACAGACCACACATTGAGAATCAATGCTCCAAAGAGAGTTTGTGGGTTCTTTTTCTACTGCTTAGAAACCACAAAAATCATAAATTCCCCTAAACCTATACTCCTATAGTATAAAATCAGATCCAGATGTGGTTAGGGTTAGGGTTTGGGTTAGGATTACAGTTACAGTTACAGTTAGGGTTAAGATTATTCTTCAAGTACGTTTATCTCTCTCTCTCTCTCTCTCTCTCTCTCTCTCTCTCACACACACACACACACACACACATCGATGGTACAAGAAAACTCACTCAGCACATCATGAAGCTGCTCAGAAGAGCAGGCTCTTGGAAAGGTCAGAAATGTCTCGACAGAACAAAGAGACAGATTTGGGGCGCTGGGGTTGTCATGGGACAGGTTTTGTAGGGCTTAAATTTCTCACCAGCACCAAAGTAGGGAACAAACGGTCTTTCTTATTTGCCCAGGTGGGGTCAGGAGAAGAGCAGTGGTGCAGCTCATAAGCTGTTAGCCACTAAACATACAGACTCACACATTTTGTTATAATTGCATGGTTTTAAAAATAATTCCCTCTTGTCTCCCCACTCTGCGCCTGATAGTCTTCCCAGAGCTAAGCAATTATGACCACGCTATGTAATTGACTTCTATTTATAGTTTCTATCAGCCTGCTTTTTACCTATGGAAATATAAACTTCATGAGTTTAAGACTTCATCACTATTATTATCTGTTCTCCATGCAACCACTGGGGCATGAATGTTTCCCAAGAACTTACTTAGGACACTACCTAGCATATAATAAGTGCTCAAAATTGTTTTTTAATGAATAAATAAATTGCAAGAAACCAGGACATTATTAAATGACTCATGAGCAAACACATCAGAGGACCTCGTGATAGAAGTATTTAAAGCAATGGTATGGGAAATTCTTCAAAGTATACTTCTATATTATTTATTATTAAAAAAATCAATGTAAATATATTATTTTTTACTGCTCTACCTAATTTTTATATGTCTGTGAGCATATGGATATCAGAACTATATTCTGTTCATCTTTGTAGTCTCAGTGGCCTGGATCAGGGCCTGGCAGTGAAATCGTTAATGTGTAAATAAAAGAATTAATGAATAAGTCAAATAAAAGCTCTGATACTAACAACATTAAACAATCTGCCACCTACAGCAGCTTTTTTAATAATTCAGCACAACAGTGGGATAATATACGAAGTCCTTGGAACATGCTACTTTTTCTAAGTATAGCTTTTTAGTATTTTTTATTTGGATGTTTAAGAAATAAACAGGCCAAAGTCTTTATTTGTAAAAACAAAACAAAACAAAACAAAAAAGTATAAAGCATTTAAGTTCAGTCTTTTAAAAACATAAGTTAATTAAAACCAAACCACTGTTAATTTGTTCATTCTATATATGACGTTAAACATCCAAGTTAGTGGGCTTTAATAAAGCACTTTCAGTTTAGAAATGCAACTTTAGGTGTAAAAATGTACGAAAACTCCCCTGAATAATAAAAAGCCCCATGGATCTTGGCGTTTCTAACACATTAAATATGAGTGTATTTAACAAATATGGATGAGCAACTTCCAGGCGGCACCAAAGGAGGGCGCCCCTGGGCTTCCCAGATGGGGAAGGGCTCCGGATGCCAGGGCCCCCAGGAGACTGACCTGTATGCCGCCTGGTGCCTCTGTAGGGCAATTGCCGCCAGCTGAAGCCTGGCTTCCACCACAATCTCCAACTCGCCAGCAGGGCACTGGGACAGGTTCTCGTGGCCAGCATGCTCCGCCTCAGACACGAGGAGGTTCAGCTTGTCTTCTGCTTCCATCAGTAGAATAGACTACAGAGAGAAAACCATAGAGTCACCTCCATTCAGAAACGATGTCTCCCTCTTATCAAATACTGTTCGCGTACTACAAGGTAACAGTGAACGGAAGGCCAGACAGGAAATCTGCACCCAATCATCAGGAGAGAGAACTCAGTGAGCAAGAAGGAAACAGAAAGCGAGAGAAAACACCACACCAGAACACAATCACGGACAACAGTATCCTTTACAGTATGGACAGCTGTGCTCCTGACTAGCAGTAGCTCTACCAAGTTCTATAAACTGGTGCTTGTTTCTGCAAACCTCTGGTCACCACGTTTGCATAAAATGATCAACACCTCGCCTTGCTTAATGTTTACTTATATTTAAGGAAACAGTATATATTTTTGATATATAGATAGAGATAGATATACATTAACTCTGGATTTACAACCCACAATACTACAACTTACTTAGGGCTGAACAAAGCTTATGTAACACATGCATTTTATCTGTAAGGCACAGCAAAACTTTCTGGCACTTAGAAATACTAGGTAGCACTTACTAGAAATACTAGAAATAGAAATAAATTCAATTTAAAATTTAAAAAAAAAGAAATACTAGGTAGCACTTAAACTCTATGGTTAGGTAGCAATTTAAACATCAAAGTCATCATGAAAAGTAGCACAAAATGACATATAGGTTGAGTATCCCTAATGCAAAAATCTGAAATCCAAAATGCTCTGAAATAAAACTTTTGAGCACCAACAAGACACTCAAAATGTTTCATCATATCAGAGCATTTCATATTTTTGGATTTTTAGATTAGGGACACAACCAGTAAAGTCTACAAAAATATTACAAAATCAAAAAACTCAAATCTCCAGCTCTTCTGTTCTGAAGCATTTTGGAAAATGCATGCTCGGTCTGTATGAAACAGACCAAAAAGTTTAAAAAAAGACACTTGGAATTATGAACTAAAACAAAAGTCAGGGTGTCATCTTGTTCAACTTGGCTAGGAATATATACTTTGGGCAACTCAATGTTTGCTGTCTCCTGGTGTGTCCATAAATGATAAAAAATGTGCCAAGAATATTGATTCTGAAGTTATAAATAAATTTTAGCAGGTAAGCTAATTAGCAAACAAAATTCACAAATAATGAAGATGGATTATATTTCATGTTAAACTTTGGTTATCTAATTGACAATATGAAGACAATGAGATTTTATAGTAGACAATCAATAGTAAATAGCAACTGGACTTGGCAAAAGATAAAAAGACCAAACAATCTTTCAATCAACAGGTCTCTAAAAATTTGTTGTACAAGTAGTGAACATCATACAAATTCTAGGGCAATTTAATAAAATAGCTTAGAACATAGATTTTTAATCAAAAAGACATAGGTCCTGCTCCCAGACCTGTATTTCATTACATGCATGACACTGCTGAATTTCATATACTGTCTCAGCTAATTTTCTCATGATCCAGTGCTGCATAGTTAAAAATGATTAATAACTATATCAGAGAGTTGTGAAAATCAAATAACCATGCAAAATACCTCTCATATAGTAAGCACTTGAATAAATGGTGGCTGCTAGTATCACCACTGTCATCACTATGATTAGGACATGAGAAACAGGGCATGGAATACTCAGACCTCACCCAATAATAAATCATATCTTCTGCAGCACCTTCATCAGGTTGCAGAATCAAGCCTGACACGTCTGGGTATCTGCTTTTCTCAGGGAGAGTTCATTCTATCTCTGGCCCCCACCCATTCTTATGCATGAAAAGCTAGAGCCCAAGCACCACCCTGAAAGTGTGCCTGACCAGGGCCTAAGTGTGTGTGTTTTGATCACTGATTCACTATGACTTGAACAAATTTTCAGACTCACCTTTATCATGCTAAGAGTAGACTCATCTTTAACTTTCATAAGCGGACAAAATGAGCCTCTGTCATCCTTTAAATGGAGCTCTACAAAGACAAAAAATTTTGGAAACACCAAGAATATCTATAGTTACTTTACATATTAATTGTAATGGCACTGATGAGAAACTACTCATAAGCTCAATTAAAAACCACAATGATCAGTAGAAACATATTCTTATATCAAAATCAGATAATTTTAAAAGGATCTTTTGCATGCTAAATGATGTTATTCAAGTTGCTAAGTACTGATATAAAATAGTGGTTTCTCCTCTGGGGTCCCAAACCTCTTAAAATCCACAAAGTATTTTGAGGCTTCCAGATGTTTCTTTCATGTCAACAACATGTCCTTGGAGGCATCAGATCTGTTTACATGCATGAGCCCCTCAGTTTAAGAGCCAAGAGTGAGGACATTCAGAACAGCATGATCTGTAATACTCAAACATCTTTCAAATCCTCACCCACAGCTAAAGTCTGCCCTTATTCTAGACCAAAAGGAAGTTAAACATTTTTCATCACAATCTTTGCCCGCTTTCATTAACCTGGCTTCTAGGCAACAGAAGAAAGTGAATCATCTCACTAGAATCTAGTGCAAGAAATATCCACCTACAGAGACAAAATGTGCCAAAGGGAAAGATTCTTGAAACTTTCTGGAACGTAACGCACTGACTTTTCTCTTCTAGTCCCAATCTCATAGCTACTCTCCTGAATTAGGACACTCTGGATTTGAGGACAAGCTAAGTATAAAAGGAGACCTGGGCATTTTCTCAGAAACGTACTGTGTTGTCCATGGAGAACAATTTCTGGAATGAGAATATGTGTGAGCTCTAAGAACCCACTCCACAGGGAAACTGGTGAAAATTAGGTAAGAAAAAAGTATGCTTAAAATCTCTGGAAATCCAAGAACATACAAGTGACTAAAGCAAATGAACTACTTCATATACAACAGAGTATGGAGAAGTTCAAATCTAATCATGTTCTCAAAAATAGAGTTTATGATAAAATTATTAGAGGAGATTGATAGATTCATTAGATGTACAGGTGAAATCCTGTGTTGGCTATTTTGCAGGAGAGGACTGGAGAAGAGAAAGCTAGGAAGAGACAAAAATTATCAACTTGATAAATCAGGTAAAAAGAAGAACAGTGTCAATGAACATGAGATGTTATTAAGCACACCAAATATACAAAATGGGAGTACAAGAAATAACAGGGCAAGGGAAGGAAAGGAGAAAATATTTAAAGACATAATAGCTAAAATACTTCTCAAACTTATTGTAAAAATATTAATCTAGACATCAAGGAAGTGCAACACACTCCAAGTAGAGTAAATAAAAGGAGAGCTACAAATAGAACATTACAGAAATATGCTGAAGGTCAAGGATAAAATAAGGTTTTATTGGCAGTACTGGAGATTAAACCCAGGGCTTTCACACTGAGCTCCATCCCCAGACCTATTCTGAGAGAGGATACCATTATGTTGCCCAGGTAGGACTCAAATTTACAGCCCTCCTAACTCAGGCTCCCAAGTGTTGAGATTATGTGAAGAAAAAAAAATCTTACAAGCAGTACAAAAAAACAACAACAAAAAAAGTCTTGTCACTTTTGAGCAAATCCCAATAAGATTAATTGTTGACTTCTCTCAGAAACAATGGATTCCAGAAGGCAGTGGGGTAACATATGAAGTCCTCAAACAAGAAAACTGTCAAGAGTCCTACTTTGCAAAACTGTCGCTCAAAAATGAGTGCAAGATACAGAAATCCCTTGAATTAAAAAAAAGAAACAATGTTTGCTATCAGACACCCATATTAAAATATGAAACGATGTTTTCAGGCTAACAAAAAGAGACCCTGTACAGTAATTAAAACCCACATGAAAACACAAAGAACACCAATAAAGGTGATTTGGTTATCAAGGAAGGTGGTATAAATGTATATTTGTTCTCCTTTCTTCTCTACCCCGAATTTAACAAGCAACTACATTAAATAAGTATAAAATGCATTATTGGATTAGAAAATAGAGAAATGCAATGTATTTAATAATTACTGCAGAAATACAGTGGGTGAAGGCTGTACTGGACTAAAGAAATGTTTCCAGAAGGTAACACAGACCCACAGGAACAAATGAAGAGGACCGGAAATGATAAAGAGGAGGAACAGGTAGGTATATACTTGCTCTTCCTTCTTCTTTTAGCTTCTTTAACGGTCATAAAATTAGAAAGTAATAGTTTTTAAAATGTATTATTGGCTTTGGAAGCACACACTGAAATGAACAAATGGAAAAGCTATCCCATGTAAACTATTTTTTGTCAATAAGAGTAGTGTGAAATTAAATAAATACAAAGAAAATCTCAGAAAATTTACAAGTATGGGGAAATTAACTTAACATGCCCCTGAAAAACCATTTAATTACAAATGAAAACAGTGATATTATTGCTAACATTATAAAAATACACAGGTTTGAGCCAGGATTTAGCTCAGTGACATGGCACCTACCTGGCAAGCGCAAGGCCCTGAGTTCGATCCCCAGTACCAAAAAATAAATAAATAAATAAATGAATAAAAAATACACAGGATCATGAAAGACTATTATGAATAACTATATTCAGACAAGCTGTATAATCTAGAAGAAAATAATAAATGCCTAGAAACATAGTTTGCCACAAATGAATCATGAAGAAACAAAAGACTGCATACCAAGAATGAATAAGATTAAATCAGAATAAAAAAACTTCCATCAAAAAAGCCCAAGATTAGGGCTGGGGATTTAGCTCAGTGGTGCCACTGCCTACCTTGCAAGTGCAAGGACCCAAGTTCAATCCCCAGTACCAAAAACAAAAACAAAAAAAAAACAAGAAAAACAACAACAGAAACACCCAAGATTTGATGGCTTCATGCTGAAATTTACCAAAAAAAAAAAATACAATTAATGCCTACCCTTCTCAAACTCTTCCAAAAAATGGGAGAGGAAGAAACACTTGCAAACATGTTCCACATAAAAACGTCCTATCAGGATGCTGCCAAAAATAAGATCATAGGCCAACATCCCACATGAATGTAGATGCAAAGATTCTCAACAAAATATTAGCAAACCAAATTCAACAGCACATTAAAATGATTATACATCAAGTGGGATGTATTTTGGAAAAGCAAGGATTGTTCAATATATACAATCAATATAATACACTATAATGGTGGAATGAAGATTAAAAATTATACAATCATTTTAATTGATGCGGAAAAGGCACTTGATTAAACTCACCATCTTTCACAATAAAAACTCAACAAACTAGATATAGCAGAATGTCCTCCAAAAGGATAAATGCCATATATGATAAGCACACAGCTAGTATTGTAAAAGTGGTGAGAAGCTGAAAGCCTTTTTCTCTAAGATCCATTTCAACAGAAGGATGCCTATTTTTTCCATTTTTTTATTCACCTCAATGTTGGAAGTCCCCAAACAATTACACAAGAAAACAAAATAAAAAGTATCCAAACTGGAAAAGAAAAAGTAAAACTGTCTCTGTTTGCAGATGACATCATCTCATACATAGAAATCTCTAAAGACTCTACCAGAAATAAAAATAATTCCTGACAAAACAAATTAAATTGGTAAAGTTTGTAAAGTTGTAAAATCAACATACAAAAATCAGCAACATGGGGCCGGGAATTTAGCTCAGCAGTTCCACTGCCTACCTCACATGTGCAAGGACCCAAGTTCAATCCCCGATACCAAAAAAAATCAGAAGCATATCTTTTCATTAGCAAGGAACTACTTCAAAAAGAAATCAAGAAAAAAGAATCCCACTTACAATAACTTCAGAAAATACTTAGGAGTAAATTTAACCACAGAAATGAAATATCTATACACTAAAAACTATAAAGTATCAATGAAAAGATTGAAAAAGATACAATAATTGGAAGATTGCATGTTCATGGGTTGTAAGAATTAATATTGTTATAATGTCCATACTACCTCAAGTGATAAACAGATTTTTTTCTTCCTATATCAGGGATTGAACTTAGGACCTTGTGCTTCTGAGGGGGCAGGCACACTACCACTGAGCTAAATCCCCAGCCCAAGTGATCAATAAATGTACTATAGCTCCTATAAATATCCCAGTGACAATAGCGACAGAAATAGAAAAAAACATCTAAAATTTGTATAGAACCACAAAAGACCCCAAATAGCCAAAGCCATCAAGCAAAAGAACAAAACTAAAGTCATCATACTCTAATTTCATTATAAAGCTATAGTATGGTATTGACATCAAAAAGACACACAAGCCAGTATGAACACACTTTCTTTATGCAAACAAACCATCCAGAAACCACATTCCCACCACCTTCTTTATTGGCCTTTATACTCCAAGCTATTCTTCTTCGGCCCTACTCAACCCAAGTTGGGTGCCACATAACTGGAGACAGCCACTAACCCCCCACAAAACCCTGAAATTACCCAAACCAGCCAGCACTAAGCCTGCTTCCCCTGCCTCACCTGTTTCTTCTACGGAATCTACTGTAAAGGGCCTTGCCCAGAATTTCCTCCTGCTCCTGCCTCCTGGGGGATACGAAAGCTTTTTCCTGTGCTCCTCCCGCTGTGGAGTGGCATGCCCTTTCTCTCAGAAACTGTACAAATCTTTCTAATGTCTGGCATCCAATCTGTTGGCCTCACCATACCTGAACGTTAATAACATCTATCTTTTAAAGCAGAAGATAATATGAGTCTGATATCAAAACCTGACAAAAATATTACAAGAGAAGAAAAATCACAGATCAAGAACTCTTATGAGTATAAATGCAAAAATCATCAATTCTAGCAAATAGAGCATACTATTCTATAAATCTGTGACAAATTCTATTAAGTGCGGGCATATAAATATGTATGTGTGCATGACTGTGGTATATACAGATAGAAATGTATGTACTAAGATATAAGTACATGTGTCTCATTATATGAGCCTAGAGGAAAACATGGAAGACTCTACGTACTACACATTCACATGGCTTAGTGGAGGCAGAGTGGGGAAAAGTTAGAGAAGTGGAAACAGTGAGTGATAAAACAAATACTTACCTATCAAGTTTGTGAGATTTAGTCTGCTCTTCTCAGTAGTAAGTCCTGAGTAGAGCGTTTTCAGTGAATTATCCGGGATACAATTTATTGTTGCAGCCACACTAAGGAGAAAGTATGCCTTAACAAAGCAAAATTTATTTAAGAGATGCTGTCGGCCAATAGTGACCAGAGTTTGAGGTAAGCTTTTTGTTATTAATTCTTCAAGTGCCTAAAAATAAGAAAAGGTGAAAAGAGCAAATTAGTAAAATACTTTTTCCAGATATTATTAGCTTCATTCTTTCTTTATGGTCCATTTGATACTGGATGAAGGAATACAGGGTCAGACATGAAGCCCCGGTCTACCGAGAGAGACACTGAAAGTCACAAGTATTCAGCTCTTCAGCAACGCTTCCCCACCCATCTCTGACCTGTGGCCAGCCCTGCCACTTAGTGAGAAGGACATGGTGCTGAGTGAGGGCAAGGACACCCTGTCAAAACAGAGACTGCAAAGGCTCATCAGCCATGCACACACAGCTGTCTGAGTCTGAGTACATTAGACACGTGGGGTGTGAACAGGAAGAGTGGATGCGTGTGCCCTCTCTCTACGCAGCTCAACCCCCATGAGCAATCGTACCTCTCTCTATGCTCACTCTCAACTCCCAGGTACCTCTGCCTCCAATATCCACTGCCTTGGCACAATCACAGCTGCAGCTCTGAACTCCAGCTCTAAGTCTTCTCATGGTTTATAATAGAGGGCTGGAGAAGAACCACACAACTATGCAAGGCATCCTCCTTTTAGTGCTTGACTAAAGTCTCAGTGCTGCCTAGTATTCCTACATTTTGCCAGTCTATTAACTCTCCCCTCCAAGACCATGATTTCAAAGCTGTCTCTCCCTCTCCCCCACCCCTGCCCCCTCAATTATGAACCTTCCTCCTATTTCTCTTGCACAGCCACAGCCTTTGTTTCCTCTGCTCGATGACAAAACTGAGGTGGTTGGAATCCCTGGACCCCACTGCCTCATCCCTTTCACCCACCTGAGCATCCTCCCCCACAGTCCTGCCTGCCTTCCTGCTGCCTAAGGCTGGCACTGCTCGTAGGCCATCAATCCTGTCCCCACAGACCTCAGCCATTCTCTCCCTGTCATAAGTGGGAGACACTGTCCACAGAGAAATGCTGCTGTCATCTGTTTAAAAAAAAAAATCTCTCCATATGCCATCTTCCCTCTTCAGTTATTACCCCAAATTTCTGTTCCTCTTTATGGTAACACTCTGAAGAATTGTCACTAATCTAATTTCTATCCTTTCACTTACTACCCCCACCCACAGTCCTGGGGATTGAACCCAAGGCTGCGCGCAGGCTAGACAAACTCTACTACCGAACCTCACCCCTGCCTTTTGTTTGCCAGTAAACTCACTCCACCCTTACACCCAAACCCTCTGGTCAAGGTCACCAGTGGTCTACACTTGGCCAAATCCAATGTTTGATTCTCAGCCTGCCTATAACATGCTAATCAACTGGTTTTATAGGCAAATTAAACTGTCACATATCGTCAACTATAAAACACATTCTGATTTCAGAGATGTTGAATGTGAAAAAAATCATGTTTAAGACTCAGTGATTTATGATACTTGAATCATCAGCAACATTTCACACTACTTTTCTTCAGTGGTCTTTGCTGCTCCCTCCTCTTCCCTTGTACCTCATGGGAATGTGCCAGGACTCCGTCCTCCTTTTCTCCTCATCTCCTCACCTTAGAAGATCTTAAACAGGCTCTCATACAGGTTTTCATTTCCTCTAACAACCAATGAAATCACAAGTTTTTCTCCCTGGCTCCAAGTTTTTTCTGACTCAGTGGACTCAAAAATCACCTTCTGACTCAGTTTCTTCACCTGGATGTCTAACAGACAGCTCAATCTCAACATGCCCAATGTCTAAGACTATATTCCTGTTGTCCCCTACCAGTGCACACACACAGAAACCCCATGTCGACTGGCAATTTGTCCCTATGGTTGGCTGACTGATGTGTTCGATCGACAGCACCAGAACAGTGCCTGACACATAGTGGAACCAACAGGTTACAGCAATCTCTTTAAAACAAGTACAGCAAGCCACGTTTCTGCTCAAAGCTATTCAGTGGTTTCCTATTTTCCTCAGATAACAGCCTAAGTTGCAATGCTGCTACAAGGTCCTTCTCAATTTATCTCTGACTTTATTTCCCAGTATTATTTCATCACTCACACAGTTCTGGGCACACTGGCCAAGATGGCCCTCGCCAAACCAGCTGGTACTACTTCAGGGCCCTTCAATCACTGTTCACCCTTTCTAGATGATTTCTTCTGCAGATTGGACATGACTTGCATTTGACTTCAGGCACAGGCTAACTTGCTCCATTTAAAATTGCAATCTCCACCCTAGGCTAAGGCTCTAAATACCCTTCCTATACTGCTGGGTTTCTTTCTACCCATGCAGTTTTCTTTCTAATGTACTACATCATTACTCTTTTAAATATTTACTTACATGTCATGCTTATTACCAGCCCCCAGCCCTGGCCATTCAAATATGAGCTCCATGATGTCTTGAATTTTTCTGTAGTGTTAATTCACCAATGACTTCAGTTGCCATCATCAGAACAATGCCATGTATACAACAAGCTTTTAATATTTTTAACTAGTATTAAAAGTAGTTGCCAGGGCTACCTACTTTAAATAAGAAGGAAACCGTCTTATGTAAACAAAAAAAATCCATTGTTTGGGAGAGTTTCAAACAATGGAGGCAGTGGGGAGATTTGTTGTATTGTTTACTCTCTTAACCTCTTCTAAGGGGTCGAAATCAGTATGTGCGGAAGAGCCAGGCATGCAGGAGCCACTGGGCCTGCTCTGCTGCCAAGCTGTTATGGAGGAAGACGGTCAACTTCCCCATCTAGGGGAGAAACTTCAATTGGCTGGGGACAGGGAGACATTTCTCCCCCTTCTGCCACAAACAGTGATTTAATGAGCCTTGACAATTACACACAAACACTTGAGGATCAAAGGAAGATTAATTAGTAATGCTATTTAACACTCCTTCCTTTCCCTCTGCGCAGAAAATACAAAGTGTAATCTGAAGAGTCTTAAGCGGGCCAACATTACTGTTTTAATTACTTAGCTAAAAGAAATCAAGTTTCCATTATGCTGTCAGTCTCTTTTTGTATGAAAAGAAATGATCAGACAGACATTCGTTTTATACCAAAAACCTGCTCCTTAAGGAAGTGTTTTTAGGATAGCCTGGCATTTATGACTAGAAAGAAATAAATATTCTTCAACTCCCCATGGTCTTAGAACATTAAAGTAAAATATGAATATGCATTTAAATCTTTCTAGTATCAGTTCTTTCATTTGAGACAACTTGCTTATAAATTAAAATACTTTTACAGGCAAAAAACAGAGTGATATGAAGCATAATTAGAAGTGAACTTTATGAAATGAAAAGCAAGTAATGAAATGTAAATGAAAAATAATAAGATTACATTGAATAAAAGGTGGATTTTTGCTATCAAAATTATGGAAAACAAAAATAATAAAATTTTGAAGAAACGTCTTTCAAGTTACACAACAAAAATAAATACCTTGCTTAAAACAGAATGCTGCTTTTTATTACTTAAAAAACAGATAAAGTAAGTGGACTCCTTCTCCGTCCCTAACTCCAAGAAACAGTGGTTGTGCTACAACTCTACTGTCAACACTCTAGGGGACAGACTGCCAAGCACCTTTTACATAATTATTTTAAGCTATGTAAATGCTACCAGGACATCAAATGCTTAAATCCAACCAGTTAACTACTGGTAGGAACTAAACATATTGAAAGAGGCAGTCTCACACCCTTTTTCTGAAGCCAGAGGAGCTGTTTATGAAAAGTCCAAATGAAAACAGCCCTAACTACTGGTAGACAATCTGGGAACTGGGGGAAAAAAAGGGATACGAATAAAAGCAGTACTGAACATGTGGGCTACTGCAAAGTCTACCAAATCCTTTTCTGACAGTCAAGAGCCAGCTATTACCTCCTAGGTAATAAAGATAAATATATTAAAGATGAAATCATTGATGTGGCTAGATGAACACGCCTCTGCAACTGAAAAGCATGAGTACTACCTGCTATTTGCACAACCTGAAATCAAGATCAATTTGCTCCAACACTACCTCTGGCCTCAAAATTTTGGACTAAAACAAAACTGTATTATTACAGACCAAAAAAATCTCGCCAGGCTTTCAAAACCAAAGAGTATAGCTCCCAAACAGATTGAAATGACTCAAAAGTTATCCACAAAAAATTCCAGCTTTTACAAAATATTGTTACACTTACCTGCATATTTTCTCTACTGGTGAGAGGTTTTCCTGAGTCAAACAACTGGAATGTCTGTCAAAATACAAAATATTAGCAGTAGGAACAGGAGGAAGTATTCTTTTAAATGAAGTAATCAGTGTGTTATTATAAAAATAATATATATTCTAGTGAGAAAAGATCAGTATAAAGAAAAATCTTAAAATCATGCATAAGTCAGCTTTGTGTGGTCAATGGTAGTATCTCAATGCCTTTTTTCTTAGTAGGACATGTTTGTGGTACATAATGTTGCATTCCCCGTGCTGAGTCCGTACATGTACATGACACAGCTTCATTCCGTTTTTCAATTTCTCTTTCCCTGTCCTCCATCTCCTTCCCTCCATCTCTTGATCCTCTTCCCATTAAGACAGATCCATCTCCCTACTTCCTATTACCTGTGTTTTCCTTTGGTTTGCCAATTCCTTTTTGTATTTTTAAAATGTATAAATAAATTTGCATTGCATTCTCACTGAACACGACCAAATTTTCTCCCTGTAAATCATCCCTGTTGAATGATTTATAAATCTCAGTCCAGTGGGCAGCTATAATCTATCATATGAATGTAGCATAATGACTACCCCTTTCCCATTGCTAGACATCCCACCACCACCCCAACAATCAGCTTCACTTTAAATGCCATTAATGACTGTTTCATTTGTATTTCTGATTATTCCCTTTGGCTAGATTTCTGGCTGAAGGGTTTCTGGGCCAAAAGATAAGAATATACAGTATTGAGAAACTGAAAGATAAAAAGATGACTCAATTACACTCCCCACCACGCTGTATGAAATGCCAGGATGAGTGCACTCAACAGCATTGAGTACTATCCACTTAAAGATCTCAGTTTGATGTAAAATCGTATTACTATTCAGATTTACTGTTTTTTGTGGTTCTTTTCATTTTCCATGTGAGCTACCTGTTGATGTGATTGGTTCTAAATGTAACAGTGAGTTGGGAAATATTTATTTGCTGGAGGAGATTGCTGTATTTTGGAGTAGAATATATCCCTCTTGATATAAAAAGCCCTTTTTAAACGATGTTCATTTGTAGAAATTAACACTGATGTTCCTCCCATTTCTCCTTGGACACTAGACGGTGGCCAATAGCTTGCAAGGATAAGTTGATCTCACATGGATGAGATCAATCACCTTCCTGAAGCACCCGGATCTCTTTGCCTGAGGGCATTCTACAGCTGAGAGGCTATTCAGGAGCGGCCAGTGTGAGGGACAAGAGAAATGTTCTACCCACTCTCTGAGGGACCTAGACGCCTATGGCAGTGACCTCATTAATGCTCTCTCCAGATTAATTTGTCTCCCTTCCTTGTGCAACATTCCAGTAACGCACCATCCTTTCACTTATTCCCAAATCCTTGTCTCAAGACCTGCTTTGGATGGATCCCCAAAATAACACACCAAATGCAGCTTTTTACTGAAATGAAATATTAGTGTTTTTTTTAATTTTCTTTCCTGAAGATATTATTTATTGGTTGCAATACATTGGAAATTTAATTACTGAATCTGGAACAGGGTAGAACTTTTGGTTATATAAACTGAAAGGGCTTGACACCAGGACTTTAGCTTTGGTGGTAAGAGCACAATTACAAGAATGTTGAAAGAGAATTTTTAAAGGGATATGATAAAAGTCCAACAGTAATCTGTAAGACTTTTTCAGTTATTTCTTTTACAAGTGAAACTTAAATTCATTAATCCCTTCTTTAAATAACTGGCCTGCAGCCTAATAACATTGGCACCTATTTTAATTATAAACCTTGAAAGCATTTCCTCTTTTAATTACACTTTTTAAATTCCCAATTGAAGCTGGAAAGCTGCAAATTAACTTTGAGAATACAAAATTCGGAGTCAGAATCCACTGGGAGATAATTCACCCACACCTTGATCATATGAAAGCTGGTGGGTAAAAATGAAGTTTGGAATTTACATGTAAAAAAAAATCAGTCTCAATGTTTTTGTCATATGTGTTGGTAAAAGCAGTGAGTATCAAAACCACTCATTTTCCATTCTACCCAACTGGTTTCTCTCCCCTCATCTTCCTGGACTCTAAATGTGGATGGCCTTAAGGTTTAGTTCCCTGACTTCTTTTCTCCATCTGCTTTGGTTCCCAGCTGATTCCACACAGTCCTATGTTTAAGTCTATGCTAAAGCGCCCAAGTTTAAATTGGCCACCTCCATGCATCTGAGTTCCAGACTATATACTCTCTGCGTCCATCTGTGCTACTTGCCCACTTGGCTATCTACTGTGTATCTCACTTCCTACGAGGAGCAGCATTCCAGGGTTTGAAACTTCTTCCCCAGGCTGAACACTCTGCAGTCATCCTTGACCTCTCTTTCATTCCTCATCCAAACCGTCATCAGCATGTGGTATCAGCTCTCTTCACAATATGCCTGGAACTGGGCCACCGCTCCCTCCACCCCCCACACACACAATTACCCCAAACATTGTCTCAGCCAGTTAATTTGTCATGTCTGAACACTGTGTGCATTGGTCTCTCTCTCTTTTGACCACTGCCACCCACAGTTTAATTCCCAAGCAGCAAACAAAGTGGTTGTTTTACATTTAGTTTCTATCAGGTCCTGCCTGTGCTCAAAACTCTGCAAGATTTCCCTTCTGGTTCAGAGAAGACTGCAATCCTCATGGAGCCCTGAGGTCTTTCATAATCTGGTTCCTAAGTCCTAGCTCCTCCTCTCCTCCCTTCTTTCCTGCAGCTTTTCTTGGTTTTCCTCAACCACATCTTGCAAGCACCCTGCTCAGAGCTTTTTTTTTTTTTTTCTCTCAGTTCCTCCTGCTTGGAAGGTTGTTCTCCCAGATCTTTGGGTTCCCTTTTTTCAAACTGGCTTCCTTTATTCCCCATCCTGAATGAAACAGTAACCCACTGCCCTGGTCATGCTTGTTCTCCTTGACTTGTTGGGGAGTCCCTCACCACACGTCACTGAAACACACTTGTGTCCTGAATGTGTTTACTGCTTATCCCTCTCACTGGACTACAATAGCTCTGCTTGCCTTTTTACTGCTTGATTCATGTTCCTGGAATGGGGCCTGTATTCTGTAAGCACTCAATAAGACTCCTAAGTACATTAAGGTAGAATGTTAATAACAAAATGCAAACAGTTTATAATAGAAAATGACTACTGACAGAAGTGCAAATAAGAAAATACTAGTAATGTAACACCAGGTAAGAAGACAAATTAGTTTACACCACAGAAAATGAATGAAATAACCAACTGGCTCTCTTTAGGTAGGTAGACAGATAAATATATACACACACACAAGTACTGTATAAAACGCATAGAAAGATGTGCTATGTACAGAGCTATATATCTCTGTATATATCCATATATAGAGATATAGATATACACACAAATGTTTTCATTGATTACTGAATGTCCTTCTTAAGGTGTTCTCTAGATAACCTGACACTTGACCTGCTATAATAATTTGGGTTTTTTAAATATTTTTGCAGTGCTGGGGACTGAACACTAGGCCTTACCCAGGCATGCAAGGCAAGTGCTGCACCTCTGCACTACAGCCTTGGCCCCTGTTATAAGGAAGGTAGTGCTGCCACTGCTGTGTGCAGTAGTGATAAGCAGATATCCGCGAGGAATGCCCGGAAGTGACGAATATGATATGTAAATATAACAGAAGCGTACACCAAGGACTTATTTCTGAGACTTACGGCTCATTTCCCAGGTTCTCTCAGGTCCTCCTGTTTGAATCCATTAGCATGCACTGTCCCGTCAGCCTCACTCCTCACACATGCAGGTTCCCCCAGGCACTTGATTCCTACCTTCCCCTATTTTCTTCACTCCTGGCCTATGCAACTCCAAGCATCTGCCTGAAGCAAGATCACTCATGTGGTTCCCAGGTCTCCATGAGAACCAAAGCAGAGGAAAGTAATAACTCATCCTGGCTTAATTCAGGCTTTCACTAGAAACCCTAGTATTTGTTTCTAAGGGTACGTCAACTGCCCAATTAACAAGCAGAAATTAAGCAAGCTAGGTAAGGCTATCTCCTGAATTCAAAGTGGACTAGGCCAAAAAATGTTTGGAACAGTACATTGTTAACTGCTACTTTACACACTGTTAGTGTAAAATATATAAATTTAAAAATCCAAATAAGATATAAGGAGCGATGGTTTTGACTAAGAACATTCACCATAAGTTATACCATTAGACCCAGAAGGCTAAGAAGTGGTAGCTGATAAACTATCCAATGAGACCACCGAGCATAACTATAATACAAAATGGCCTGCAGCACTCCTGAGCCAGAATTCCACTGCAAGTTTAGGCCCATACTTCCTCCCTCACACTCCCTTCCATTCCACACCAATGAAAAGCCTAATCTTCTCCATAAAAGCCTTATCTTCGCTGTGACCAGGCTTAACAAAAAGGTCTGGCGCACTAGTGACCAAATCTAAGTGTTCTTTTGTGGGAATGAGCCCTGCGTTTTAGGAGCTACCAGTAGCCCTCAAACGTCAAGAAATAGTTTTGAATCAAATTGGACAGTTACCTTAATTTTTGGAGGAACTTTACAGCAGGAAGGGATTGAGCAAGGCATATTTCTTCCATTAAAAATCTGCATTAGCTCAAAAAAGGCTTCGGAAAAGAAACCTAAATCAATAAGAACTTCTATCTAAAAAGGAAAGAAGAGATTTTAAGTTAAATAGTTTGTTTCACTTATAAAAATAGAGAAAAACAATAAACTTCTGAGATACAAAATTTCTGTGGAGTTATTATAATGTGTTATGAATTAATGCTTACTACTTAATGAGTATATGCTGGTTTACATGTGCCATGGACTAAGAACTAACAGGCATATTATTAGATAGTGCTTATGTCACCAGAAGAAAACACATAAGGACATAATAGTCATTGTGACATTTTTTTAAATACTGAATTTATATCTTTATTCCCATGGTAGACTATGGTTTAAAAACAAACAAAAAATAACATTCCTTATGTTCTTGAATGTTCTTGACAGTCAAAGAAGACAGTATATTAACTTCACAATGTACAGGCATAAAAAACTACTGATTTTCCAATTCATAGTAAATAAACACTGTCAATTTTAAAGACATATTGTATATGCTTATCGACATTAATTCTGAATACATATATTCTGAATACAATCCAGTAGGAACATCAACCAAGAAATAACAGGAAAAATAGTTCCTTTTCACATTCATTCATTCATCTAACATGTTTACTTAGCATCTCTTCGACACAAAGCCCTCTTGAAGCTTACGTCCCATTACCATGTACATTTAACTAAATATAAGTGAACTGTAAAGATAAACATAACATGAGGCAGCAATGGCATCGAGTGTATTGGCAAAAGGCTATTCTGAGGACTGGGGCCTGGAAGGACTTCTGAGTTAGGAATGATGTCAGAGAGACGGACGGGTGAATATCTGCTGATGTGGTAGAACAGCTGGGGCATCCTGGAATGTTCCAGAAACAGCCCATGAGGTTGGAGCTCAGGCTTCCGGATGAGGAGAATTAGGTGGGTACAAACGGGAGTCAGGGAAGGTCACATAGAGTCTGTAGACTGCAGTAGGGAGTTTATTTTTTATTTCCCACATGATATGAACTTACTGGAGGCTTTTCAACAGGATCCTAACGTGACTCAGGTTTTGAAAATATCTAGTGATTTTATTAAAGAGAACAAAGAAGGAAGACATAAATATTGACACAAGGAATCAAACACAAAATTGGATGAAATAGATACAGATGATATAGATGATAGATAGATATAGATGAAGGTATACAGATATAGATATAACATTTCAAAAGAAAAATCAATATATCCTCAGCATTTCGATCCATCTTACTCTCTGTTTTTCTTTCAGTACATGGTTAGGAATCTCAGGTGTGCACAAAAATAAAATAAAAAGAAGATTAGTTGTAGAAATTGGTTACAAACATAACATGGGAATAAAACATAGAAGGTCAGAAGAATATTTTTAATGGGAAGGAGAAAGTTACTTGCACACTGAGCTTCTTGCCTTGGTCTCTAACCTCTCTGCGGCCATATAGATTCAAAGCATTTAGGAGACACAGGAACTCTTTCGGGTTCCTAGATAACCACTTTTCTCACAGTCCCTACAAGAAGATACTTCCCCAGATCTGTGTGTAGTTAGTCTTCTCTGGGCTTGACTCTATGATTCCTGCACACAGATGACAAATGACTATCAAGGCCATGTCTGATTTCAGGGTATCAAGCCAGCTGAACTGCTGGAAAAGCAATGGTGCTGAGAATGGACATAACATTTTCAGAAGTGAATAGCACCGTGAACACAAACAAGACAGATGGCCAAAAAAGCTAGTCATAAATCAACCCTTCACTCACACAAGTACAGAACCATCAGTGCCCTTCCCCAGAATGTTTGATACATTGAGGATTACAACTCTTTGAAGAGGTTGGCAGTTTTAAACTAAAGTCAGACCAGCCGATCATAAAGAGGACTTAACAGCCTTCCATGAAAGACACCAGCGCACCATAGAAACTTAACAGCATGATCTACTGCTGTTTAATTTGTCAGAAACCGTCACTATTTGTGATTTCCTGCCTCTGAGTTTTCACTTTTCTCACTCACTGACCCCAGTTTATTTCAGAAAGGTCAGGCAAACTCTGCTCATGGGGGCTGTCATTTCTTGCTCTCTATGATCTATCAACCACCCTTTAGACTCCAACTGTCAAAACACTGATTTGGTTTTTCAACACTACTACACCAGTAAGATCTCACTTCTACCTCACTCTGCTCCCAGAACTGTTGCCAGATACCAGATTTGATCATGTCATTCTCCTGATCAAAATTCTATAATTAACCCCCTTCCAACTCAAGGCTTCAGAGTAGAGGGCACAGTTTTTCACTGGCTTTTAAGGCACTCAAGGACACAAACAGCTATCAAATGCTAACAAGCTGCTGTGGCTTGGATGTGTCCCCCAAAAGCTCAAAAGCCCCTAAATTCACAGGTTGATGGTTTTTGGGGTGGGGCCTTTGGGAAGTAACTGAGATTAGATGTGGTTTCGAGGCTGGGACTGAGATTAGCGGCTTCTGAAGGTGAGGAAGAGAAACCTGAATTTGCACCTGCTGCTCTTTCACCATGTGATGGCCTCTGCCCTGTGACAGTGCATCATGAAGACCCTCAATGGATGCAGCCCCTCAGCCTTAGGAGCTATGAGAAAAAAATTTTCTTCATAAATTACCCAATCTTTGGTATCTGATGAACTAGCCTAAAACAGACAGATACAAGCCAGTAAAAAGTTAACTAACGAAAAATTTTGTTCCAAGCTCAGTCTCTCCATACCCCACTGGATCTCCTCCCTGTATGGTATTAATGTCACAGCAACTTCTCCATCTCTTAATGACAGACCAGAAGATACCTCTTATCCAATTCTGACTCCACAATCTCCTCACACTCCTCACTGCACAACCTCCACATTATGTCTCTTCACAGTCTGGAATTCAGGCTGGGTGCCTGGAATCCTAGGCCTTTGATATTCCTCATGCTACCTCCACTCTCCCTGCAGAACCTCCACCAAGTATAACTGGACCACCAAGCACCCTCCTCCCATGCCAATGCTTTCTCACCTCTGTGTCTTTCACACTGCTGGTCGCCAACAATGCTCCCTTCCTCCTCTCTCCAACTTGGTAACTTATATTCTATTCAAGCCTATACTCTTAGCTACTTAGTGAAACCTAAAGACCCAAAACTGCTATCTCTCTTTCACACTCCCACAGACAGTGCTCATGACACTCACCTGCAAATGAGCAAGCGAAAGAGTCACACCTACTGACTCACTACTGTCCTGTTTCTCCACCCAGTTTTCACTTCCTCCTAACAGCAACTGTGGTTTATATATCCCAAACTCGAGGTGCTAACTGGATGCTTTGAAATAGAAGGTCTGTAGAAAATGTTCTTTTAGAGTTAAATCAGTAAATATTTATCAAATATTATATAGGTGGGTTCCACTAAACACCAAATGAGAATGTGAACAGTAGGCCCCCCTAATAAATCCCTGAAAATTTTAAATCCAATACAACCATTAATCACTGAATATCAAGAATGTAAATTTAGTACTCAAGGCACTATACAGCATTGCAAAATGAGGGAGACACGGGCCCAGGCTTCAAGAACTGTGTAATTTCAAAGACCACTGGGAAAGAAAAAAACGTTACTGTTTTCGGCGCTGACACTCAAAAGTAAGACAATTCTTAAGAGTCAGTGACTCAGAGAGGGAAACCCAGAAATTTTCATGGTCACTAATGAACTACTTATTAAGTACTCTTAAGAATTTTTTTAAAATTTAGAAATAGAATGCAAAGGACTGTTTAGGTAGGCCCAAAGGGCTCAGGTGGGGACAGTAGTTCAGAGGGAACGCTAGTTTCCCCTCCTCAGAAACAGGAGGAGTTTAGTGGGGAAGACAGATGGCGCGTCTAAGAGGAGAGGAAGAGGTGTGCTTGCGTGGTGGGCTGGAGCTCATTTGCTCCCTACTGCAAGAGCTGACTGGGCACCTCTGCCTACTACACATCTTTAGGGACACCTGTGAGTAGCTTCAAGTCAGCCACAGTTGGAGTGTTTACGAACTGGAGGAAATTTTCAAAGCCCTAAATTAGCTTTTCTATAAAGAGCCCACTGTGAAGCATTCACCAATATATAGATTATGCCATGGGATGGGAGGTAAGAACCATGAGATGATGGCCAAGAGATATTTTAAGATCAAGAATGCTCAATGTTCTATTTTCAATGGTTTGTTTCAGCTTGATTTAAACTTCCCTGTTTTCTCACTGTAGGAGGGCACTGTAGAAACCAAGGCCTCGGGGGAATATATTGTGCACATTTATGTAGGAGTAAAACAGGGTATAGAGCTGAATTCCACATTAGATTTGAGGAGACATGGGAGAGGGAGAGATCTTGCTGGATGCTGAGAAATATCACATGCAAAACAAAATCAAACGAAACAGAGACTTGAAACACAGGTGACCAGGAAAGTAGGCAGTGAGAAGATGCTCGAGGTTCCCCTCCACACAGGGTTCGGAAGAACATCGGCATGTGACTCCCAAGGCACAGAACCCTGGACGAAGACTGGGTTACACAATTAATTGTCTGGTCTTATTAATTCAATTCCCTGTGCACTGAAAATTTGTTGCATATCATTATATATGAGGAATGCTCTAAAAACATGGTGAATGTTTAAATTTTTTAAATTGATTACAATGAAAGCTTTGCCATTAGTCCTTCTCACAATACTCCCCTTTGTCTCAAACACACTTGTCCTATCATTCCTGCTATTTTCTGAAGCAGTTTTGGAAGTTCTTTTACTTAAGTCTTTTTGTGCCTTCATGGCTGCCTTCGTGTCCTGATCAGTTCAAAATGTTTATCGGTAATGATCATTTTAACTTTGAGGAAGAACCAGAAGATCCATGGTACCAGATCTGGTGAGTTAGGTGGATGAGGACACACTGTGATGTTTTTAGAAGACTGGAACCTTCCAGTGGATGGCACTTGGTACCAGCATTCACCAAATTTTGGATCATACCTCTCATAAAGACACTCATAAAAGAGCACTACCAGAACTGCTTCAGAAAGTGGCAAGAACAATGGGGCGAGTGGGCCAAAGAGAAGGGAAGTATTTTGAGGGAATTGATGGAATGTGTCTTTTATTATAATATTTTTAACTTCAACACTCACTGCAGTTTTTGATCACCCCATGCCCATAAAAGTCACTTCACAGCAATCGGAACACAGGCCCATTTGGTCCCCAAGAGGAAGCCAGTCTCTCAAGAAGAGAGACTTCCAGCTGCCCAGTGTTGGGTGAGCTTCATTGGCAGGAGTAGCTGCTGCCCACTCTCCAGTGGCCCAGTTGTAACGTTTCTGGCTGGCTGGCTCTGAGACACCATTATGATGGGGAAATCATTTTTATATGTATAGAGAACCGTATTACAGTCACTTATTATTCTGAGTATCAGAATCAAATTAACACATAACAATATTCTTCCTAGTTAATATCAAGTGTCTTTAAAGTTTATAATATACCTTGAGAATTCTTGCTTCTAGGTTTCTGACTAGGTCTTGGCAAATTCCAGAGACAAAATATTGATACAGTGCAAGGAGAGGCAGGACCTAGCAGGAGAAAAAACACCCTTTTAAAAAATATATATATACATCTTATCGAGTTAATAATCTCATAATCAAATTGAGCTAAATAGTACATGTAGGAGGTTTTATGCAAAGTACTGACTGAGTTTCCATGTTGGCAGACTAAATTGGTAAAGATGAAATGATCTGTTTGACATATGCTCCATAAACTCTATCAGAAATTTAAGATGTTATCAGAGACCTATGGTGTCAACTAGATGCCATTTGGCAAACCAGACCTACGTCTAACACCTTTCTGAGCATGGAAAAGTTAAAAACCAATTAATTATTTTCTTGAAAAAAATTAATCTAAATGTATGAAGCTATGGAAAAAAATGCTAGCAAATGAGCTGTCAAATAAATGTAAAGTTTAAAACAAAAGAATTCACATTCATGTCCCCTAGTAAGCTTTTGCAGACTCATCTCAATTGTCAGCTGCCTTTTAATTAGAATTTTTCTTTTGGCAAAAACCTATTTACAACCTGCCTCTGATGGGTTATGCACTGTTAAAGAAGAACAGAAAATATAACAAGTCCCAGCCATTATATAGCATATATTCTACTGATTAAAACTCAAACTTAGAGACTATCAGTGTTTCAGGTGACCTGGCCATTTTCTACCTAGAGCAGGGAAAATTTGGCTTTATATTTTCATTAGAAAGAGAGAGTTGAATTTAGAAGAACAAATGTGTCAGAAAAGAAAACAATACTTGAAAAAGAAAAAGCCCTGATCTTAACTCAAACCCAAAGCTCCATTCCTGCAGCTGCCCCTGCTGAGGGAGTGGAGTCCTGGCAGCTTGACATCCTGTGTTTAGCCAACTGTTCCCCACAGTCCCACAGCTCTGGTCCCAGAGCAAATGTTATGTTTGACAGAAGCCTCCTTAGCCAGCCGGCTTCTCCTAGGTCAGGGTCATACAAAATGGAAACTGTGCACTCCTTGCAAGTTTGGTCTCCTGGAAGGTCAGCTGGCAACTTTTTAAACGGATGCAAATAGTCATAAATGACTTCAAACATGACACATTTTTCTACACTCACTCACGACCAACAGAAACACAAAACCTTTTTTCGGCAATTAATTCACCACAAAACATTAAGAGTTCACGATTACCTTTGAGGTTTTGTTTCTTTTCTTTAGTGAGAAATAAAAACACAACATTTTATTGCTGCCAATTCCTCAATTATCAGAAAAAAAATAGTTCTCAATTTCTTAAGCTTTAGAGAGGGAAAGAAGTCTCATTTCTTTTTTCAATGCAGTGATACATAGGATATATGAATATGAATAGGCAGCAAAAGGTTACCCAGAGGACACAACCATTTTCTCACTCCAGAAATAAGCCCCTTTAACAGGGAGAGAAGCACCATTTTATTATTTTTTAATAAACAATTTCTTATCAAATCTGTCCAACGTTAAAAGCACATGACAACTTTTTCACTTCAAAACATGGTTTCATAATTTAACAACTCATCTTGGGGCAATAAATATTTTTAATATAGAAAACTGAATTAAAAAAAATAAATTTGCCAGAAAACATATATGAAACCAATTCAGAAAACAATATGGGGAAAAAAGACTATAATTATGAAACTTAGAAGGAAAGCAAACATAGGGGAAAAGATTAAAAAATAGAGGATAAGGGAAGGAAATCAATAAAAGAAGATAAATGAAAAAAATATAAAGTGACCAAGAGAGCATGCTAATTTATTTTTAAATGTAACCAAATTCAAATTTATGAGATATACAGTGATTTCTTTCCCTCCAGGGAAGGAGAACTATGTATTTGGGCTTATGGATTTTCTAGGACATTACAATACATCTGATTTTTCTCACAGTTAGAACGGGAAACAACACAATATGGAAATACTGTCATAGTTTGTGATAAAGAATGACAACTGAAAGCTGAGAGTCACAAGTGTACTAGAATCCTGTGTCTACATCATTTCCCATTCTAGTCAATTTCAGTAAATCTTAGGAAAAGGAAAAGTGAAATAAGACTAAAAACAAGAATGAAATCAATTAGACATTGCCTTTGTACCCAAAATGAAATGCAATGATGTCAGCAAGACTATTAATGAATATGTTTTATTTGAACTACAGATAACAATATAGAGACTTTAAAACTTTAAGCCAGAGCCAGGGATTTCGCTCAGTGGCACCAGACCTGTCTGGCAAGTGCAAAGTCCTGCGTTCGATCCCTGGAACCAGCAAAATGAAAAGAAAGAAAGAAAAGAAAAAACAAAACCTTTAAGCCAGAACTGACCAAAAGAACATTAACAAAACTTGAAAAGTATAAGGTAAGGGGAAAAAAAAAAGTACCACAGTGAATCAAGAGTTGTTGATCTTACAAATCACTCACTATTAGATTGTGCTTAACAAAGTGCAGCTCCCGGATAACGTAATACAAGCTGGCAGCTACAGAGCAGATGTCAGCCCTGCAGGTATCCGAGAAAAGCTCGACACCGGGAAGAAGCTGTGTGATTTCATACTGGGCATAGCAGTGCTCAGCTCTGGGATGTGGTAGTGTAGTTCGAAGCAAACCCTGAAAATAAAACAGAGAAACAAAGAACTATAAATGGCATTTACAGCATGAACCAAAATAAGTACAGGTATCACTTCATAAATTGTTAGTATGAGACTAGCACACTGTACTCCATCATATACAAGGCTTATTATTAATATTTTGATTATAAGTTCCAAATGCTTTTATCACTCCTGATGGGCTTTTTAAATTCCACAGTTATGGTACTCTTAACATTTTTGAAGAAATTATTACATTACTGATGCACACCGCTTTTCTCCTTCCCTCTTTCTATTTCCTTCCTTTTCTTTCTTTTCTTTCCTTCTTTCCTTATTTCCTCCCTCCCTCTCTCCCTTCCTTCTTCCTTCCGGTTTTTGAGCCAGGGTCTCACTACATAGTCCAGGCTGGCCTTGAACTCACTATGTAGCCCAGGCTGACCTCAAATTCAATGCAATCTGCCTGCTTCAGCTTCTCAAGGGCTGGGATCACAACATGCCCCACTGCACCCAGCTAAGATTCTTTATAAACATTACCTCACTAACTTAATGCTCGCCTTGCCCCTCCTTGGAAAGAAGAGTTATTATCTCACAAACGATATAAACAATGAACTTACTTGTGGCCACACAGTTAGGAGTGGCAGAAAAAAAGATTCAAGGTCAAGTCTACTTAACTCAAAAATCTGTTATTTCACTGTACCCGGGTGTAAGTAGAGAAAATGTTAACCTGAAGTCCAAAGTAGGCAGAGATAATTCCAAAATTTCAACTGACTCCAACAGAAAGATGAGTTATTTAGGACCGGGATTTAGCTCAATGGTTCTGCCACCTGCCTTGCAAGCACAAGGACCCAAGTTCGATCCCCGGTACCCCAAAAAAAGATGATTTATTTAATTTGACCAATGTCTCTTGGACAGTTATATGACCAATGTCATAGTGGGTGACAGGGAAACAAGATGAATACATTTAAATAGTTACCATTTCTTGATGACAAATGCACTGTAAAATAATGTTAATGTGTATACTAGGAAGAAATTTCAATCAAACTGCTTGTCAAGGATGTAAGGTACCCTAGTCTAAAACACCGAACTTACTGAAATTTTTATTTTTACAAATTTGCTTTAAAACAACATAAAAACAATTAGCAGGAAATCCTACCACTTAATTTTCATTTTAAGTGCAGCATTACTAATGTAGCATTACATAATGTTCACATTAAACAAAAGTTCAGCTTTTCTTCTAAATCACATATTTTCTACAATATAAACACTTTCTTCAAGAGCAAGAAGTTTCAGAAAGTAAAGGAACTGATATAAGGAACCAGAGACAGATCCTCACTCCCTCTGCACTCCTGCCTCTTTTCTCTTCCCTTTGAAGATCAAGCAAGAGGCATTTGGAATATAAGAAAATGGCAAGGTCTGGCCCTACATTCAGAGAAGGCTTCGCGAAGAATTTATCTGCCCAGATTTCAGAAGCCATCAGGCTGCTCTGATACACAGAACAAGGTATCTGCCCATCAGTCAAAGTAAACAGAACCTTTAGCAGACTGCAAAGGCCCCTGGCTACATCCCTGAATCTCAGAACGTCTTATACTTCAGATAAAAGCTCCTTTCTTCTACAGAGAAGTCAAATCAAATCCTGAAGCACAAAAAATTCCTGTTCTGCAGTCTTCGACTTACTTCTTGCCTTCATTATGTTATTTTATATCATGCAATCGAGCAAAACTTTATTTAGAGATGGGATAACCTACAGTGACCACTGAGGTCTGGCAGACTGGCTGCACCCTGAGGTTACGAAGGACAAAAGATTCAGTTTCCCTATCTGTCAAGGGAGAGGGCTGAATCTTGACTTTCAAAGGGGAAGGAGGCACCAGGGTGAGCCAGACAGGCTGTGACATTTAACCAGGGTTCACACCGTTTTCCTGCCTGTGAGTTTCATGAATGTGACACACACTACTGCACGTTGTTTTTTTTTTCCTGAATGAATAGTCGTGGCGTTACAGGAAAACACACACAAGGGATTACCTGGAAGAGCAATGCAGACAGTATGCAACAGCTGACTCTCTTCTTAACGCTCATTGTCTTAATAAACCTAAGTATAAGAAAAACAGGTTAGTAGACAATTTTCCAAAGTACTTTTATATAAACCTGTGCCTTTAGACATAAATAAGACACAAGAGATATTACAAAATCTATATAGAAGAACATATGAGAAAAATATAAAGAATAAAAATCATCTACAATTCTACCACTTAAATATGATTTTGGTAATATTTAGGCCCATTTCTTTCTAGAGTTTTTCCCTATGCAGTTATACACAAAGAACTAAAATTATACAAAATAACTAAACACAGAAAGCAAGATGCCGCATAGTCTCTCCTATGAGATACCTGAAAGGCGAGAGGATAGGAAACAAGAAGGAAAACTTTTGGAGATGGGAAGGGGGTCCAGGAAAGGGGAATGGGGAGTAAAGGGATTGAAATGATCATGATATATCATAAATGTTTATACCAGTCACCGAAAATCAGCACCACTGTTCTGTACTGCAAACACAGACAAATGAGGAGGAGGAGGAGGAGGAGTGGGATTCTGATATACCCAATATTATGAATGACCCTAAAGCTTTGGACCACACATACAAAAGTACATATGGTGTGATTCCATGCACAAGAAACACCAGACAATGATAAACTGTGGTGTTAGAAATCAGAATGTGGCTGACTCTGGGTGGGGAAGGGGGCGGTTGGTTGAAAAGGGACAAGAAGGAATTCTCTGAATTAATAGAAATGTTCTAAGTCACGGAGGCTATGGTGATCACACATATGCATAAAATTATTGAAAGTCAGAGTGTATAATAAATGTGCATATTTTACTGTGTGAAAATTATATCTCAGTGAAAAATAATGTTTGGCTCAAAGACTAAAATTAAACAATACACACTATTTTTATAAGCAAATTTTCCATTTGCAGACATAACAAATACAACATTTTGAAGTGCTTTAACATTTTGTGGTATGGATTGCAATATAATATGAAAATATTAACTTCTACGTTTTGGTACCAGGGATCGAACTCAGGACCTTGCACTTGCAAGGCTGGCAGCAGCACCATTGAGCGAAATCCCCAGCCACTAACTTCTATTTTTATTTTTTCTAATGCTGAAGCAAATATTGGGAGAGTACATCTTTTAGCCCTTATCCTATTAATTCTACTAGAATAGAAGTGAAACGTTGGTAAAAGGTGGTGTGTTAAATAATTCCCCCCAAAGACAGCTCCTGGCAATGCACTTTCTCACCAGCCATCTATGATGGAGCTGCTCACATCACTAAATCTCTCCATCGGGGTTTAAAATAACGCCTATCCATTTACTGTTGCCTCCTTTCATTTCCGTTTGAAGAGTCTGAGTTTCCTTTCTATGGGTTTTGAAACTTGCATTTGCATTTTGAATCACATTACCTTCTAAATCTCACTTAGAGAAAACCATGGAGCCCCACTATATTAATAACACTGTCCACTGGCATTCAGATCCTCTGTGTGTCTATTTCAGTGTGGCATTCTGCAGTGAAAAGGTTCCTCAACTCCAACAGTTCCTGAACAGCCCAGCCCTATAGACTCAGCTCTCCTATGGAAGTCAGACTCCCAGCTGGGTAACCAGGAAATGGCTCTCTTTTGGTCGAAATCACGAGGTAATAATTTCCGAGGCTCAAACTAAGGAGCCCTCTGGTAAGAATGGTACAAGAATGGTCCTTTCCAAGCTGTGGCTCTTCCTCCCTCAACCTGACTTCTAGTCCCAATTGCCAAGTCCCACTCAGTGCTATGCATGTGGATGTCTAAGGATGAGTTCTTTCCCAAGGAGTACAGAAAATCAAACTTGACAGATGTTTAAAAGATCTTTTGCACTTCATACTTTTTCATTAAGAGGTAATTTCTTATTTTTCCTGCCCAGAGATACTAATTTTCTGAAAAATGTGAAAAACTAACTAGAAGTTATTGTTGCTGTTGCCTAATTGCTCCTCAGCTCAAAGTACAGGGTTGATTAAAAAATACAATGTGTTTAAATAAAAATTATTATAGTAAAAGATGGTGCATGTTTTTATGAGGTGTGAGGTGGTGAGTGCCATTGCCAAATGTCATCTGGTGGAAAAGGAGGCTCATAAAAACCTTAGAGTGTCCTTGTCCACTTTATACACTGCATCTGGCACTGTGTGACTTCTGGCTCTTCCCCAAAGTCAAAATGATCATGAAAGGGAAACATTTTCAATCAATTCAGGACACCGAGGCAGCCACAAATGCACACCAGCAGACACTCTGGAAAGAGGACTTCCAGCACTGCTTCAGAAAGTACCAAGAATGATGGGACAAGTGTGTTGGAAGTGGGCAGAGGGTGGCATTTTGAGGGGGATTAATGCCAATGTGTTCTTTAACGCAACACATTTTTAAAAATTTAAACAATCACCACAGTTTGCTATACCTCATATAGAGCAAGTTTTTGCCTACTGCACCCTGAGGTGAGCTAAATATTTACCTGGAGAGGTAAAGGATACTTGTACTACCTTTATCTTTTAAATTTCTCATGTTAACCAAATACTTGTGAGTACTAACTCTGTGCAAAGCATGGTGAAGGTGCTCACCTGTATTACCTGTGGTGGGCTGAGATGCCCCACCTTAATCCCTGGAACCTGAGAGTACATTATCTTACATGACAGAAAGGGATTTGAAGATATAATTGAATTAAGGACCCTGGGATGGGGAGATTATCCTGGATTACAGATGTGGGTCAGAGTCAGAGAAGGAGATGTGAAGATGGAAGAGGTCAGAGAGAACAAGAGAGAAAAGGAGGAAGGTAGTAGGCTGTTGAAGATGCAGACAGCACCACAGAATTCAGGAGGACTCTGAAAGGTGGGAAAGGCCAGGAAACAAATTCTCCCCTAGAGGCTCCAGAGGAAGCACAGTCCTGCCAACACCTTATTTTAGTCTTCCTGAACGTCACAACTGTAAGACAGTAAATTTGTGTAAAGGCTAGAGCATGTAGTTCAGTGATTCAATGTTTGTTTGGCATTTGGGAGATCTTGGGTTTTATCCTGCACCACAAAGAAAAACCATTGTATTTTAAGTACTAAGTTAGTGGCAACACGAACAGCAAAATTGGGAAACTACCATTATGAGTCCTAGGCTAGACTGTATCCCCTCGAAATGTGTATGTTGAGGTCCCTAACCTCCAGTTACTTCAGACTGGGACTGTACTAGACAGAGGGGCTTTACAGAGGCATTGAAATTCAGATGAGGTCATTTGACTCTAATCTAATGTGAATGTTTTCCTTTTAAGAGAAGGAGATTTGGACAGACTGGTATGAGTCAATATCAGGAGAGGACACAGAGAGAAGATATAAGCCAAGGAGAGGCCTGGGAGGAAACTAACCAGCTGACAACTTGATCTTGGACCTCCAGCCTCTAGAACTATGAAATACTACATCTCTGCCATCTGGGATATGGCGAGCCAAGCAAACCAGCAGCACATGCCTGTAATGTTCAGCACCAAGCTTACAGACACTGTGGGAACCGAGTTACTGGGATGACCGTGAGCTACCCCCAGACGCCAGCCCCATTCTTGTCCCTATATCGACTGTTCCTTCACTTGTTTCTTCATTCATCCTGTAGTTACTGAATGCCACCTCCGTCCCAGGCACTCGGGATACATTAGTGAATAAAGCAAGGACCATGTAGCGTTCATACATTGGAGGCGGAAGGGATCACATGAAGAGAAGAAGTTATAAACATCGCAGTTAGAAGCACCACAGTGACACAAAAGCAGTCTCCCTGTGCGTGTGACACACTGCCTGAGAAGCCAGTGTGTATGCAGTGTGGCCCCAACAGGGTGCCAGCGGACACCCCACAGGAGGGCCAGGGCGCGGGACGCTCCCTCTTCATACTCACTGTGCTATCTTCGCCGATATCACTGCGCCTTGCAAACATCCCCAAATGCCAACTTTTGACAGAAATTCCTCACTGTAGTCTTTGAAGCCCCGAGGTGAACAGCTACTGGTGGCAAAGGGGAGGGAGGGAGCACACTCTTTCCAGGTGTGCAGCACATTGGGTTTTCTGAATATGTCATCAAGAGCTTGACACCAACACTTTAAAGCAGCCCTAAGACAGAAACAGAGCATCTAGCGTAATGTTTTCTGAGACTTGTTATTAATTTTTTTCTTCCAAGAGGAAAAGTATGCCAAGCAAACATTCAACTAACATTGTGGAGAATAATTCTATACCACCCATAACCCCTAACAGCAGCTGGTGAATAAAATGAAACAATGCAATACTATTATAGAACTAAAAATTATGGAAGACAATGTTTTTTCCTAGTTATTAAACATTTTTTTTCAAACAAAGAGAAAGATTGCTTTTAGTCTACTGACTCCTAAAAATCTACCTTTCCTTTTCTGCAAAGATGAGAAGATTTCCAAGTGTATGCAAGGCCTGAACTTTAAGACTTCTTTGATTGCTGGCTTGGAGAACATCTGTATTTTTAATCAAGTAAAAGAACAAATGTCAGTTCCAAGAAAAAATATTTCCTTTATATTTGCAAGAATATTTTAAAGTGCATTATTCCTTAACTGTGTAGATTGCAATATGAAAAGTGCAAGTTAATAGTGCTTTCAAATGTCACACAATATATATCCCAGAGTGAGAGCAAACGATGCTCTATTTGAACACAGAGGATTGAGGGATTAGGTCTAACACTCAGGAAACAAGAGAGCTGCATAGAGAGAACAGAAAGAAGCTAGGCAGCTTGAGATGGGGAAACGGCATGTGAAGGGGAAAGGCTACACACACACACACACACACACACACACACACACACACAAACGATGGGCACAACTACAGTACCGCTCTCCTGAGAGGGTGAATGGGGGACCTCAGAGGGAGCCAGTGCCCTGACTTTGAAGGGTCCTGAAGGTCAAGCAGAGAAAAGTGGAGGTTACCCCGTAGCAAGTGATAAGCCCCAAAGTGTTTTTAGCAGAGATGAACACACACACACAAACGATGGGCACAACTACAGTACCGCTCTCCTGAGAGGGTGAATGGGGGACCTCAGAGGGAGCCAGTGCCCTGACTTTGAAGGGTCCTGAAGGTCAAGCAGAGAAAAGTGGAGGTTACCCCGTAGCAAGTGATAAGCCCCAAAGTGTTTTTAGCAGAGATGGAACAAGATTATGCCATATCAGGTTTTTCCTTTTAGCTTAATGCAGAAAATGCATCTTTAATAAGCAGAATTTTTGTTTATTACTGTCTAATAAATGCATGGACCAGGATTGTGCAGCCAAAACCCAACTGGCACGGTAGTGGTGGTACCGCCTCTGTGTAGGTGAAGCCAGAGTTCTTGGTTGGTCTCCAATGCACAGAAACCTCCCCAACAGTGAAGAAAAGGGTGAGAACATGTTTCTAATTTTCTACTAGCCAACTTTGTCTTGCACATGAAAAGAGACGTTTGTGTGATTTCCAAATGTAACCACAGAAATAATTTGCTTTGTTCAGAACTTTACCGAGATTTATTTACTGCTGTAGAAAGTCATGTCACCAAACTGAATGATGCTGACACTACTTAAGTCACCAACACAGCATACCTGTGTCAGCTCCCATCTGGAGCTGTCATGTTCGTGGAGACTACGGGAAGAAGCATCTGACTACTCCATACCGTCTAATGCCTGAGCATTTACATGCTAAGCCACAGATTCTCTCAATATAAAGTGATTTTGTTTTATATATCCTCTATTTTATATTTAGAGCTACTGATTTTATTTTTTAAATGTATGTAGGAAGAATATATTAAATATAAATTTATTTCAGGAAGTAGAGGGAGAACTATAAAATGTTTCTTGCATAAAAGGGCAAAGTTGGGTCGACAGTAGGGGTAGGAAATATACTATTCAATGTGTAGTAAAGCTAAATCAAGAAGAAAGACAAGGACAACAATGGAAGCCAGCTGGATAGGGCAAAGTCAGTGTTTCCACTGCCCAAAGGGACTCACAGTTAAAGGGGGATTCATAGTTGCAGGAGGATGGGCAGGCAGAAGGCTGTCCCAGAATTTTACAGTGGTGACAGCCGGCTGGGAGAGCACATAGCAAGAGGGGACTGGATACGTCCAGTCACTACTTCCCAAGGTATGATAAACAAGCTCTTTCATCAACTTTTAATCTTTCAGGACCAGGTGGGATTTCAACATCACGACAGCTGAATAAGCAATGGGTTGGCCTTACCAATAGTTCGGTGATAAGAAGAAATTACCAATCCGAGCTGTGAATAGGAGAGTTTGCTTTTCTCCACTGAACTAAACACTCTGAAGTGCTCCTGAGAAAGGTCAGGGGGTGTTGACATGTGCATCTCTTCTATCCCCAGACAAAAATCCACCTTCCCAGAAGAGAATTTTTCATTGTTTATTCCTCCTTTCTCTCCTAGATTTGTGGAAACAAAATTAAAAACTTAAAATAGAGAAAGCAGGGAAGCTGGTGGGAAGGGAAAAGGCAGAGGAAATGGAAAGGGAAAAGGAAGGAAAGATTTTGCACAGAGCTGGGATTTATTTACAGTTTTGTGGGACACTATTTCCTTGAACTCAAGATCCAGAATCATTTCTGAAGACCTTAGATGCATGTGGATGGGCTCTAAGCTCGTTTTATTTTGTACAGAGCTCTACAAAGGGGCAGTCAGCCAGAAAGCTAATGTGAAGATAATGTTTTGCTTCTCCTGGGAACTGATTGAAGTTACACAGTCTGAGTTTGGCTTTTTTTTTTTTTTAACAGCTTCCAACAGTAAGATGTTGGTTTGCCTCTGAGGCAGAAACCTCAGGGAGAGAAGCAACACATACATAGCCCTGGCCTGAGAAAGAAATAAAGTGGGAAAGAGCCTGTATCTTTATAGGCTTAGAGAACACACAGGAAAAAGAAAAGGGAAAAATGTCAGGGAAGTAGTCAAAAATTACAGAGAAGGAGCTAAGAGAGATTCTAAAGTCTACATACAGCCCGAGGAGGAAGAAGGATAAACACTGAGACTATTCTGGTACCAGGTGTGATTCAGAGTCAGTTAGTAAAAACCATTCTTAAGAACTGTTTTTGTTTCATCAATTTACACCTTTACCAATCACTAGTAAACTGAATAATTGAAAGAAGGTATGTGTGATATAGCGTGCTAATTTAATATAATGAGAATGTGCAAATAATACAACCAAAAACTGAATACTTACAGAGTCCAGGATTGGACACTTATTTTGTCCAAGAAAAAATGGGAGACCAACAACAATGGCAAATAAATAAACATGTAAATAAATAGAACTCTAGTCACTGGATTTTTTTTTTCTTTTTTTTTGTACCGGGGATTGAACTCAGGTCCTTACGCTTGCAAGGCAGGCCACCGAACCACTGAGCTAAATCCCCGGCCCATGTCAATGGATTTTTAAAAACTGGTCAAATTTCTAAAAGATTAGTTCAGTAGAAATTCGTATCTTATTTAAGTCTAAATCTATTTTCATTACTTTAAAACAATTATTTTAAGTTTCAGCATATTGTTTATTTTTACATTCTGATAAATTTTCATAGCAAGATGTGTAAATGTGTTACTGAGCTCAAAATTTTAAATAACCTAAGTATATATAATTCAGGATTTTTTTCCTTGCCTAAGTTTGAGGGTATGTTTCTTTGAGTTTTCTATTTAACCACTCAAAAGTCCTTCCCTGATTGAATTCACACATTATATCTGTTGAGAGAAAATGAACAGATGTAATGTAACCAAACCATACTGAACATCTGTTTTTAAGCTAAAGGAAGGGTCTAAAATCATAATCTATGGTATTAGTAGGAGAATAGATTGATGCTGAGAAAGTGGTGTTTGGTAAAAGGTTCTAGTTAACTCCATATGACTCAGTCCATCTATTAAGGAAAGCAAAACACAACTGTAAGCCCACACCTGCAATGAAATCTGTAAGAACATCAATGTACAAAATCAAAAAATTAATGACTATTACTGTCACATCTGCTGCTCTAAAGGGAGCTTGCTAGTTTGGCAGAAAGCAGAAAAAGCAGGGCAGAAAGTGCCTTGGTTAGAATAAAGTGTCAAAGAGAAGTGATGAGATCCACCAGACACGGGAAAGAGTGAGAGGAAGCCAGAGGTGCACACATCCCTGGGGAAGAGCAAATGTGCAGAGTGTGGTCTATCTGCAGGACGGTGACCCCGAAGAACACAGTTGGAGGGATGGAGCACAGGCCTTTTACCTTGTGTCTGCGCGAGCAATAATGAAAGCAACTTTCGGCTGTGTCGGAAGGATCGGTTATGGTATTTGGATTTCTCCAGGGTCTCTCTAAAGCATCTCAAAGTGTCTGTCACATCCACAGGCACAGAGACAAGCTGTTTGGCTCGTATGTACTCTGGAAGGAAAGGGACAGGGAACACGAAGGGTGAGATAATACACCGAGCCCACGAGTAGCAGACCTGGTTGGTTGTAATTCAGGGAATTTCTTTGTCCCAACCTAAAGCTGCTAAATTCAAAGCCCCCAGATCTGAAGCAGGTATTTCAATATTTCGATCTTTTTTTTTCTTTTTGGTATATTTGAAAGTTTTTTTTAAAAAACTTAGAAAAGTTTTGATTCTTATGAAATGCAAATAACTTTAGATCTTGCCAATTTTCCTTATGAAGTCTCCTACTTTTTCTTTTGCTGATCATAAAAAATGAAATAATCTCCACTTCAGCAGCCTCTTCAAAGCAAAGACGCCTTGGGAAAGAGACGAAAGGAAGAAACAAAGAATCCTGCAGACCGGCAACTACTCTCGGAAGGGGAGGACAAGACAGGTTCCATAGACAGGAAGATGCAGGGGGAAGAGGTGGGACAGTGAGTGGGTCAGCAACGAACAGCCACCCTGAAGAGGAGATGGTGTGGAATCAGGATGCAAACGTGCTGCACATACCGTGAAGTGGGCCAGAGAGAGGAATGACAGAGGGATTTACTTTGTCTGTACCCTGGACATGTAGAACAGGCCTATAAATGCTAAGGTCTTTGACAGTGTAGCAGCTTACTAGGCAACAACACTGTAAGACACTGAGAGACGCCAGCCACCTTCATTCTGAGCTCACAGTGGAGCCGAGGAGAGGGGCGCTATGACCCGGGACGACTGAAGTCACACGTGCAGGGAGCACATGTAGGTGATGCCACCAAGTGAGGGAAAGATGGAGGCACAGGCAGGAAAGGGTGAAGAAGAAAGACTGTGAGAGAGAAAATATATAGCTGAGTCTTAGAGAAAAGGAAGAAAGGCAGGGGTTTTAGGTAGTTAGAAAAGAATAGGAACAGCTAAAATTTACTGAGGACTTATCCTCTATCACAAATTATTCTAAATCATTTACTGTGATTGACTGAATCCTAAAAACAACCATCAGAGGAATGTACCATTATTATCCTCATTTACAGAAGAGGAAAATAAGTAAGGGACTGATTGCTTCCCCGAGGACACAGAACTAGTTTGTGCCAGTGGAGGTACAAAGGCAGTAGGGAGAGCAGGCGGTTAACATGGCCAGTCCTGTGGAACAGACAGGTCTGTTAGGGTCCCCTAGGGTCCCAAAGCACACCTTCCTGGAGCAGAATTAAGCTGTTGGGTGGAGAACCAAGGAGGGGTTTTTGCAGGACTCTGACAGAAAGGGATGGGTACTTTAGGACATGTTAACCAACGGTCATTCACATCTGACTGCCACAGAATGAGGCTAGTGGCTCAGAGACTGCCAAGCTGCCACACAGACATCGTGTGATTGAACTCAACTACAGTTCGTAGCAATGGACTCCAGGGAGGCACATGGAGAACATTCCAACATGAGAAGCAACAGGAACAGCTGACTGGTTTTGTGCTGAAGAGGAAAACGAGAAGTCACCTCTTCCCCCAACCTTTCAGGGTTGACAACTTGCTTCCCACCCCACTTGTAAAAAAGGTCAAGAGTGGAAGAATCCACGGAGATCATCCACCTCAGCCACCCAGCCTGGACCCGGTGCCCATCGCACCTCCAGGCAGCACTCTAGCTTTCGCATTTCCCTCTCCGCTCTGCTGAATCATCCCCAGTAACACAGTTTTCTGCTATTACTTCTATCATTAAAAATAAAAGAGGAAAAACACCTCTCTCCTGACTCCAGTTTCTCCCCACGCTACCATCCCATTTCTCTGCCCCACTTTATACCAAAACTCCTCAAAAAAATTGCCTTTACTCATTGTTTTCCATCCTCTCTTGAGCCCACTTAAATCAGATTTCTTCCCTTTTGTCTTAAAAATTCTTCTACAAGTCCTCAAAGCAACCCCTGGGGTCCTCCATGACTCCTCTGCCCACTCCTCTCACACAGGCATGCTTCTACCCCACAGTTTTGGCAGCCATGGTTCCCTGTGGTCTAGAGCATTCTTTACTCAGACACCCTATGTCTTGCATTCAACTCCTTGAGGTTATTGCTTTAACTGTTATCTTCTGAGTGAAGCCTTCCTTGTCACCCTACTTCAAACTGTAGCTTACCCTCTTCAAAACTTCTCTTATCTGTGAAGCAATCAATTGTTTGACATAGTGGTTTGACTTGTTTATTGGCTGGCTCCCCTCAATAAAATGAAAAAATTTCACGACAGCAGGGACTTCATGCATGTTGTCAGCTGCTATATCCCAGGCACCCACAACAGTACCTGCTCCATGGTGTGTGCTCCACAGTATTCTGGGACAAGCTTTATTAAAAATCTCTTCTATGAGTTAATCTCAATTATACACAATAATTTCTCACAGATCTGGGGGCTAGAAGTCTTCCTTCCTGGCAGATTATTACCTTCTCAGGTATCTCTTTTCATATGGCTAAAATGGGTCTCAAAGACTATCTCTTTAAAAAAAAAAAAGGCACTAATGCTACTTTATGAGAGCTCTATCCTCATGACCCAAGTTCTCTCCAAAGACCCCATGTTCTGATACCATCACAATGAGAGTTAAAACATCAATGTATGAATTTTGAGAAGCCAGAGGAATCTGGCCCATAACAGCAAGCAAAGGGAAGGGAGTAAGGCTAGAAATCCCCATAAAGTAATAATATCCAGGCTTTAGTTTTAAATAACTGTTCAAATTGGGGTGATAATATTTACTTTGGGGGGCTGTGATTTGAACACATAGGAAGTATCCAGCATAGGCCTGCCACAGAATAAACAGTAGCTACAGGGTCCTGTTCTAAGAGGTAGTCACACATTTTTAAAACAGGCAGCGCCACCTTTATTCTGGTCAATGATAGATGGCACTATGCTGGTGGTCCCACGGGGGTGAATCACCTCTCGATATTACAGTCACCTTAGTTTGTGTAAATACAGGCTGACATTCCCACAACAACAAAACTGCCCATTAATGCATCACTGAAAGCATATCCTATTGTTAAGCAAGGGATGACTGGACTGTTGAGCACTCATAGGGACGAAGTACCTCCATGCCTGGAGGAAATAAAAATGAACAAACTAGCACAATACCTGCTCTCACAATGCTTACGTTATAGAGTAAGAACGCAGAAGATGAGCTAGTCATGTAATGCACGCCTGGGATCCCAGCACTCTGGGAGGCTGAGGCAGAAACATGTCAAGTTTGAGTCCAGCCTGGGCAACACAGCAAGACCTTGTCTCAAAATAAATAAATAAATAAAACAAGGTCTGGGGTTGTAGCATAGTACAAAGGCCCTGGTTTCGACCCCAAGAATTAGTGAGAGAGAAAGAAAGAGAGAGAGAGAGAGGAGAAAAAAAACCTCAACAAATGTCATTTATAATAAAAATAGAATAAAATTATCATCAAATAGCTGCTGATAAATAACTGCACTGTATTTTTCCTAAATCGTATTTCCTTTTTCCTTTTTTCAAGTCCTAGCACTTTTCCTTTTCAGTCTAATTAGGGTTATGCCCATGGTTTGTGGATGTCTGCAGCAGATAAATGGTACAAAGCAACAAGAGAGTATCATTAGCTTTGGCGCCCTTAGCCTGATCCCAAGGGGGCTCCTCTAAAAATTTCCATAAATGATAATTCAAAAAGCTATTCCAAAGGCACTACCTCAACAGTTTGAAATCGGTAAGGGCGGGGATTATTATATGTTTTATTGTACCAGTGTAGAAATGAAAACTTAAAAGACCATGACTCCTGAGAGTTAGGTTCACCAAGGAAGGAAACAGGGAGTTACCTGAAATGTGGGGATGCTTTCTACACAATCGTTCAGATCAATCAAAATGCTGGGAAACACTAACAACACACACCTGCCACGGGGTGGGAAAGTCCAGCCCACCTGAGAACTGAATATCCCTACTAGAGAACTTAAATACCAATAAGGTCAAAATCCAAGAAAGAGAACCCAGCTAGAATGCAAAAACAGTTTATAATAATAAAAGGCATAGCCAGGACTATCTCCCCTACAGAGCTTAACAAGTAAGCAAGTTACTCATCCATACAAAAATAATCTATAAAATGAGGTATTCTCACTTCTCCAAATCCTACCGAGACTATACCAAATTACATATGCATTATTAAATAGCAGAAGGGAGAACAGGATGCTGTTAAATAATGAGAACACCAAATGTTCCTAGGCACTGGGGCATTGCAATATCTGTAGTGAAGAATAAAATGAATCAGGCATTACCACCAGATGCTGTGATGACAAAAGCAAATCTATGAGGTTCTAATGGCAATCTTGTCTAGAAGCCAGCATGAGTATACTAAGTCTTATAGAAGAACTGCCAACGTGTCCTGTGACATACCTAAGACCCAACACCCCTATAAGCATGTTAATGACCTCAGTTTGGCACACTGAAAAAGTTCGGCATCTTCAAAATTTGCTGAATAAACCCAAAAGCATAGGTTCCTAGTTATAGAGATCCAAGGGTCCAATAAAGAGCTACAAATTAGAAGCCGAGACTTTAACAGTTCACTGTAAAACCTATAATTAGATGCAGGGTCACCTAAAAATTACCATACTATCACAGTAAGGCAGAGTAAGTATCTGTCTCCTAAGACCACTGAAATATAGCAAATTATTTCTCGAGTGCTATAAATTTGGAGAGGATTCTAACTTGGAAGGGAGCTATAGAGAACAGGCCAGGTGAAACATTCATGTAGGGAGAAATTAGACAGACCTGAGTCTGAATCACAGCCCCACAATCCACAAGTAATGTTTAATTCTCTCATGTGTGATATGAATGTAATGATACTACCTCCTACAACTAAAAATTAAAGAATCTAAGTATAGTCTCAGCACAATATTACTAAGGTCATTTCAATATTTTCCAAATTTTATTTCTGCAAATATTCCTGTTTTAATCATAGCCCAAACTGGCTATCCTTCCACCAACCGTTAAGATTCAACCCAAAGTCTCACTCTGTAGTGACCGACGCACCAACCATCCCTCTATCCCACCTCCCCAGCCTGCCTTTCCAGGTGTAGCTTTTCCAAGAAGCAAGCAAAGTGTTTTTCTGGCAGATTGCGCCTATCAACAAACACCTCCTGATACTCACCCAGGGCGAGTGCTTTGCTAGGTGCTAGGCAGATGGCAGATGGGTGGGCATTGTCACTGGCGCTTTTGCTATGACACAGCTGAGCCTTTCTCTACCTGTTTCTCTTTCCTAAGTTGCTCTTCCAGATGTCTGACTACAAACCCCTCGCCTTTTGATGCTACTCATCCTTTTGATAACTGTTTTTAACACATTTTCTCACATTTGTAGCAACTCTTTTTAGTCATAGATCCTAAAACAAAGAAACCCCTGAGGTTTCACAGGAAGGATCAAAAAAAAGAAAGAAAGAAAGAAAGAAAAATCAGAACACACCCCAGAAGAATTGCATTCTTTGATCGAGGCCAGTCACCCGCCATGACCACATAACAGTGGTTCTGCTGTTGGTTTACTGAGTGAGGGGCTCATTTCGATCTTGCACTAGTAGTGAGATCTACAAAGTCATGTTCACTGACTGTACCCAAATAAACACTGCTCTCCAACCCTCCTTCCTCTCTGTTTCCCTTCATGGCTGATCCTCTCTTTCACACGCCTCTTGAAACTCTCTACCCTAACACCCTCAGCTGTGTTCCCGACTCCCTGCTTCATTAAGAAATCCTCTCGCACCCAGAAAGAACTCCTTCAACCTCTACCCCATAGACCCACCACCTCCACTCCAGGTCCAGTCTTCCTTCCTTCCTCTACGCCCTTGTGGCAGGGTTCTACTCTTCTGTATAAAGCTAACGCCGTGTGCGTCAGGCTCTGTCTCTTTTCTTCTCGAGGTCCTTCTTCTATCAAAATCCCCTTCTCCTATCTCCAAGCTCTCCCTCTCTAACGGCTCTTCTCATTTAATCCACAAATACGCTCCTTTCCTTCCACTGCAAAGACACACAAATGAAGCCAGGACCCTCCCAGGAGCCCCGTGCTCCCCGTTTCCTTCCAGCTTCTCCATCTCTCTTTCTTATCACTGCTAAGCCTCCTGCAAGGCGACTCTCTACTCAGTGGATCTCTGCAGGTCCAGCCCCGGGACCCCCACTCTCCTCCTCGGCATTTCCAAGGTCACAAAGCCATTCATTCAGCAAACAGACACTAAGTTCGTGCTATGCACCTGAGGATTTTATTAGTGAACAAAGCAATGGTCCTTTGCACTCATCAGGCTTACATTTTATCAGGGGAAACATCAGTAATTAATAAATACCAAAAAAACCTAGCGTATACAGATACTGAGAAGTGTTTCAGAATTTAAAAAACGCAGCTGCAGAGGCAATGAGAGAAGTGGGAGGAAGCAGTTTTTACACAGAATGGTCAGGGTGAGCCTTGCTGAAAAGACCAGCACATAAGGACTCAAATGAGGCGAGGGGTTTGTAGTCAGACATCTGGAAGAGCAACTTAGGAAGGAGAAACAGCTAGAGAAAGGCTCAGCCGTTCACAGCAAAAGCGCCAGTGACAATGCCCACCCATCTGCCAAGTGCCCTTCCTCAGCGTATGTGACCTCTCTTGACCTTCACTCTTCCTGAAAGCTCTCTGGCCGTGGCTCTGCATGCCCCCCTCTCAAGCTGTGTCCCCCACCTCCTTCACATTCTGCTCTTCCTTTCTGCTCCCATGACAGTCATCGGGGCTTGTCACATACTCTGTGCCTCTTCATCCTGAGTGCCCCTTTGAAGGTAGGCATGGTTGTGAAACTTCGGGCAACAAAACGTCAGCAGACGTGACATGCGTCACTTTCTAGTGAGCAGCTTTTCGAGCCAGTGCATGATTTACCACATCTTTATCTCACTGGAAACATGGAAACAATAAACCCACCTCACTAGGTGGCTGTAGGCTAATATGCACAAAGCATCTGTAAGAGTAGCTGGTATGCAATTCTTTCACTGGAGTTGTCATAAGAGTTAAATAAGAGAACCCATATAATGCCCTTGGCCCAACACAAACACATGCAATCACATGCAAACCTTCAGGACAAGCCTCTCGTAGAGCTCTACCAGAAGCAGCACTAGCATTCTGCTCCTACCTTGGAAACAGTTGTGCAAGTTGGATCAAGGTGGACATTGCAGCCCAATGAGAGGCAGCCAAGTGCTCAACGTCACTGAACACCATAGCATGGGCAAGAAGGAGTCTTTCCCGAGTGTTATCAAACCTGAAGCTTATTTGTTACTGCTCTATAGCCCTAGCCTGTTCCGGCTGGTACAATTTTCAAAATGTTGGAGCTATTCAAGAGGTTACCCTGAGGTCTATACTCCACATAACTCCCTGCAAGACTTCACCCAAGTCCCTGACTTCAACCACCACCAATATATTGGTGACTAAGGCCCAGCTCTCCAGCTCAGCTCTCTCCTGAGGGCCTCCTGAGGGTACCCAAGCATATGCAGATAGCTCTACCCAGTCACCACCCAGGCAAAGAGACTCCGTTGTTCCAAAGCAAGCTTTTCTTCTGACCACACCTCCTGGATTCCCGTCTGTGTGAAGGCATCATGATCTGTCTAAGAAACCCAGAGTCTCTGAACTCCCTTCCCCATGCATCCCTCACACCCAACCTCCACTGCCTTTCTTTGGTATCTGTTCTCACCACCCAATCACAAGCCTTGCCATATTTACTTTCACATAGGAGTTGAAAATGGTGACTCTTCTGCTTCCATGCAGACTTCCTTCAAGAATGACTATTATCATGTCACTTCCTTCTTTAAGTCTTTCTCACCAGCAGGTGCTAGCTATTAATTCTTACTGTGTATGGCAACAGTAATGACAATATTACAGATTTCATTGTTCTGTATTATAATCTCTAGTATATTTACTGAACTCTTTCAATGGAATGTAAAGAGGGTAACAGAGACGTGGTCTCATTCATCCTTGTTGTCTTAGTAACTAGTATGGCACTTAAAACACTGCAATAGCTTTTCAGTAAATGTTTGCTGAACAAGTGGTAGACTGGTTGAATGAATGAATGAGTGAATGAATGAATGAAATGATTATATATACACACATAAAATCAACAGACATGTGAAAAAATTCTGACACTTCAAAGAGAAGACTTACATTTTCTTCCTAAGCTAGAAAAGTGTAAAACAGGGCGGGTGTTATTTACATATTCGTTTTATTCCTTTGCCTCATTTCTTCAAGTTGCACTGCCAAAAGTACTCTGGAAGGGTTTATCCACCAAAATCAAACAAGTTGTGGCATTCCAAATCATCCCCTGCACACTAGTTAAAAGACCACCATGTTGGCCACAAGCGAGCCCACAGAACAGTCTACAATATACTGAAGACGGAAATGGGAACCTTTGTGGGAGTCAAAACAGAACAAAGAAAGCAGCAAGAGTTCAGATAGCCAGGAGTTCCCAAGGGAGATAAAACAGAGGAAAATGTGCAGCAGACTTTTACATCTTTACTTTTTTCCATCAATTTCTCCCTGTTCCTTTCCTTTCATTTCTCTTCTTTAATTTACAGGTTAAACTTTTTTAAATGTGTTTTAATCCCCCATAACTGACATCTACAGCAATGGAAGATGGTAAATATCAAGTGGGTTAATTTCAAATAAACCTGCAAAAGAGCTTCTCAAATATTATAATTATGGAAGATTTGGCATGCCGAACATAATGGCAAACCTTCATTCAAAGAAAATCTGGGCTCAATCTAAGATCGATTCTGGGACCAGGGATTTGCCTGCCTCACAAGTGTGAGGTCTCAAGTTCGATCCCCGGTACCAAAATAAATAAACAAATAAAAATTAAAAATCTAAGATTGATTCTGACCTGAATAGATAAGCGCCTTTAGTGCATCTGCAGTGCCTCCTGCTTCTGCTACAACACTAGGCAGACAATCTATCTTCAGCTGCTTCCCCATGAAATTTCGGCAGGTGAGCTTTAAAAAAAAAAAAGGTGAAAACGAGTATTATTTAGTCAGTTATTTAGAGTTAAAAAGTCTGGCTTACTTGAAATATTTATGTCACTGTTCATTTGTTAAAGTGAAGAAATACAAAACAATACTACAAATAAAACCTGACAGAAAGAGTTCACCATGGGAACTTTGGGGGAAATTGTGGCTGTATAATTTTTCATATTCCTTTTGTATAGCACAGGTGGAAGAGCATTAGGCAAATTATGCAGAGCAATTAGAATATAATTTCCTGGTATTCCACATAACCACGAATCTAAATATATCTTCCATTATGTAAGTTGAAACATATTTAAACTATCAGCTGCTTTTGTAACATCAGGTTTTTTAGCTTACTCGTAATTAAGGAAATTTTAACTTCCCAGGTAAAGTTTTTCAAAACTAATTCTCTCTGTAGCATTTATTTTCTAAAAGATAGTTGAGCCTTCAAGTTGTAAAATACTTGAAAAAAGAAAATTTTTAGACAGAAGGAAATTCCTTTAAAAAGTACCAAACTCTCTTCTCTCCATTTCTCCAATCCTATTCCTTGATCTAACCTATCATTCAAAGCATAGCCTTTCTTCTCAAGCAGATAATTCTTTATTTTCCTTTGTGGGTACCTTCACAGTGAGACATAAACAGACTAATAAAATCTAAACTCCTTCCCACAGTCTAATAAAGCTCTAGCTGACCTGGTCCTTCCTACCTCTCCCATTTATTAAACAAATCTTTATTGAACACTTACTATGTGCCAAACACTGAAGGGATAATACATCAGAGAACAATAGCAGCAAAAATTCCCACTTTTTTAGAATTTATTCTAGTAGAAGAAGAAAAAATAGTGAAGTGTGTTTATAGTAAAGAGTTTTGACTGCTCTAGAAATAAATAGAACAAAGGTGCATCTAACTTCAAACAGGGTGGTACGGAAAGGCCTCAGTATGAAGGAAACAACCAGCAAAACTTTGAAATCTGAAAAAAGTGAAGGAAACCCAGTGTGGGCTGAGGGGGCAGTATTTCAGACTGCGCAACTACAAATGCAAAGACCTTGAGGCAGGTACACCTTAAAGAACAGTGAAGTTAAACAGTGCAGTTGAAACTTGAAGGTCACCAGAGACAACAGGAATGGCACTTAAGCAAGCTAAGTATACACCACCAAGGTCACAATTCTGAGTCGGTTGGGAAGACACTGTGGGGACCTAAGCAGAGATGTGACATGGTGTTAGCTTGGGCTTTTGTGTCTGCTGCATTAAGAATGGATTCCAAACTAGACAGCAGTGCGGGGTAATGAACCCGGGCAGATACAACAATGATTGGCTCAGAGGGACAGTGGCAGGGAGAAAGCATCAGCTTCCGACTGTATGTTGAGGGCAGAAGATTTGGAAAATTGTCTGTAGTATGGCAAGAGAACAAGGGAGGAGTCAAGGATGTCCCCCCGGGTGTCTGAACTCAGCAGCTGGAGGAGTGGGGCTGTTGGCACTGGAGGAAGGCTCGGTTGGACAGGCTTCTTAGAGACGCGCTAAATTTGAAAAGTATATTCATGCCGAAGAGAGGACATTAACGAGGTGGCATGGTGGTTTTCCACAGAGAACTTGATTAGAGCTAAGCTATGAGAAGGAAAGGGAGGGAAGCATCCACACTTTATCCCAGTTCTTCAACCAAACACTAACCTAGGCACTGCTGTGAACGGGTTGTGCAGATGCTAACTGAAGTTCTCAATGAACTGAGCGTGACCTGGGGAGATCGCCCTCAGTGGGCCAGGCCTAATCAGGTGAATCGTGGACACACCAGTGGTCTGCAGGGCTCTTCACGACCAACAGAGGTCAGGCCTCCCAATAGCCCTCTCTCCCTGGTCCGGCTGTGGGTAAGAGCTTCTGTCTGTGCCTGTGGGGCTCCTTCTGATGGCCTCCCCTTGGACTCACTTAACCAGCATTCACCATCATGCAAGCCAATTCCTTGCAATAAATCCAGAGCCAGAGACAGAAAGACAGAGAGAGATATCTTGATAACTCTGCTTCTCCAAAGCTTCACTGGTGGAGGCAGGTATGAGCTATATTCCAACCCAACACTCAGGAGAAAGGTCCAGAGTAGAGATGTAATTGACAGTTGTCATCATAAAGATGGGCTTAAAGCCACGGGCTGAATTAACCTGCTGACAAGAATGCATGGATAAGGAGACAGGAGGTCCGAGAGCAGAGGCAAGGCACACTAACACCAAGACCCTGGGAGAAGAGGAAGTCACAACAACGGAGGCCAGAAGGCACAGCGCAGCTTTGGATCCTGTCATTTCTCTGCACCATCCCAGACCTTCTTGCTGTCCCACCTCAGCACCCCTGCCCTTGCTCTCCCCTGGGACTGGAGAGATGTTTCACCAGACCAATGTGTGGCTGCCCCTTCTCAGTAGGCACAGCCCTGTCCAAGAGGACTCGCTGAACGATCCACCTCCTGCCCTAGTCCACCTATGCCCCACTGATCTATTTCATTTTCTTTAGAGAACTTGTGATGATCACAAAGCTTTGCGTTTATCTGCCTACACGTCTGTTATCTGGCCCCATCTCCAACCTCTGACAGTAAACTGCATGAAGCAGGAACTCAGCTGTATTCTCACCACATGGAGCATGCAGGAGGCAAGGCCCCCACTGGGGCGGAAGAGGCAGAAAGTGCATGAAGGCAACACTTCAAGCCCACAGCAGGGACTGGGTTCCAGCCCCACGTACACTGAGGCCGATGGGCAGGACACAGACTGCACAGCCATGTTCACTGGCTCTGATCAGGCAAGGCAGTACACTGTCATCACACAGTGGGGATATTAACTTATCTCTTTCCTCTGTCTGATTCAAGCTGGGCACTTTTGCCTTCGTGGGCCTATGCCTCCATCTAAAAAGTACTAAACATTATATTTTAAGACTGTTTTGGTGTGAGTATCAAATTACTAATTGTAAAAATTAAAACATTTTCTCTACCCTACATTTTACTTTCTTTTCATTTGAAAAGCAATGAAAATACTTACAGTGGACCCCTAAAAATACTGTGGGCTCCAGACACGGTCCCAACTCTGCCTAATGGTAAGTCAGCCCTGACCTGAATATGAGCTTCCGGGAGGTGAGGCCTTTGTTACTGTTAAGCCAGTGACTGGAGAACGCTGCTAGTAGCAAGCTCTATAACGTCAGTTGATCTGAATGATAAATGCCTCATTAAAAATAATACTTTTCTGATTCCTGAACCTTTGTTATTATACGCACACTAGTAAGAAATGCACAACTGCATGAATAACAGAGCTGAATTTACCTTCTCTCCATGTTCAGCCTCATACCTTGCACAAGGCTGTTGGCTAACATCCGGGCCATTGAACTTCTGTATTCTCAGAAGAAGCTGATGCTGGGCATACACCAGGAGTGGCGTCACCTGTTCTGTGTATCTCTCACTAGGTGGGGGAAAGAAAGCATTAAAAAGCAAACACTAGCTAAAGTACTTTCTGTGCAACGAAGTCTGTTACTTATAACGGCAGCAGTACTTACTGTGAAATCATATTGAACTGAATGGCAAGTGACGCTAGAGTTTCCCATTTTTCCACTTGATATAAAACTTCCAGAGATTTTAGCACAAAGTCATGGATCCACTTCAAATCAACCACGTTAACATCATCCAAAGGATCCTCAAAAGTAAGGCTGGAACCACCGTTATCAGACTTGATGTTCCCGTAATAGCTTGGAACACTGAACTCTCCTTTGTCTTCGACAGACTGCAAATGGCACATTGCAAAAAGAATTTTTGTGTAATTTCCAATTTTACTACCTTTTTGCTGAAAAGATGAATATTATGGTGTGAAGAACTGAACAAAAAAAGAAAATGTGAAGTATGTGTGGTGCTATCCAACAGAAGCTTCTGTGATGATGAAAACACACTTGTTTTCTGTATGTAGCTCTGTACAGACACTAGACACATGTGGCCACAGAGTACTTGGGGTGAGATTAGTGCAACTGAATTCTTAATTTTATTTAATTTTAAGTATTTCAAGCTTAGGTTTAAATAACCACATATGGCTGTTTACTATAGTAAAAAGCACAGTCTGAGGCCTATACTTTATATATAGCTGTTATCCACTTATGTAATGGTATCAAACCACTATGCCAAAGCTTTAGGATAAACAAGTTCGGGTATATGTAAATAAGGAAGTTCCCTACCAACTTTATTACATCAACTAATGTACATAACTGCATATCCACTCCCTTGGGGTAAGTCAAACCCAAGGAAGAGGAAGCCTTCTAACCCCTTTTTGCCTGAATTATTGGGAACTAAGCCACTGTTTTAACTATAATATTGTGTTCATTTCTCATGTGTCCCTGATACATTTATCTGTTCTAAAAATTTTTGAGTCGAAATAAAGATTTTTAGATCCATCTAAGTGAGGGTTAATTTACAGCCCAAAACAGTTGAGCAACTCAAGCCCTGCTTCTCCTATCCTGCTGATACCATTAAGGGAGAGGAAAGGGATTAATGAAAGTACAGGCTAAGATTTATAATCCTTGAAGTAAAAAGACCTTGGAAGCTGGGCATGGGGCCATGAGACTATAATCCCAGCATTTGGGACACAGAGGCAGGAGGACTGCCATGAGTTTGAGGCTAGCCTAGGGGCTACATAGTGAGTTCAAGACCAGCCTGAACTACACAGCGAGATCCTGTCTCAGAAAAAAAAAAAAAGACCTTGGAAGTCATCAGGCTGTGAAATCAGTTGCATACCTGAGGTTAGGCTGCACAGGGCTAACAGCTGCAGCACTTATTCCATACCACAGTGCCCTGCCCACAGGATGTGCTTCATAAAAGTTAGTTGGTCTTTTATTGATATTATGGGCTCAACCCCTAAGCCACTGACTCTGCAAGAAGACAAGAACACAGCCTCAGGAGCAAAGGCTGCAGAGGGGGTGCCCTCCATGTCTCTGACCTGAGGCTCCAAGTGGAGCCGTCCCTGGCCTTTGCTCACTCCTCTCAGTGAAGAAACCCAACCTACCTGACCTGGCCCTTCCCAGGTGATGGCGGTCAGAGCCTGCCTCCCCGCAGGACCAAACCGTCACATTCCCTGGTCCCTCCCTATCCTTAAGAGGAGAGGTTTCTGTTAGTCATGCCTGAGCCATGAAGGAAATTCTCTTCGGGGGTGAATAGGGGCGTCCCATGTGATCACTACAACTTCTGATAGAGTCCATCGAAGCAAAGCGGACGTGTTACCTCCGACTGTCTCAGCACCCAGCTCTCAACTGATCCCACCCCAAGAGAGGAGAAAAGAGTGTTTACTACTGACTTTCTCATTTTAGCAACATTACCTGAAAGCACCAAGGAAAAGACATTTGAGGTTCAAAATAGCACATAGAAACTGAGATTTCTAGCATAGTCAAGGATAGATTCCAAAATGCTGAAGATTTACTAGGGGCCATGTGTCATTCTTTAAAACTTTGTATTAAAGAAAATTTCTAACACTTTTCAAAAGAAAAGAAAAGAACATAATGAGGCCCAATGCACCCACCACCAGCTTCGGTAATGCTCAACTCTCGGGACATACACGCTTACTCCATTATTTTGAATTACAGCCCAGAAATTATATTAATCAATCTACAAATACTGCAATATGTTACTCCAAAAAAAAATTAGTTTTACAAAAACATAACCATATGCTAATCCTACTGAGAAGGAGGTTAGCAAAAATCCTATAAACTTATTGAATAGCCACTGACTAGTGTTCTCATTTCCCTTATTATCTCATAAAGTTTTTAGAGTATTTTAGGTCAAACAGGATCAAAACAAGGCCTAAACATTGCAATTTTCTGTGTTCTTGTCTTTTACGTCTATAGGTTCTATCTCCTCTTTTATACTTCACTGTTGTCTTTTTTTTTCTTTTTCACTGAAGAAACATGTTTCTCTGTCCTGTAACATTCCCACAGTCTGGATTTTGCCAATCGTATTTCTAAGATTTTACTGAAAATGTTCCTTTGTTGACTATACCTCCTGTAAATTTTTAGGTCTAAATGATGATTTGATTCCAGTTTGATATATTTTTTTCTGGTAAGTACACATAGCCGCTCATCCTCCAATTCATTCATTGCTAATCTCAAAGTCCTGGTGTCCCAATTCCAACATCCTTTCATCGTTTACTACCTCAATACTTCTATGAGGAACAAATCCCCTTTGTTAGCTATGTGAGACTGTTAATGTAAGTTAGGTAATCAACTTTTTCCTTCAGTGAAAAGTGGTGTTGAAAGACCATGACAGAGCTGCTAAATTGTCAATCTTCTCTATCTCTTTGAATTATGATGTCTCCTTTGTTTTAAAAAAGAATGTCATATGTACGGTTCTGTTTTTATATTCTCTATTTGTTCCCTACTGATACATTTCTCTTTATGGTAACATCATACTCCCCTAATTTCGGTGGCCTTGGAATCACACAGTGAACCCTCCAAATTTGTTACTTTTGAAAATTTGTTTGGCCATTTACAATTCTTCTCATTTGCTTATAAATTTTAGAAGGAACTATCAATGTTTACAGCCAAAACTCCTGCTGTGATTTTCCTTGGGATTTCACTGAATCCATCAATCGAGTTGGGAATAACTGATATCTTACTAGGTCTTCCTATTTGTGAACATTACCTAACTCTTCATTTATTTAGGACTTTAGTTTTTTCTGTAATGTACTACATAGTTTTTAATGTGAAAATCCTGCACAAGCTTCATTAGATGTATTCCCAGATACATGATATTTTGGATTATATTTTAAGTGGAATTATGTTTAAATTTTCACTTTCTAATTGTTTTCTGCTGGTATCTAGAAATATAATTTTTGAATGTTGATCTTATACCCTGCTTTATTAGTTGTAGTTGTTGTTTTATAGAGTCCTGGGGGAGAAGTGGGGATTCACTATGGAAAACAATCCTTTGTCCACAAAGAAAAAGTTTTATTCATTCCTTTCTAATCTGTGTTCCTTTATTTTGTCTAATCCATACGGGCTAATAACTGCGGCACAATGTTGGATAAAAGTGGAATGAACAGACATCCTCGCTCTGTTCCAAACCTTAGGGGAAGGAAGGCAGTATCCGCCATTAAGTGCACTGTCACTTGTAGCTGACTCTATCAAGTTGAGAAAGCTGATTTCTTGTTAATTTAATTTTTAACTGACACATAAAATTTGTACATATTAGTGGGGTACCACGTCATGGCTCATACGTGCACACAGTGTGTAATGTTTACATCACATTCAATATTTCTGTCTCCACAGGCATCATTTACAGCAGAAATTTTCAAACCCATTTCTTGCAGCCTTCTGAAATGTGTGGGACACTACTGTTACCTGTGGTTCACACGCTGTGCAACAGTACAGCAGAACTTCCTGCTCTTGTGACTTAGTATACAGTGATCGACAGTTCTCCACCCCTCTCAAGAAAGATGTCATCTATTCCTAGTTTGCTGAGAGTTTCTGGCACCCATAGACACTGAATGTTTAAAATGCTTCTACTGTACTTGTCCCACTGGCCATGATTTCCTCCTGTATCTTGTTAATACAGAGAATTGCATGGATTGCCTTTTAAATCTCAACCTTGCATTTCCTGAACAAACCCTACCTGCTCACCATTTGCATGTTTTTATATTTGGGGGTATTAATTAGATCACTATCTGCATATTGTGAGGATCAACTTGCTAAGGTTGTACAGCCTGTGAGGGATGTTGCCTCATGTCAATATCTCTGTTAAATAAATTTCAGCTGGCTTCATTGATGAAAAAAAATACAACAACAACAACAACAATGTAAGGCACTTTATTTCTTTTGTGTATGGTTGCGAGAATTCCCCAAGGAAATATCCTAAGTTTGGAATTTTCTTTATGTGAAGGGTTCTACAATTCATTTCCTTTAGTACATTTACGGATATTCATATTTTCTGTTTTTTCTTGTCTCAGATTTGTTAAGTTATACTTTCCAATAAGTGTGTCAACTTCCTCTAAGTTATCAAAGTTGTCAGTAAAAATTGATCACAGTATTCCCTTATTTTTTCTTTTATTATCTATAGAATCTGTACTTATATTTCTGTTTAATTACTGATATCAGAAATTTGTTGTGAATTTTTTTTTTTTTTTGCTGTTGTTTTGTTTTTGTTTGGAGAAGCTGTTCATTTTTTTTCTTGTTTTTGTTGTTTTGTGACAGGGTCTGTAGTTCGGGCTGATCTTGAACTCACTATGTAGTGCAGGCTGGCCTCAAACTTGCAGCAATCTTCCTGCCTCAGCCTCCTAAGTGCTAGGATTACAGGCCTAGGCCACCACACCCAGCAACATCAGGAAATTTGTGCTTTTTTATTTTTGTTTTTCATGATTATTCTTAGCAGCAGTCCAGTTTTAATAATCCTTTCAAAAGATTTAATTTTTGACCATATTAATGTTTTCTTTTGAGTTTCTTTTTGTTTTGCTTTATATCTACTGATTTCTGCTCTATTTTCTTCATTTTTCTTACACCCTTTCCTCTTTCTACTTACACTGAAGTTAATTTCTTCTTCTTTTTCTAGCTCCTACAGGTGGATGCTTTCTTCTTTTCTATCAAGCATTTATAAGGCTATGACTTTTCTCCTCTGCACAGCTTTATCTGAATCCCTCAAACACTGGCATTCTAACATCAGCTTTAAACATTTCCCAACTTCTCTTTCGTTCTGTTCTCTATTTGGAACTGTTCTCCATACCTCTGTTTGTACTTGAATTCTGTAGTCACCAAAGAGCACTTCCTTCTAAATTCTACCAAGACTCGCTCTTTTGGCCTTGTCTGCAATCCACGGAAGGCAGGCAGGTGTGCACTCGCGCCCCCTGTCGGTCCTCCAGGGGTGCACACTCCAGTTCTGACTGGGCCCAGAGTGAAGGTCAGACACCATAGGTGCACGGGCTCCACCCTCCACAAGACTGCCCAGCCCTGGGTCTCAGGGTCACTTTTCTCTGGGTGCCCTACTAGGAAATCAGGTGGGAACTCCCTAGAATGACCTCAGAACTCGCTGAAAGCCTGCACTGTGCCCTACGATCACAGCTTTATGACAAAAAACTCAACCCAGGAACAGCCACTTGGAGAGGACGACAGGGTGAGGTCTGAGCCAGTCCCGGACACGGTGTCCCTGCCCTCTCCCTGGAATCAGGACCGAGCACCTCCTGATGCACCAGTGTGTTAAACAGCCAGGAAGCTGCCCAAGCTTGCTTGTCCAGAGTATGTTTTAAATTTCTGTTTTAGGGGCTTCTGGATAGCTGGACATACGGAGGTCCTGGAGAGCAGAAAGGGACACTCAGCTTCCCTTCCCACACCCCTTACCCTGTGTAGCTTGTAGTGGATTAACTAATGGTCAGCTTGATTAGCCCAGGTGAGCTGAATCAGCATGGTCTGGGCGTGGAAGATCCACCTGAGGACTGTTGCCAGCAGCCATAAAAAGAGAACTAGAGAGGGACATCAGGGCTGTCGATTCTGTAGGAGAAGCTTACTGAAGCTGTTCTCATGGGAGGAGGAGCTCAGGGTCTCACTGTTGCCGGGAATGGCTGCTATTCTTGTCAGAGGAGCTCTGATCTTCATGTGAGCATCACTTCCTGGCTCCAACGTGGATCCCTCAGTTTGGTGGCACAAATCCTTCATTCTCACTGGCATAGGTTTTCTGGCTTCCACCTCTGGCCTTTGACCCTTCCTGGTGCAGATCCTCAACATGGACAAACATGAGAGATTGCCATGGGCTCCAGGCCACTGGCTGGACTCACAGAGGACCCTGCCTTGGACTCTAAGCCTTCAGCTGGTCTTGTATGGGACATTACTGTGGGATCCAGGCCCTTGGCTGAATTCTTTGGGCCTCCAGTGTGCAGTTAATCTCTTGCACTCCTCTGCATTTGACTTCTTGGGTAATTATCACAAAATTATCCTATAAGTTATGTGTCCTGTATTTAATGTATTCCCTTGCTAAAACCCTGACTACAACACAGCTCTTCATTTGAATGGCCGTAGCTTTTGGCTGGGGAACACGGCCCCCACCTAGCACTGTAAAATCAAACCATGGACAAAATCCCAATGAAGGCTACAGTTCAGAAAGCAAGGCTGATGAAATTAAAGTAAAAGTTTATAGGCAAGTTGGTATAGCCAGACATAGTTCATGTGGACTATTTTCCATAATGGCTGAATTAATAGACAGTTCCAGCAGTGTGGAAGAGCTGTCCTCCCACTACCTCTTTGCCAGGCCTTGACGCCTTTGGTGTTTTTGATAATATCTATGTTAACTAAACGGAGGGGCTGTCTCAGTCTGGTTTGGACTTGCATTTCCTGGTGCATGCATCACGGGCTAGTCATATTGAGTATTTTCATGTACCTTTTGGCCATTTATATGTTCTCTTTTGAATAATGTCTCTTTAGGGCTATGGCCCCTTTTTAATCAGATAAGTTTTTATCATTTGTCCATTGAGTTATTCAATTTACCCTCTCTGTCTTTTGTGCTATTATTGCCCTACATTTTCAGGTAGAAATATTATAACCTTCGTGGCTCGATGGGTTATATGTTTACTAATTTTCAATATGCTTAGGATATTTTATATTTGCATTTTTTCTATTTTATTTCTGTGCTTTCAACAACAGAGTGATAGATTGTAAATGTCTACAAATTCTAGTAGAGCCGGAGTAACAAGACAGAGACAGATAAAAGAATGCAATAAGGACTGATTGATAATCTGTACTGTCTCTCTGAGAATCTGCCAAAGTGTTTCTTTACTGTCAAAAACATTGTTATAAACACTTTATTTTCATCTTTTCATTATCTCACATTTGTAGATGGGGAGGGGAGGATGGGGTGAAGGGAGGGCAGGGTTAAGGGGAAAAAATGAGAATCAAGACTTGTCATGTACAGGTACAAGATCCCAACAATGAATGTAACTGTACTGTATCCCTAAAATGTACCAATAAACTCAATTAAAGCTGAAAAAAAAATGTTATATAGATTAAGTACACTAAGGTTACTTTAGGAGTTGAACTCAGTACATTTTATTTTCCTTTCTAACAAATGTAATGTTCAAGCTAAAATATTTTAAAATATCTTACTATTTTGAACATTTATGTAAGTCATGTACTGTGAACAAAATAATATTAAAGAAATTACACATACCCACACACACACACACATACACACACACACACACCTCCCAAATGGGAACTCAAGAAAATTACCAGTTTCCACATATTCCAACCTACATGGAAAAAATAGTCTTAATTGAATACAATAAAAGTAATTGCCAAAAAAGCCTTACCTTAATAGAACTGGTATTCTGTAGTTGTACTAACATGTCAATAAGCAATTCTGCTCCCAAATAGAATGGTAAGACAGAGGTACAGAGGAAACCATCCTGGCTCACAGGAAACATCTTATACAGGTCCACTGCCTGACTAAGAAGTATCTGCAGCTCCTGAGTGAAGTTCCAGAGGGCCCGACAGCAGTTCTGAAGCAGAGTCCAATAGCCACCACGATGGGCAAGAACCTATGACAACATTCAAAAGGCCCCAACGTTCCAAAAGTTATATATCTCTGAAAAATATAGCTTTCTGCAAATCTCATGTCAATAATAAAAACACCAGCTATTATGTGCCATTTGTATGTGGTAGATTTAGAGGTGGTAAGATATTAACTTGCATTATCTCACGTGATTCTAACAGTAAGTCCCAGGACGCAGTTGTGCATTAATTCTCTACTCAGAGAGGAAATGAAGGCAATGTCCTAACTTGCCTGTGACCATCAATCTACTAAGGGGCAAAGCAGAACTTACACACCAGGGATGTGAGCAGGGATCTGAATGTTGAATGTGTCGCAAGGAGGCGGGGTGGGGATGTTGGGGAGAGAGGAGCAAGTACGAAGGACAGAGGGCAAATGGAAGGGAAGAAGCCCCATGCTTTCAGACAACAGAGCAGAGGGGGCAGAAGAGCGGAATGTGAAGAGCTCCGTTCCACAGCTGGGCAGGGTGTAGCAATTCCAGGGCCCTGGGGGAAGGAACTGTTAGGAAGGAAGACAGGATTTCATAGTCATGGTCAAAGCGCAACCTTCGGGTTTACATCACCTTTTGTCAAATCACTGTGTCCATTCCATGGAGGACACAGAAACAAAAGTGTTCTTTCTTATCTAGAAAGGATAGAGTCCTCCTTGCGTCTTGACAGGATGGAAATACATGCCCTTCGAGATTTCATTACAACTACTGATTCCAACCCCACATTTAACAGTCCAGTACACAGCATTTAGAAAGAAGAGAGAAAAATCACTGGAATGAAGACCTACGTGGCTAGCTGAAGCAAGTGGCTGGAACAGGGGCAGAGCTTTCTGTAGCCTAGAATGATCTTAGCTTAAGTGAGAATAGAGCGAAAAGCCGATGATATCTCAGGGGACATCAAGACCCCAGAAAGGAACCTTTGGCCCCACAAGAGAATTCTGCATTCGACATGCGGAAAAAAAGCAGCAGGGATGTTATGTGTAGTCACAGGCCCTGCATGGAGAGGGACAAAGGGCACCTGGTGCTGAGTGCACGGACGGCAGATGACCGGAGGAGCACAATCCTCTCTGACAAGTTGACTTCAGAACCATGGGAGGAGGCAAACCTCCAAGTGGCTGAGGCCACATGCAACAAGATGAGAGCTCTTCGAAACTCCAATTATGTACACCTAAGATACAACATATCTCACGTGCCGGTTTATGGGCTGAGATCGATGCGTACTACATGAACAAGTGAAAGTACTACATTACCATTGCTCTCCTGCAGTATAAAAATATTTTCATAAAATAATCCAGTCCCAAATTTGGTGCTCGGTCCTTTTCTTTGGCACTAACACCTGATTGAGAGTCGGAGTCATGAAATGTGTGTGCCTTGGACATATTTTCTTCACTACTTCTGGAATCAGTAAATGCAGAAAACTCTGCAGCATCTACAGTTAAAAAAAATAAGGTACAACATGATTAAAAACATAGAATTTAGTCCCACAGACACAACAGGTGAAAAGCATCAAATAAGTAACCCAGATAACAAATGCAACATAAACTTAGGAAAAAAAACCCAGAATGACCAGGATCTGGTCATCAGAAAACTGTGGAAAGCATTTCAGACAAAGGCGAAGGTGACAGGAACAATGTAGATGGAGGAATGAACACGTTTTGGGAGGAATAATGACAGGACCCCACTGCTCCTCATTTCCCCTCATGCAGAACATTACGGGGACGTGGACACAGCACGTGAACAGCATCCTGAGTTGGGCAATGCAGGAACCCAGCCCTTTGTGACCCTGTGGTGTGACATTCAACAGGGGAATCTCCCCTGCCATCAGCCTTCTCTTCCAACACTGCATTAAATAATCTCAATAGCACAAGAGCCTATTGCCAATTTTATGATGGTCATAACCCAGGAGCCCATTTAAGAAGGAAAAAAAAACCCTCAGGAAAGTACATATTATAATCTATGTACAAAAAGTAGATTCTACATCTATGGAATGTACTTTCAAATACTTCAATATGCATAATATGGTGTACAGGTGCTAGTTAAAGCTAATCCATACCCTAGGAGATACCAGAAACCATGCTGAACACTCAATAGGCATTGACACTACTGGGATAGTGACAAGCATACCAAGAACCCTGACCAGAAGTCAGCTGAATAATGTGTAAAAGGATATTATTTTTTAAAGTCTCTGTAAGTGTGTTTGTATTAGCAGAAAGAGAAACAAAATTTTATTTGTGAAATGCACAGCATTCAAGATAGATTACTGGTTAGGAACAGGTCCATTACCCCACACGGTTATATCCAGCCTCTGTTATTTTGCAGGAAGGGGTATAAGGTCAGTGAAATTTGGCTGATGACAGTTATCAGCATGGCGCCCAGATGGAGACGTCTTTTCTCCCACACATCTCCCAGAGCCCCCACACTACAGCAGAGAAAAACACTTGCTGGTGTGCTCATTGGAATGTCAGTGTACTTGTCCTGGAGTGAGCTTCCATAGAAGGTGCTAGCTGGAGATCCCAGGACAAGAGCAGACCGCCCTGACTACCACATCAGTTCTTACAACTATTTTTGTGTCTGCCTGGATTGGTACATTGGATGAAATTTGCTTAGAGTTACTTCCACTAAAATATGACACCTGACAGCAAGTCTTGACCAACCCTGAACTAATGGAGGCTGCCGATACTTAACAAAAGAGCACTGCATTTGCTGAATGGCCAAATTGGTTTAGGTTGAAACAAAACATAGATGTTTCTAAGTATATGATACTGTATAGATTTTTATATCAAATAGAAAATTTTCCTATAAAACATCAAAATTCAACTAAATTGCTAGGTTTTTGGAAAGTAACATGTACCTTTATAAGTCTGGCCTCTGTGGGTGTGTGTGAATGTGTGTGCATGTGTGTGTCAGTTACCTTCCTGTCACTAGGACAAAATACCAATACCCACAATTTAAAGGAGGAAAGTTTTTTTGCTTCACATTTTCATCCATATTGGGCTAGCTCCAAAGCAGGAAAGGGATGGTGGAAGGGTCTGGTGGGAGAAATCTGCTCACCTCATGGTAAACAGGAAACAGAGAAAGAAAGGACAATTCGGGGAGGGAAATACACTCTCCCAGGTCACACCCCAGTGACCCACCTCTTCCAACCAAGGCCACCTCCTTTCCAGCTCATTCAGCTCTGAACAGTCTCATGATCCAATCGCATCCCCAAAGCCTCACCTCCGAACTCAGGAGTATTTTGGGGGACAGCCTAGATCTAATAGTGTGTGTGTGTGTTAGTGAATAGAAATCTACAGGCAATCTGATAGTAAATCAGCACATTTATTTTACCTGATGGTAAGTTGGCTTTTCTTTTCTTAGCTGTAAGAAGGAAATCAAGCATTGCTTTATAATTTTCAACAGTCATTTTTCCTGTTGGTAATACTGTTCCTGAATTATATAGTGAGAATAAATTAGGATCACATGATCGAAAACTGCAAAGGGGAAAAAAATCACATTAAAAAATAATATAAGCAAAATTGAATTAAATCTGTCAAATACAATCTATTTTTTATTTTTAAAACGTTTGTGACTGAACGCTCTCAAATTTTAGGTCATCAAGTACTTTGGCACTTAATCAAAGCAAAACACTTTCTCATTAACTTTTTGGATTATATAATGTAACCTGGCTCTCAGGAATTTTACCATCAATATCTATTTCCCTGAAAGTGCCCTTGGAAATGGGAATGAGAGAGCTACACTCACTCCATGAGCTCTGAGGCTATCACTTATGTCAATTTAAAATCACTTGATTTAAACACAACCCAATAAAAATGCCTACTATGTAGAGCAGTTTGTTCATAATCACTATTATTTCTTTTTAAAGCCTAAACAGTAAATAATCCTCCAAAATTTAATTCATTCATCAACTAATTACTGAGTATACATTAACTGTTTTTAGCGAAATTAAATTTAGCACCAGGTTCCATGTGCTGAAACAAATCTGACACTGTCTTATTGGGCTGTCGAGGGATGGTGCGTAACTGGCCACGTACAACTGGACACTCAAAGCGACTTCTTGGTGTCCAGCAAGAAATGAGGAAGCCCTGCGTCACAGCTCCGTGAACGGCCACTTTGCAAGGCCAACTGCTTCTTGAATGTAGATCAAGTGGAGCCCGCACAGGAAAGAGAACTATCTGGAAAAGTCTTTGTGAAGGTTGGCCTGCTCGTGATTTTAACCAGGGTTCTGAAGAGACAGACATTATAACCAAGTTCACTACAGATTTCAATCTGTATTTTTGCTGCCTGGATGACCGACATAAATTCCCTCTTAATTCATGGCACAGTCTCCAGTCTTTCCTCCCTTCGATCTATTTGATATTTTAATCCTAGAGAATTTTTGTATCATAGTTCTGCTCAAAAACCCTCAACAATCTCCTCTTTGTAAAAGTTCAGATTTAATAGAAATTGAACATCCATTATCATCTGGTACTGACTTGTTTTTCTTTTACACAGCCTAGATTCTGGTCCAACTATTGGGAGTTCTCATACTATGTCTCTTAGCTGGGTTCTGACTTATATTCCTCTAACTAGGAAATGTCCATGTCCCTATCTGCACATTTCTAAGCCCTGCCTGTCTAGCAAGATCCAGGCTGCTGGTTCCTTCCCATGAAAGCTTTCCTTTTAGGTCTGGTCGGAGCCTCTATCTAGCAACAAAGATGACTTTCGGTCTCGACCTTCTACCATTAATTATAGTCATTCATGAACATTAGTGATATATCCTACCAGTCTTGTGTGTGTGTGTGTGTGTGTGTGTGTGTGTGTGTATGAGAGAGAGAGAGAAAGAGAGGGAATCATCTTTGCATACCCAACACACCTACCTCAGTACCCTGTATCTAATACATATCTCTTCTATTTTTTTTAAAGTTGTATCACGTACAGGTTCAAATTCCCATGATGAATGTGATCAATATGTATGTCAAAGTGTACCAATAAGATTAAATTTAAAAAGAAAGGGTGTTCCAATAATTAAAACAATTCAGGATGGAGTTCTCTGTAATTAGAAGTGTCTAGGTTGAAGCTCAATGTTCGTGTACCTATTAAGACTGTTCTGAAAAGATTCCTAACATCCAGTCTGACTTGGGCCTCATGACCTTAAAGTCATTTTCTACATCTACAATTCGATAACTAGGATAGAAGATATATGCAGTGTACAACTACTTAAAGCTACATGTTTCCATTAATTTTTTCTTCTTTTTCTTTGTTATTTTAGTTCAGGGTAGTTTTTAAGTTTTATACATAACACACTTTATATCTGCTTATCTAAACTTTAGTAGCAGTATTTTTAATTGATTAATTTTATTGGTACATTTAAGGTATACAATGTAGTGATACTCATCATTGGAAATTTGCACCTTTACATAATCCATCTTGGTTCTTATTTTTTTCCCATTCCCCTGCCCTCCCTTCAACCTCTCCACCCCTCCCTTTCTACAAAGACTTTGTTTCCATTTTTTCTTTTTTTCATGTTAATTCCATTCTCATCAATACATATTTCTTTTTAAATGAACAACTCTAAATCACCCCCCCATTAAGTTTATTGGTACATTTAAGGCAAACAACACAGCTACATTTATCACTGGGACCTTGTACTTTTACACAATATGAATTGGTTCTTGTTTTTTCCCAATGCCCCTGCCCTCCCTTCACCCCTTCACCCTTCCCTATTTACAAAGACTTTGTTTCAATTTTTTTTCCTTTTTTCATATTTTTTCTTTTCCCTTATTTCCTTTCCCCTCCCCTTCCTACTTCCCGTTTAGCCATTTTCTTTCTATTTTTCAGTTATACCTTTGAACCTTATTTATACTTTTAGTTTTTCACCACAGAAACTTTGGTATTTATTCAAGTGTGTCCTATTTATTTCACTTAAAGAGTATAGCCTCAATGTGCATCCATTTAGCTATAAATGTTTCTAGTTTTTTATTCTTTATGGCTGAGTAGCATTCCATTTTATAGAAAAGCCACATCTTCTTAAATCACCTTTTTAATGGTTACATAGCATTCCACATCACATACAGATCTATTTTTATTTCCCATAATACTTCAGCCAAAGATACTCAATGAGAGCTCAAAAATGTCTGTTAGATTTAATGATGGAAAAGTTACATTATATGAGAAAATATGATCTATCTTTACCAAGGCTTCGAATATACCTCTAAATTAAAACAAAAATTTGCCTAATTCCTACCAATATCTACAGTTATTATAGAATTACCTTGCACTGAAAGCTAGACTAACAAATATGCTCAAGATATGTGCAAATTAGTATATCATAAGCATGTATATCTAGCACTTATTAGGAAAAGATTCCAAACCAAAAAATTTAAGAAATGTGCCAATATAAAAATATAGACACTATGTACAACTCTTCACATCATCATGAAAATTGAGGCTCATACATACAAATATACAATCCATATTCATGAGACTTAAAAAGTATGATTTACCAATAACATACTCTACCTGACCATCATATGTGAAATGCCAAACTTCATCTTCATATGCTCCCCTAGCCTTTGTAAAAACAAGTGAAAATGCGTAATTGCCAGATACAAGTTCATCTGAGCCCTCCAGGGCATTTCCTCAAGAAATATTTGGTGAAACCTGTTTCTTCTAGCGTAATTTAATATTAGAGGATTCAAGTACTCCGTCAGGCACTGATAAGCTATTCTCCTAACATCAGGTCTTTTGTATCTGCCAAAAAAGAAAGTTTTGAAATTTCACAAAAACTTCTAAACATTAAACAAAAAGAATGATTTCAATCTGTACAAAAATAAATCAAGATGTCACTTAACTGTCCTTACACAAATGTTTCTGGTTTGTTTATCATTTCCTCAGTGCTGAAAAGGTAAAATAGAGTGGAAAAGAAGACACAATGATAAGCACCAGGGACAAGGACATCACATATGGCCTTCAACTCTCTCTAATGTTTCAGCTCAACCCAGAGTTCTTTTCCATAAGCAAAGGGCCACTGGGACTAGACAAATACATTAGGATGCAATGTGCACATTCATCAACTAACTTCAATATTAAACAAAAAAATCATTTCTCTGTATATTGGTCCTTAAGGAAAAAAACCAATGGAGCAAAATTTTGTCTGATATCATTAGACTCTAGAGGAAATATAATATCAGTCAAATATAGATGAAATGACTGCAATATGCTCTAGAAAAAAATCAAATTTTATCTAATAGTTCAGTTTTATAAGTATAACAAATATTTTATTTTTTTAAATCATTCATATAAAAACTCAAAGTAGTCCAACTTTTTCTGTAGATAGATAGTTGTGTATGGGACATAATATCATTTCTTCAAAATATTTTACCCATCTGAGTGATATTCTGTGCCACTGGCTGGTCAACACCATTGTACCTCACTGATGTTGGAGAAGAGAGGGAAAAAAGTAACAGAGCCCAACAAGTAAATCAGAGTACCTGGCTCACTTAACAGAGCCCGAATGAATAAAAAGGAGGAGAAGGAGGGAGGGAGGGAGGATGCAAGGGAAGGGGGCTTTTTATAACAGGAAAGCAAACACGAGGAAGAAAAGAAGGAAGGAAGCTTCCTCTTTCAATGTGCACTTTTTACATTTTCATTTTCATTCAATTCAAAATATTTTAGATTTTGTGAAAGGCTTCCTTTTTTTTAGATGCTTCTAGGGCTTTGGCTCTTGTTTCATTTTTTTAATGATATGCTAATTTGTTTCCTAATAAACATGAATACTTTAATAAATAGCATGAAAATTTAAAAATACAATTTCCAAAAAATTAATCTTGTCCCTCTGGGAGGAGGCCAATTCTGTTCAAAAGGCTGAAAGAGCCCACAGGATTAGCTCTGTTTTCCCCACCACTGACGTGACACAGAGGGCGTGAGGGAGAGGACAGGCTTCCCCTGGGTATCTCAGCACTGAGGAGTTTAAATTTCACTTCTAACGTGTCTGTCAGTTCCTGGTCTCTCCGCAGGTGGCCTGTGACAGTGTTAATGGGCGGAGGCTTCTCCTTCTGTCTCCAGAGCAGCTCTTCGTCTTAACACTCAGGGAGCTCTGGTCACACAAATTCTGCAAACTGCACAGAACCAAACACAGACGCATGCACGCAAAACTGCTGGGATATGAATGTCATTAGATGGAGTCAACATTGATTTCTTGGTTGTAACAGTTGTATGTCTTTAAGAAACTGGGCATAGCAAGTAAATTGCTTATAACTGCATGTAAATCTATAAGTATCTGAAGAAAACAGTATTTTAAAATGCACGGTGTAAGAAGTAAGTCCACTATCACAAACTATTCAAGATTAAACCTGAGGTCCTGGACTGCAGGCTAGACAAGGAACGGAGATACGAGGCCGCAGCATTAGAAAGGAAAAAGCAGAACTTCCATGATCTGTTCATGCTATAACCATCCCTACAAAAAAATGTGTATGAATGAATAAATTATCAATGTTTAGAAGATGTGTGCCAAAATTCAATTATATTCCTATGCAAAGAGCTCCTGTACAGTCATGTTTATTGCTGGCCTATTCATAATAGCTAAGATTATCCAGGAGATTAAAAACTCTATTGAAAGTGTACGCAACAGAACAAAAGATTGCGAGGATAGAATTTCAGATATAGAAGATAGGATAGCAGTCAGTGACCGTGAAAAAAGAGGTCTATTAAAAACAGTAAGGGATCATGAGAAATCAATCCAACAACTCCTAGACGATACAAAGAAAAATAACATAAGACTAATAGGAATTCATGAAAAAACAGGAGAAAACACAAATGATATAAAAAAGCTCTTCACAGAATTAATGACAGAAAACTTCCCAAACAGAAGGGAAGAATTAGACATACAGATAAGTGAGGCATATAGAACCCCAACTAGCCACAATCAAAAAAAATCTACACCTAGACATATAATAATCAAGATTCCAGAAATCCAACAGAAAAACAAAATACTACAAGCAGTAAGAGAAAAGAAACAAATCACATGCAAAGGGAAGCCCATTAGAATCACAGCAGACTTTTCAACACAAACCCTTAGGTCAAGGAGAGCATGGAGTGAGGTATTCCAAGTCCTAAAAGAAAAGAATCTCCAACCTACACTGTTGTATCCTGCAAAACTCTCTTTCAAAATGGGGAAATAAAATATTTCCACGACAAAGAGCACCTGAGAAATTTCATGAACACCAAACCAGCACTGCAAGGAATTCTAAACAATATCCTAGAAAAGGACAACGAAATTCACAATAACATGAGGCCCAACAGACCAAATCAAATAGGCAAGGCAAGAAACTAAAAGGAGATGGGAGAAAAAGTAAAAAGAGTCAACAAAAGGAAAACAACATGAGAAGAATAAGTCAAAATATATCAGTTGTAACCATCAATGTTAATGGCCTCAATTCACCAATCAAGAGAAACAGATTGGCAGAATGGATTAAGAAGCAAAATCCAACAATATGTTGTATACAAGAAACACACCTAGTGCAAAAGGAAGTCCATAGACTGAAAGTGAAAGGATGGAAAACAATTCTCCATGCATCAGGAGTCCAGAAAAAAGCAGGGGTAGCAATCTTATTCTCAGATAAAGTAAATTTCAAACCAAAACTCATTAAGAGAGACAAAGAAGGACACTACATCCTTGTAAAGGGAACAATTCAAGAGGAAGAGCTGACAATCATAAACATATATGCACCAAATACAAATGCCCCCAACTACATAATAGCTAAGATATGTACATGCCCACTTATGGACGAACAGATAAAGGAAACATGGTATATATACACAATGGAATATTACTCAGTCATGAAATAAAAATGCAGTCTTGTCATTTGGGACAACATAGATGAGAGGGACTAAAGGATATCATATTAAATGAAATAAGATGGGCACAGAAAAACAAAACCTACCTGTTCTTACTCATTTGTATAAGCTAAAAAAAAAGGAAATCTTGTAAGAGAAGAAAGCAGAATATGGATCACTAGAGACCAGCATGGATGTGTGGAAGGAACAATACAAAGATATTTGGCAATAGAGACCAAAATACAGTAAGAGAGGAGAAATTTGTTCTATAGTACAGTAAGATACCCACAGCCTACAAATGCTTTACAAATGCTTTTTCAACATAACTAAAGGCTCTCAACACATAGCAATGATAAATGCTCAAGGACGTGGAAATGCTAGTGACCTTGATTTGGTCATTACACACTGTACACACGTATTGAATTCATATATTGTATCCATTCATACATACAAATGTATGTATCAATTAAAAATTTTAAAGAATGTTAGATCCTATGATTATTAAAATAATTTATAACTTGGTCTCCTGACCACCTCATTTGAACTATTACCTCCACCAATTACACTGGAGCCAATGACTACAGCATAACATTGGTCTACTCGGGTACTGTGTTTTTTCATTCATGTACAAACTCACAGAGGACACTGGTTTTATCTGTCTGGTTCACCAGTGTATTCTTAGAACCAAAACTACATAGTAACCCACAAGTAAACATGTTCATCAATTAATTAATAATTAATTAATTACCTTTCATATTCTGTCAATTCAAGAATTGATGGATTTTTGGAATAAAAATCTCTTAGAGTTTCCTTTCTTTTATTTCTTTTCCTTGATGTCGTTTCTGTACTCTTAAAAGTGGAAAGAACAAAAATGTCACAAACTAAATTTAAACTTTGAACACAAAATTATAACTTATGTTCTTTTGTTTGTTTGTTTTTGGAGACAGGGTCTCACCATGTAGTTGAGACTGATCTGGAACTCACTATGTAGCCCAGGCTGGTCTCAAACTCACAGCGATCCTCCTGCCTCAGCCTCCTGAGTGCTGGGATTACAGGCGTGCGACACCACGCCCAGCAACTTACTCATGTTTTAATCCTTATTTCTTGACACTGAAACTAAGTGGCTTCTATATTTCTTTGAATTAAAATGACTATCAAAATAACAGAAGTACCCCTACAAAGCAATCTGATTGTAAAAACATCTATGTAATTTAAGAATTTATAATGTATGATGCCACGACCACGCCAGTAGAGTCTGTGTGACAATGCCGGTCACCTGGCAGAAACCAGACCAGAGGTATCGTCCCCACGGGGTTAAGCCTCCTGGAGGTCCTTGGCACACACCGCATGCAAAGTCAGCCGTGAAGAGAATAGCTGGCCTCTCTGCCTGCAGTTTGGGGACATTGGGTTCATCTATAATTCTGTTCTATTTTGTCTTTATTACTATTTGTTCATTATCTGTAGAATTGTATTCTGGGCCCAAGAAAGGTTAGGAACAATTAGATGTTACTAGAGATGTGGAGATATTGAGGCACAAGAGGATGGGCGGCCAAAGTGCTGACCCTGAGCCCCGGACTGTGAAGTCCTGAAGGTGAACCTGAAGGTGACATGCTAAAGCCAGTCCTTTGTCTTACAAACTTCCCCTTCTGACTGCGTATAGGTGTGGTCTTACCTTGACTTAATGGTCTTAGCTTTTGTGATGGTATATAGGTGTGGTCTTACCTTGACCTTGTGGTCTTAATTTTTACAGTACTATTGTCTATCTTATGCCTGCCTGTGACTGGAATCACTCTTGTGATGTGCCCTTGAAACTAGTATATAAACACCTGGAGTTAGAAATAAAATTGCAGCAGCATTGGCAAACTTCACCTCGGTGTTGAGTGCTTTTGTCTGACTGTCATCGCCGAACCTGCTCCCACCTTTCAGAGAACCTGTATCTCCTCGTGAAATCCCGTGTTTGCTGCCCTACGGTCGGTAGCAGTATGATAGTTATAAAATTATGTTTGTTGATACTTTTTATATTGTAATAAATTAAAATATAGTTAATCATATCTAAATACTTGATCTTTTAAATTCACTTTATTAATTTAAAATTCAAAATTCATAGGAAACTCACTGTTACAAATTCTACTGCTGTAGCTTTGAACTTCAAATGAGTGCTGGTCTTTCCACTAATAGCACCATCCTTAATTTTCAATTTTCTTATTCCAAGTAAGGACTCATTCCTCCTTTAAAAAAAAAAAAAAAAAGATAAAGTCGACCACAATAATTTGCAAAAATTCACAAAACTATCCCAAATTAATAAATCTTTAATGAATGTTGTCAATGAACTTATTCAAGAAAGATAGCCAAGATGCTTGTGTCCCATGCATAAATTAGACAGTGGTCTCTCTTCGACAAGGAACTGCTGGCCTCTCGAAAGATCAAAGAGCAATTGTAGCAATGTATCTACAGGGTATAGGAAAAGGACAGGTGAAGGCATAATGTAGGTGCAACAGAATTCCACTGAGAACAAAGTAATATGGACACTTCCCTCTACAGATGAGATAAAATCAACATCGGAGTGACCCTTCACAAACTTTCTTCCTTCCAACAAATTTCAATCTTTTTGGTTCCCTACTGTGCAAACTCCCAGGCACTACTGCTTTCTGGATACCAGCAGAAACCAAGCATTTCAGATGCCTGTTAAGCTTCCTCCCTTCCCTCAGTCATCTGCAAGAGTTTTAAAACCTTATTTTCTTAATTCTAAACTCCAGTGAATTCTCCCTTTCGAAATACTGTAGTCTCTCACTGTCCTATTGATACTCCTGTGGAATTTTCCTGGTTTGTGTATATTTTGTGGAAGTGAAGAAGCGCAAAAGTGTGTGGTTAAGGAAATGACTGGGTGAGTCTGGATGGCTACCTCCAGGGGTGGGAGTACGCTGTGATTTACAGTAGGCTTGGGCCCGGGGCAGTCGGCCTCATCATTTCAACTTTTATGAAGACGATTGTGGATCCTGAAGTTGGCAAGGCCTGCGGCCCGGTTGCAGCAATTCCAAGGCACTCTCCAGTTAGCTGACATTCATTTCGGCAAATGTCTTAGGTGGCAAAGCTAGAAAGCTTGGCCCGAGAACTGCTGGGGATTTAGGTACTCACCCTTTGCAACTTGCACCCTGTGACTGGTTCCCTGTGCTTCTCCAACCTACATTCTCTCTCTTCCACATGAGCCAGTGCCTGACAGTCGTTATGTTATTCCAGAAAGAAATGGGAAGGCGAGGGCATTTAAATTGCAGTACCCGGCTGCCATCGTTATCAACAGCCTCAGCATTTTCCTCCATGAGCTCCAGAACCTTCATCCACGGAGTAAGTCAAATTCGTCCTTACTGTTTATGGTGTGTCTTGATACATAGTATTTTAAATTTTTTATGTAGTGAGCATTAGTGACCCTTTACTTCATGGCTTTTACATCGCTTTAGTTACTTATATAAATGCCTTTTTCTGCAACTGAGTCCCCATGTCTCTCTGCCTGTTATTTCACAAGCACAACCCCATTACATTTTATCTGACAGTACAAATCCCTCTTTTGGGGTTCTTAATATTTCTCAAATAATTTTCTTCATTCTAACCCATTCTAGAATCTGACTGGAATTTAAACTAATGGGGTAATTTAAAAAGAACAGAAATCTTTATTCCTTCTGTCTGCCCATCAAGTACGGGGCTGTATCTTCATTTATTCAAGTCTCTTTTTCCTCAGAGTATACAATTTCACCTTCTTCGTATCAGTCTGATTCTCTTCATAACTCCTGATACTTAATCATGTATTCCACAGAAATGGCATCATCTTTCCATTATATTTTCTAGCTGGTATGGAAAAGCTACTGATCTTTCATCTAACCATCCTACAAACTTCCATTATTAAAGGTTTTTTTAGGTAAATATCTTTAAATTTCAAATGATTTTTTTGCAAATATCCCCATTTTCAGAATACTTCAGTGTGGAATTGATTTACCAAATATTTTTGAAAATCTGTGATGTGATAATCCTGAAAGATCTAATTCTCACTCCTGTTATTTTTTGGGTGGGGAGGATACTGGGAATGGAGCTTAGAACCTTGCGCTTGCCAGGTAGGCACACCACCACTGAGTTAAATCCCTGGCCCTTCTGTTACTTTTTTTAATGCATCAGCAAAACCTTCAGAGCAGGTTTATGTGACAGAAGGAATAACAGGTTTCCTGGTTATAGCACTTATTTGAATTCTAATTTTCCAGGAATGATTGCTGAATATCACCATGCCTGACTTTTTAGCATTTCCTAAAGCCTCCTTCAACTATCAGTAATAATTACGTTTTCAGATTTGCTGCTATATTTGCATTGAGAATAAAATCTACATTTTTCACAGCTGCACTTCTATGCTAGTATTTTATTTTAAACTTTCGTATCGACATACTGCTGAGCAAGACCAATTCATTATTTTCTACATTTTTATTCATTTTTATATGGCTCTCTTATCAGAGCCACTGTACTTATTTTACTAGGAAATTTCATATCCACGTTTTAAAATAGTTTTATATTGTAAAAATTTCATTCCTTTAAAAATATGAATTACCCTGAAAGTTTTTGAGCTATTCAAATTTTTACTGCTTCACTTCATGACAAATTTTTCACTTTCACTTTCACCGAGATTTTTAACATAAAATTTTACGTACAATTACTTGAAATTTGTTCAGCTACTTCCAAATTTGTGATTACTTTCTCATTGAATTATTTTTTTCTCATTTTCTTATTATGCTCCCAGAAATTTATCTATTTTATCATATTCTTAAAGAACCAGTTCTACTAGTTATTGATTAGGCTGTCTTTAATTTATAATTAATTTCAACTTTTATTTTTTTATTTTCTCTTATTGCTTTCTTAGATTTTTTTCTCTAACTTCTTGACCTTGACAAAAGTTAATCTAGCTTTATATTTCTTTTTTTGCAACAGAAACTTTTAAAGCTGAGAATTTATCTCTAATTGCTTCTTTGGGTAATTTGATATGCATGATTTCTCATCATTTACTTCAGGGGTGCTTTAAATAATATTTAGTCTTCACTGGCTAACCATATGCAATTAATTTAAATTTCATACATCTTCTATGTCCTTTCTATTTTCACATTTTAAATGACAATTTTAACTTTATCAATATTATGATGTCTTTTTCAAATTAACCTTTTAGCAATTATTTTCATATTTATTACTTTGATTTTTTGTTAAGTAGAACATGAAAGTTCATGAAATATCTCCTCTGTGACTTATAAATATTATTATTAAAAATATCTACTTTGGCTATGAAAAAGTGGCATCAAAAATAACTGAGGAAGAAGGTTATTCTGTAAATATTACCAGGACAACTGATGAACTAGGGAAAAAAATAAAGTTTAATTTATGTCCCAGTACAAAAAAAATCAATCCTGTGTATTAAAACATTAGGTGTAAATTATAAAATCATAAAATGGAAAAAGACACACATTTTTCTGGTACAATATGAAAACCATGTTTATGTACAAAAATATGTTTGCCACATGAACAGAAACAGAAAATAGATGTCAGCACCAAAGTAGAAATCACAGCGCTGCATGAGCACATTTCCCATATTCCTGATTGGGTGAAGAGAATCCCAAAGCATCTGCACAGCCTTGGCAACTAAAATTAGCACCTTTGTTCTGATCTCAGTTATCCTGCTCGTCTCTAACCTCTGGTCTTATATTATACTACACTCAATGTTTCTAAGCCACCAAACCCGTTTGCCCTTTCCAAATATCTATTATTATTAGTTTGGACTTCTACAGCCAGTTCTCCAAATTTCCCTGCACACTGAAACTTTTCTGATCTTCTTTAGTGACAAGAATATTACTTAAAACTTCCAAACATTTAAATTTGGCTTTATTTTTGAATTGAATGAAACTCTAATTCTGACCAATCCTCTGATTGCTGTGGCCTGCTTCATTTAATAAAAGCAATTTCCTCCTATATCTTTTGAAAATATGAAGCCCATCTATTCAAAGCTTTTGCTCTAATAAATAAAGTATCTATTTTAGGAGTTTTAGGAATTTCTGTGAGTTTTTAAAGGAATGCTTCTCTTTTGCTGACTTATGAAAAACAGATCTTATGTTGCTGAAGTTTACTTTTATTAAAGCAGGATGGGTAGATTTATGTCCAGTCGTGAAGGAAAAGCCCACTTCTCAGTTGTCAGAAGATAAGATGGATTCATTTGGCATCTCTCATAACTGGCATGATTTCTTAGCATCTTCTTTGGGAGCAAATTCTTTGACTTATAGAACAAGAAGGGCCGCTTTAAGCCTTTTTATGTCTAAATGAGGCACTTCTCGTTTACATAGAAGAACGAGAACTCCTAGGAACAGTTGTACTCATTATGCCAGAGGAATGGGAAGCACAGACAAAAGACCCCAGCTGGACTTCAAACCTGTGTGAGACAGAGTGACCCTGCAGAGAGATGCTCTTACCCCTCAACCTAACCATAAAAGACCTCATCCACTTCCTCCTGGAGGTCTCATCATGCTCTGGTCTCACTTCTTAGTGCTGCTGTATAGGTGTTTTTACCTGTAATTACTTGTTCACCCACAGAGACATAATTTTTCAGTTTCCCAAGCCTTAAGGCGACAGTGTTGCTCACTGTTTTAAAGTTGCTAATGAGTACAAAACCAACATGCACGGACCTTTTCATGAAGTCACAGACAGGTGTTGTTATCTCCAACATGAGGTGAAATTTTTCTTCATTTATGCATTTAAGCATAATGTGTGTAAAGAATTCCAGGAATCTGGGTCTTTGCTTAAACTTCATTACTGCAAAAACAGAGAAGTTCGTACACAGTTACCACCAATACTCTTAGTTACTGGAGTTGCTGAAAGATTCACCGTGCCAACAGCCACTGTGATCCAACAGGCAAGTCCATGCAGCTACCTCTTAGATTTCTCACTTTTAAAAAATACAAGAGTAAATGTGCTGTGAGCTAGGGCTGTTTTCTAAGATCAACTAATCCTTTACAGTCTACCTTTCATTTATTTTCCAAAATTTGCACTGTTGAGGGACATGTGATTAAAGCTGCTGCTAACAGATGACAACTGGGGGAGATACTGACAATTGCCCAGTCAGCCTAAGTTGTACTATGAAATACTTCGAATCAAGGAATGAGGTTACCTCTTCATAAGTGAAATTATTACTGATGCATTTTTTTTCAGTTCCTTTATTTTGGCAAGCTTCCTAATAAAACTGCTCACTATGAAAATAAACCAAGGGAAGGGCCAGGGATTTAGCTCAGTGGTGCCACGCCTGCCCGGCAGGCACAAAATCCTGAGTTTGATCCCCGGTAGGAGAATAAAAAAATTTTTAAAAAGAAAGAAAGAAAGAAAAGAAAAGAAATTACCACGTAGGGTCTGTCTTTGTGGACTTTAAGGCAGGTGCCTATTTAGGCTTCTTTCACTACTTGGAAATGAAGACCCTACGTTATTCTGAATGGTATTCTGCCCGTGACAGCTGAAATCTTTAGACAACGGAAACAAACCACAGAATCAGTGGTCAGTGGTAAGTCACTTGGAAGTCACTTGAACAGCGTATGCACAGCGAAGCCACCCACCTTCTTTCACAGCACCTTTCACTGACCAGTTCAAAACCACAGAGTAGAGAAAGATAGGGTCCTCGGTTCCTGAGAGTTCAGGTACTGCATCTAAGGTTTTAAAAATTAATATGTTTTAGGACTGTTTAATATAAACAACCAAAACCAAAAATTCTTTGGAGGGGATGACAAAGCAGAAGATGTTCCAGTATTCATTCTACATCACATGCCTTAAAATATCCACTATAACGTTATGTTTTGGAGAGAGACAGAATCCAGTAACTGCAACTATTTCCTTCCTTAGTTTTTTCCTAAATGGTAAGGGGTCTACGACCCAAACCTATCAATTATATTAACTTCATTTTGATGAAATAATCTGTCAAAGGCAGTAAAGTACAGCACAGCCACTAGAGCCAGACTGGCTGGGTTCAAATTACAATTTTGGTTCAAATTACAATCAGTAACCCTGATACTTTTTAGTTCTGAATCCTTGGAAAGTTATTGTCTCTACACATCAGTTTAAAATGGGGGTAAAAACAGTACCTTCTTTATATGGTTTTTATATGTAGGGTTACATGATTTTTCATGTGTATAAAATTCTTAAAATAGTGCCTGCCATAAAGAAAACACTCTTTTGAATTCTTACTTTTATTATTGTTATTGAATTGACTGTTTAGTAATATTACATTGTGCTTCTTGGTAAGATGTTTTTATTGATATTTTGAAAATGAATAACTCATATTTCCCAGACATTTAACATTTTAAGGAATTATTATTTTATATGTCATGAGAAAATTACAGCTCTTCCAGAACTAGGTTGACTAATTATGAGAATAATAAACCACTGGCGTTGGTTCATAAATTCAGCTTGAAATGGGCATGGAACATATTGAAAGCAAGGAGAGCCAAGTCGGGCAATTCTGAAACAGTATGACACCAAAATATAACTGAGGCACACATAGAAATGAAGTGGGACCATGGAATTATCCAAATATGGTCCGTTTCCAAAAGACCATGGGGCCACATGTGGAGCCTGGAGAAATCTGTGTACTCCCTCGTTCTAGATTTTTTTAATGTGCTTTTTAAAAATATGGCTATACTAATCATCATCAGAAACTGAGTCAATTTTCCAGGCAGCTTTCCAAACTGCACACTCCAAAGTAATAATCATTGCATTAACTCCTTAGTCTGTTACGAAATTACTAGAGTACAATGACCTAAAATTAAACCAAAATTAAACCTTTCACTCTAGTTCCTACTCCAGTAAGAACTGCTTCCAGCCACGTCCACATTAACACAGCCCACCCTACTCCATTACTTTCCAGTTGTGTGTTTGCTTTTAGAGCAGAAATGCTTAATTTCAGCCACCACCCCCTCCCACCTCACCCCCAGTGTCTTTGGTAAGCTTGGCCTCTTGTTTGGTTGTCACAACTGGGGGGATGGAAAGAGGCCAGGGATGCTGCCCACCATCCTACAATGTCCAAGTCCCCATGCAAAGAACCATGAGGCTTAACATTCAGTAGTGTCAAGGTTGAGAAAACCTTTAGAGTCAGAATAGGTGGGCTCAGGTCCACACCGGCTATATAATCTTAAGTAAATCACTTAACCTTTATGAGCCACATCCATAAAAAGAAGTCAGATCCCTTTTTAACTAGCTATCGTCAAGCTGAATAACATAATGCAAAAGCTCTGTGTAAACCTCAAAGGGTTTAGCAAAATATCAATCTCATCTTAATCTATTTTAAATTTTTTCTCATTTTAAGAAACACATGCTGAATAGAAGTATACAGGAAAAAAATTACATTGTTTTGTCAGCTTGAGTAGATGTGTCTCCAACAAGGCCAGTTGTTCATTTATTTTTTCCGGCGACAATATCTGCTGTGGCTTCTTAGTTTTTAAAGGTTTCTTAGAAGAAGAGGACTAGAAACATTGGTTAAATGTCAGACTGTACTTTAACATGCTATGAAAACTAATTTTCAAATGACTTTATGATTTTATGCTTTCATATCTGATAGACAAAACTATGATCTACATGGCTAAACAATATCAGTTTACTATCAATAATAACAAATACGGAGTTCCAACTAAAAACCAGATGCAGTGCCAAGCACTTCATGGAGAGTGACCAAAATGCTCCTTTCTCTTGCCCGTCTTTCCAAGACCTCCACCCTGTAACCAGCCCCCTCCAACAAGGGCAAAAATCTTCAACAGGAAATCCCCAGCCCATCCTCAGGAACAGATCCCTTTATTCTTTTTTTTTTTCCCCCAGAAGGAATTTCTTTACAGCCACACTAGTCATCTTTGCTACGTTGCCTTTCTTAAAAATATTAGAGCATCAGTAGTGAGCGGGGTAAGAACTGTCTGTCTGTGCTCAGCCAGCCCTCCACCAGTTTTACTCTCTCTGAGCCTCAGAACCGCCCTGTCCCTGGCTCCACTGGGGCAATGGGGCAGCCTTTGGGGCTTACAAGGACGTTGGGTGGATTTAAGGACCCCAAGCTCCTAGAAACTGTCAGTCAAGCTCACAACTTTCTGCTATGCCAGGACATCTGCAGAAGGAGAGGACAGCCCTGAATCCCACAGTGATGTGAAGAGAGAGTCCTGAGTCAATGCCTGGATGATGTCCTGGACTCTGAAACACTTACTGAAAAAAAGTACAAACTGCCTCCAATTCAATCAAAACACCTTTCAGAGAAAACGAACCCCCCAACACCAAAAAAAAAAAGTAGCTTCTTAAAAAGTCATCCAGTGATGTAGTGGTGATTTGTGAAGCTGCGTTTTGTTTTGTTGGACAAACAAATACTTGGAATGCAGGTAACATAAGCAATGCTTATTTTCTTTCTATCTCAATACCTACTAGAGAGAGAAATGGGGCTAATCTAACAAATAATGCTGGGAGAGAGCATCTCTACCCACATCCAAGACACTAAAAGGGCTTCACATAATTCCTAGTGTGCTACCAAAACTCAATAAATAAACATTTCAAAACCTGATCTAAAAGTACATTTAACTCACATACTTTTTTTAAAATTTTATTGGTACATTTTAGGTACACAGTACAGTTACCTTCATTACTGGGATCTTGTACCTTTACATGCCAGGTCTTGGTTCTCATTTTCCCCTTGTCCCCACCCTCCCATTCCCTATCTTTCTCACTGTCCCTACACCTTTGTTAACTCACATACTTTAAAGGTATAAGATCTCATAAGACTAATGCTTAGAAAGTACATATTAAAAATTAGCTTCAAAAATTGGATAAAGATGTGGTTTTCTATAAAATGGAATACTACTCAGCCTTAAAGAATGAGAAAGTAGATTCATTCATAGTTAAATGGGTACATTTTGAGGATATATTTCTCTTTTTTTTCAGCCTTAATTGAGTTTACTGGTACATTTTAGGGATACAGTACAGTTACATTCATTGTTGGGATCTTGTACCTCTATTGAGGATATATTTCTAAGTGAAATAAATAAGGCACACATACGTAAACACCGAATAGTATCTCTGGTGTGAAAAACTAAAATAGTACTCAAGATCCTAATGGGACAATTAGCAAATAGGAAGAAAAGGACCAAAGGTGTAGGGACAGTGAGAAGGATAGGGAAGGGGGAATAAGGGAAAAGGAAAACAATATGAGAAAATGTAAAAATGGAATTAAAGTGTTTGAAGTGGGGAGGAGAGGGGAGGATGGAGGGAGGGTGGGGACAAGGGGAAAAAATGAGAACCAAGACCTGGCATGTAAAGGTACAAGATCCCAGTAATGAATGTAACTGTACTATCTACCTACAATGTACCAATAAATTAAATTTTAAAAAATAAAATAAAGGTGAAGGCTTAGGGGAAAAAAATTAGCAGTCTCATAAAAGAAGAGAATGTAAATATCACAATGAGTCTCAGAAATCTGCTTGGGACACAAGATGGGGGTGACAAAAAAGAATTAAGATATGGTATAGACATGTCCAACTCGCCACAATGAATCATTATGTGCTGCAAACATGTACTAATAGGAAAAAATAAAATTTATACTTTATGAAAAAGCTGTCATGTATTTACTACATTCAGAACAACAAAATCTTAGATTCAAGAGAGACTAGAAGGCGTTGAGTGCACTAACTGGGTACAGGACACTCTCTGCCATCACCTGACCTGACCGGTGGCCAGTACAGGATGTGCTGTTCACTTTCTTGGCCACACCCGTGAAACTTAAAAGAAAAAAAACAAAAAAACTTTTAAAAAAGCTCTTCATCATATATATAAGTTTTCTTTCACCACAACTCTAAAAATGTTTAAACCTCCAAAATCTCTCTTAACCATGTTACTTTTCTTCCACATAAATATAACAAATTAAAAACTGATCAATTTTCTGATATGCTTATGAATACTAAGTGACCCCTAAAAGACCCAACTATGTATAAAAATGAGAAACAAAAAGCAATCACCTCCTCTAGCGTGTCCTCTTGTTCACTTTTACCAAATAATGATTTGCATGCGGGTGTGATGTCCAACATCTTTTTTCCGTAATTTATAATCGCTACTGCTAGGTCATATTCCTTCCATGAGCGTAGAATCTAATCAAAAGTAAGTATTAATTATCTCTGTTGGACACTCTTGACAATTTTTAAGTGCAATGCAGCACCTTTCGTAAATTCAAAAGTTTCATAAGTCTTTGAGGTCTAAGAAGCCCTCTGTTTTTGTAATGGAAACAACTTTTACCTCCGGATCATATTTCTCTCAAATTAAAACGTATAATTCCACTATTGTAATACAGGATAAATGACAGGACCTCATCTCAGTGAATTCCCCACAACTCTGGGCCATCCTCTGTATGATTTTTGGTATAGTAAGTTAGCTATTTAAGAACATATTTCCACTCAAAATACGCTTTTTGAAACAAAGCCACTTGTAAAACCACGTAACTACCACCACTTCATTTCGAGTTGCTTTCAGTGGGAAATGGCACAGTGCCTGACCTGGTGATGTGTTGGGGGCATTTAGAGCAGTCAGTGGTCAACAAGACCTTCTGTCAGAGGGCTGGGCTACTCATAAGCTGCCTGGGCAGGTTCTCCAGGAAGCATTCACTGTAATCATAAAGGCAAGGGCCCAATCTGCTGCTTTCACTCCCTAAAGCCGACTGCTATTCTTTCATCTTCTCTAGGCTGGCCCTTACCTAGCTCTCTATAGTAATCTCCCACCAGCAATCTCTTTTTACTTCAATCTTTCAAAATATTGAACAAAGCAGATTTCAGGACTTCATGGCTTCCCATGGCTGAGCCATTTCCCAGAATCCCTGTCCCCATCTGATTTACACAGCTTCAAGTTGTCATTAGAACCTTAGTTCTAGCATCAACTCCGAGAAAGCTTTCCCGGCCAGCAATCTGAGGTGATGGGCCAAAGAAAGGGACATATTTACTGTCTACCATTTGCTAAAGATTCCTTTATTCTTGCATATATTTAGTCTCTCGCAAGCTCCAGGCCCGTCAGGCCAACTATACAGTGGTTGCCTCACTGGGAGAAATCCTGAAGAGCTCAAAATTCAAGCTGTCCTCCAATCATCTTCTTCCACTTTACCAAAAGAACTTCTCTCATCCAGGGTCAACAAAGAATTTTTCATTTACCCAGATGCCAGGCAAGGACCTTCCTTTACACCTTAAACTGCTGAGACTCCCAACTTCCTATTCTCTTTCACAAATAATTCCTGAATCCTTTCCATTCTCTCTACCTTCCATTTTTCCCCACAACTGTTCAGTTTATCATTTCTTAGCCTCTAACTCATCCTGTGCATCAGGTCTCAGCCGCCTCTGGTTACCAGCCATTGTGTAACCAACATAATTTCTTTTTCCTAACATGCAAACCTCATTATGTCTCCCTAATATGATATCCTTCAGTGGATACTCTCCAACCTCAGAGAACAGCCCTTCATTACCTGGTACTGTTCACTGATTCAGCTTTAAAGGTAACTCAAATACTTAACCATATCCACTCAGACTAAAGATACATTTGATTCTTCTCAAACTGTAAAATTGTTTGATAATTTCTCATCGTTTAATTTATGCCTTTAAACTTTGTTTATTGTGCTTGTTATGAAAATGTTTTAACCATCACGGAATCCAATTATCTATATTTTTCTGTGCATTTTATGCTTTGCTAAGGAAGATGTCCCCTAATTACAAGGCCATACAAATATCTTTGAATTCAACTGCACTTGATTTTATTTGGGGCATGAGGCAGGGCTATGGCTTTGTTCACTTTCAGATAGTCAGTTATAGCAACTGACTCAGTTATACCAGTTATTTTATTGAATAAACTATTAAAATAGAATATTATTTTCTCAATGAATCACAATGCTACTTTTGCCACATATTAATTTCCATTTTAGACTTGAGCTACTGCTGTACTCCCTAATCTGTTCCACAGAACTATCTGCCTACTATTCTAACATTGATGCTGTTTTTTATTAAAGTGGTCTTATAGTAAATGTTCATACCCATTCAAAAAGATAACTTGAACCAATACATGACATGGGGGAAAAAAGAGTTTAAAAGAAGATCCTAATCTTGTCAGCAAAATGATAAAACTGTAAAAGGAACCAATGAATTAAGCAGGATGAAATAAAATGGCAGTTTGCTTTACTTTAACAAGATAGAAGTTGTTTACACTGGAAAGATATTTTTTAATTGGACATCAGCCTAGGTGCATATTACACAATAATGATCAACAGATACTGGATTTTGCCTTCGTGGAACTTGCAATATAGTAAAGATAACAAAAATATAATTGATCAGCTCCCTGCGTGAGCTGTCCAGGACGGAAGTGGCTATGTATATGCAGAGAAGTATGTCTCAGGAGCCCTTCTGAAGCACTGGGAAACACCTGCTCTCATCAAAAGTTGTCATTTTCTCGTGTGTGTGTGTGTGTGTGTGTGTGTGTGTGTGTGTGTAAATAAAGATCATGATCAGACTTCTGTGAAAAAAAAAAGAAATTTTAAATTATTTTAATCAGTTCCAAAGAACTATCAGAATTGTGATTAGAACTGCATTGGGTTTAGATGTTATTTTAGGAAAGGCTTCAATGGCATTTTAGGAGGGTTATATGTCTATGACAGTAAATCTTCTTGGTCAGAGACTAGGTATGTTCAGATTTTGTTTTGCATCCTTGGGTAAGATTTCACAATTCTGTCATTTAGCTCTTTGACACTTTAGGTTTTAAATATTGTATATTATAGGTGGTATATTTAATCCACTCCCATTTCTAATTGACTATTGCCAGTATTTTTTAAAAATTACTTTATAAGTGTCTCATGTACAATTACTTTATATATTCTCTTTATAATTATAATAATTTTTACTAGATTCTTGTGAGGTTGAGAGACCTCCACAATTACTAATAAATTATACCTTTTCTAACATTATAAATATATTTCATATCTTATCTAATACCAAAGAATCTCTGAAAATACTGAATCTGTTATGAGTCAGCATCTTTCTTTGCCTGATTTTTAAAGAAATTGCTTCAGAAATTTGCCATTTAGTATGATATTTGCAGTAAAATTTGGGTAAATGTCTTCATCATTATTCAACGGCTTCCTTTCATCCCTAACTTATTAGAAATTTTATTAGGAAAGGTTGGTAAGTATTATCAAATGCCTTTGTGGCATTTTTCATATAATCTTGTTATTCTTGTCCTTTAAATTACTGTTATAAAAAAAATCAAATTTTGTTTTAATTCAGACTTGATTTTTTCTCTCTCTTTGTAGCACTTGGAATCAAGTCAGGTCCAGACTTGCTCTTTAATACTCAAGACTGAGCACACTCCCAGGCTGGAAAGTGATCAGCTGCCACCAAGGAGAAGGGAACAGTGACCTGATAGCTTTGAACAACACAATCTATGCCTCTGTGTCCTCATTTCAGGCCCTGAGCTCTCCTTCTTCTAATATAGAAAATGCCATTTTTCCTACTTTTTTTTTTTTTTGGCATCTGCCCATTTCTCTATCTATTTATTTTCAACCATTGTTTATCTTTTTTGTGTGTGTATTTCTTGAAATAATCTATATTAAATCCTGACTTTTTAACCCATCTGGAGTCTCTGTTAATTTTATTGCTTCCATCTTAAATACTATGTTTTTTCTGTTTTTTATTTTTGCACAATTGTTCTCTCACTCTTTCCTGTTCCTATTTCCTCTCCCTTCTTCTTCACTATACATTTTTTCTCCCTGTCAGTTTATAAATTCTACTGTAACATTCTGCTTATGATGATATATTCCTGAGTTATCTTAGATATTTTTTCAGAGAAAATAATAATTTTACACTACACTATATTTGTGCTTGCATGCACGCACACACACACGCACACACGCACACACACACACACACAGCCATGCTCCGAGAATCTACCTGCTTACGTCTCCCCCCACCCTAAGCAGGCTGATAGTTTTAGTTCTAGGTTACTAATAAGTTTTTCTTTCAAGGATGATTCTTCTCTTTCAAGAATCCCTACTTAGCATTTATATTACAAAGTTCTAGCCATGTCACTATTATCTATTTAATTTCAGTAATGCATATATTGCAAGATTCATTGTTCCCATTATTCCTCTTCTTTTTGTCTCTCCCTACCTTGGGATTTCTTTTCTGAATCAACTGTCATTTGATAGAGTATTTCCTCAAGTGTTTTCCTCAGATAAGTACATGGGCAGAATACTTTGCTGATGTCTGTGCTTCTAAATCTGTTTATTTTGCCCTTACAAATGAATAACTTTCCTGGCAATTTTTGAGTCTCAGTATTTTCCCTCAGGACTCTCAATGCTTTAACTTGTAGTGTTGCTGATAAAAAGTTTGAAGCAAAGCTTGAACATTTGTCATTATCCTTTGACTTCAAGAATTTTGCCATCTCTCCACAGGTGTCTTCTTCCACTAATCCTGCTTGGGACTCAAAGAGCCTGTTACTTCTCCATTTTGTTTCTTTTTCTGCCTCCAGACTCACTTTTATGTCCTGCCTTGTGGCTCTGCCTTTTACATTTATTTGGCATCTCTAGGTAAACTGTGCTCTGATCTGTAAGGTATTTCTTGAGCTTCAAGATTTGATTCAAGAAATACCATAACCACAATGTGCAGCTATTTAATTTTCTTCTATGAAAAATCAAATTTGTTGAGTTACAGAGGGATTTTTTTCCTTTGTTGGTTTTTGGATCACCTGTGCATGTCCATAAAAGTCCTCTGCCTTTTCTTTATCACCAGGCCAACACAGCCCATGAAAATAACAGCTTGCTCTCTCCCCCTTGGGGTACTGAGTCTCCATGCTAATGGCTTATATTACCTTAGCATCTGCCCAGACCACAGTGGTTGGTCATTGAGATGTCTTCAACAGTGACAAATGGAAGGCCAAAGAAGGAGTACTACTTTCTGCTCTTGATGTCACACCAGGAACAGCCAGAAAATAATGGCTTCTTCCCTGAGGTAGAGGGTAGAAGCCCATCGGCTGCCACACCCACACAGAGGCAAGTTTGTGTCCCAGCTGAAGCGATGGGCCCTCCAGCTCACCTACACCGAATTCTTCCAGCCCTTTCCACAAATCAGAAGGCCCTGTGGGAACCACATAGAGCAGGCACGGAGATATGGACGGCTTTACTCTGAGGAGATTCACTGGATTCTGTTACTAACCTCTGAGGAACCATACCATGTGGTTTTGAGCCAAATAATGAGGATACATAAGCCCACATCTCTGCCTCTGATCTCAATCTTTCTGGTTTCCAAGGTAAATGAGTTCCCCTGAGATGCCTTTGTCCCAGATAGCCTGGCCTAACACACCCCTCCAGGCTTGCCAATGGGCCTACTCAAACTATTTTAACACCCTGAAGTCCAAATTCCCAAAGAAAAGCCCAGGATGTGTACTTAAACCATCAACTACTCAGAATCCTCCTTCTCTACCTTAAAACAAAGTCTTCCCATAAGCATCTGAGCTACAACAACATTTCTCCACTAATTCTTTCTTAACTAAGAGCTCAAACAAACTGTACTTAACTGCTCTGTTTGCACACATATTTGTAAAATAAGCAGAAGCACACATGTGGGACTCTGTTCAGTTTACAAACAGTGCTAGGTACACCTGAGGATGTTCAGACCTCTTACAATCACTCTCAACAGGTTGGAAATCTACTGCTCCGCATGGACGGTGGACCCCATCAAGACCAGCCTTGCTCAGTCACAGGCTAAGATACATTGTGAGTCTCCATACACATCCGCTCCCGTGATTCCTCACGTCTTCCATTTATAAAGGTGGGCCTCTCCCATCTGATTAGTTCCACTCTTCTTCCCATCTAAATTAGGCCCAGCACAGAAACCTCTCTCCTTTAACTGCTTCTGTTTATAACACTTAGAGCTGCATGGAATTATGTGCACATATGTTTTCTGTCTCTCCCACTAAACCATTAACTCTGTGAGACAGTATTGGTTTGTTGTTTTTCTTTTGCTTTTTTTTCATGAACTGCAATGCATGTGAGTTTATAAATCTTACTTAGAGTATATCTAAGTCTCAGATTTTAGGCGAGGCCTTCTCCAACTGTCCAGTCCTTAGTGATCTTTCTGCATCCATGTTTGTGTCACCACCAACCATTCACTATCTAAGCAAGAAGGCATGATCTATGATTCATTCTTCGATTCTTATAACTAATATGAGGTTCTCTCTAATTTTTTAGGCACACAGCAAATGCCCAAAGCAGTAGCTGACAAAGACAGACAATCAGTAAATGCATGGAATGAAGGAATGAAATAAAAATGAAAAATCACCTTATACTCTGGCCACTTTCAGCCATGTTTTCTTTTTTGCTTTGATCTCTAGATATATTGTTTTTAATTGGTAAAGTCTAAATTCGCCTCTACAGTTTGTCCTCCATTGAGTACAGAGTCCTGCACACCAGCTCAGAATCATCCCCAGATTCTACAGTCTACCCTTTCCTTCAGATCTAGCATCATTTTTAAAACTCGGATTTCACAAGTTTATCACGTCTTCGTTTCATGAGTGAGCCTTGAATCTTTATCACACAGCTTGGTCTCTTCTAAGCCTCAGCCCCCTAACGCCACTCCTGAGGGAGAGACATTAGTGTCACTGCTGACTCCTGAGCTCAGAACCTGTGACAAGAAAATGTACAGGCTGACTGCGAATAATAACGGTGTGATTAAATGTGTTAGGGTTTCAAAACATATGTTATTGGGCCGGGGATTTAGCTCAGTGGTTCTGCCGCCTGCCTCGTAAGCAGCAGCACCCGAGTTTGATCCCCGGTACCAAAAAAAATATGTGGGTGGGTGGGGTGGGGGGTGTGAAGCTCAGTGGTTCTGCCGCCTGCCTCACAAGCAGCAGGATCCGAGTTTGATCCCTGGTACCAAAAAAAAATGTGTGTGTGTGTGTGTGTGTGTGTGTGTGTGTGTGAATGCCTTGGAAATATACAAACGCCATTTTAAAAACATAGTTTTAGTTTTGGAAGCACCACAATTTTATCAAAAAGTTCAACAGCAAATAGTGCTTTCGTAACATTTAGACTTTACGTTTGTTTTTTTATCTAAAAATGCTTTGGGATGCTATTTTGGAGCATTCTAATTACTATAATTAAAAACAGTTTGACTTTCTAAATCATTACTGCTCCTGCATTTTATGACATTTAACAAAGAATGAGACAAATACCTTTGTTAAATAGAAGATACAACAAGCTATCATGTGCTGTACACTTTCAAAACTCGAAATATGTTTCTTCAAGTAGACAATATCGGGCAGTCCTTGCAAAACCACCATACACTTTATCAAGATCTAAAATACAGAAACACAATGATTTTCATGGTAAAATATCATCTTTACTCATTATAAATTTTATATTCAAATAATGTGAGTCTTATAGCTGGGCATGGCCTATAATCTCAGCACTTGGGAAGGTAAAGCAGGAAGATCGCTGTGAGTTCCGGGCCAGCCTGGGCTACACAGTGAGGCCTTGTCTCAAAAAAAAGCAAAAATAAAAAAATCATCTGAGTCTTATGCCATAAAATTTTATTGTTATCAATAATTATTTATAAATTGTTCATTATATATGAAAGAATGTACATAAAGATGATATTTTCAATTTTCAGATGAGTCATTTATCTTAAGTAATGTAAAGATTATTGACGGGTATAGTATAAGAATAACCATAGGACAAAGCAATTGACAAGTGTCATAAGTGATACAGGCTAAATACTGCAAGCATGTAAGACTCTAAAGATCACACTGAGGCTTAGGAAAACCCTGAATAACCATTCAGAGGATTACATGGCATAGTAAATATGATTCAGTGATTCCAGGGACTTGAAGGAATACTTTTGTTTAAAATTAAAACCAAACATTCATATCCCCAAAAATCAGTTAATATTGGTGTTTGCATCCTATTCTCCTTGCTTTATATTATGCAATCTTGAATTTGATCAAGAGCTGGATGATTAAATTTAACTTCCAATATGGCTGCACACTTCTGAGCAATATTACTATCAGAAAAGTTGTGCTGAGATTGCAGCGCTCTATTTGTCATTCAGATGATCCCAAAGGACACACATTCAGGTATGGATGTTAGTTTTTTGAGGCACGTTAACTGCTTCAAGCTACCATTCTGGACACTGTATTCCTGTTACAGGATGCTGGTGGGTATAGCTTATGCTTTTTCCATTCCCTGCCTCCATGATCCCTCTCTGCCACCATATTCCCAAAGCAGCTAACATCCTCCTACTCGTTTTCTCAAAGTTCATTTAATCTCACAAATGTACAGAGGAGGAAGAGGGCTCTTATTTTGTAAAATGGGATTTATACACACTTCTCTGAATTCTGCATTTCTTTTTCAACCCTTTCTTCTGAAAAGTTCCTCCAAAGCTATAGGAACAGCTCGAACTTATTGTTGCTAACAGCAGTACACTATCACTCGGCACTGCTGTTTCTTGTTTGCATTGCCAGCTTTTTTGCCAGCACAGACCCCTTCCACATACTCAGGTGACAACTGTGAGTGAAAACTGAAGCCCCAGCTCCAGGAGTCCTCAGGATAAGAGGGTGAGGGTCATCCTCCAGGATAGTGTCCCTCCGAGTCAGTACTATTATGTAGTTTGAGCATCTTTTCATAAGTTTCTCTGCTACCTGCATTTGCTCTCCTAGGATCTACTTATTCATATCCTATAACCATTTTTCTAATTAGGTTATTGCCAGTTTGCAAGTTGTTTTACCCTTTATTAGTTTTGGATTTTCTTTTCCAAATCCATTAAGTTCTCTATAATCTTTGCTATGGTCCCTTTTGTCACACATAGGTTTCTTGTTATTCATAGTTCTGCCTCACTTCAAATCCTGCTCCTGGAATTTTGTTTCTCCTAGATGTTTGTTTGTCTGTTTCTTTATCTTACATACAAATACAGTACAAACAGAGATCAAACTCCACCTTCTTTCAGCTGAATACCCTGGTGTTTCGCGAGCACTTATTAAAAATGTCCATTCTCCTCCCACTGAACAAGAATACCAACTCAACCAAGGATCTTGGAAAAGAACTTAGCTAAGCTGTACATAAAATCACAGCCTTGGCCAACAACTTGACTTAGCCCTGGCAAGATATAAAACCTAAGACCCAATTAAACTATATCCAGTCTCCTGACCCATAAAAACTATGACAGTGTGTGGTTATTCTTTTAAACCTCTAAGTTCACGGCGATTTGTTTGAAAGCACACACAGTAATGCCTTGGTTCACAAATGCTTCTGTTCAGCATTGGGCAAAATTCTGCTTCAGTTTGCCAATTCCACCTCAGGTACCACTGAACCTTCTGGAGAAATTTGATTCAGTTCACAAGAGAATCACGGAATGAATTAAGTTCGTGATCTGGGGTACCACTGTATAACATATACCACGGTATAATAAATATAATTTCTTCAGCCAGATCTCAGCAACCCTTTTCTACAAGCCCCAATTCCTCCATTATCGAGTATATTATGTTAGGTTATTCTCATTCTCTACATTTTCCCCTGATGATGGCTTTTATGATATGCTTCAACAATATTTGACCATGGACAGCAACAGGGCTGACTGTTTTCAAAGAAACACATCTTCTATTCCTATTTATATTTTCCAAGACATAAAATATATCGAAATGTCCTCAGGTTAACTTGAGAAATTTCATAATATTTATTGTTGACCTACTTTGTTCCTTAATAGAGATATACCGCTTTTCTTTTCTAAAATGAATCACTGAATTGTCTTCATAAAAAGCAAAGACCCTTAGGTGGGGGTGGAGGGAACCCTTACCTGTACCACAGGTACCAAAGCAATATTGTGATATATGATGGGAGCGAGAAGGCCATAGCATTGAGTCACAGCTTGAAGGGCATAATTGGAATCATTTAGGAAGTTGCTGAGTTCCAAGGCCACTAGTACCCTCTCACATTCCACCAGTCTAGCAATCTGTAAAGAAGCAGGCATTGTTACTCGGACTGAACATCAGGGACTTAACTCAGTGAGTCTCTAAGGAGAACAAAGGGTGGGAAATGTGATCTTTGTGTCTTACCCACAACGTGGACGGGGTGTGGAGAAAAGTGAAATTCACAACTGACTCAGCAATAACATCACACGCAAACAGCACAATCTGAGAACCAAATCTGAATTTTTTGTAAAACAATACAAGTAAAAGTAGTAGCGCTGATAAGACAAAAATCTTGCCTATACAGTGTTTTGATCTAGTTTTCAAATCAAATCTAGTTTTCAAAAGCATAAATTATAACAAAAAATAGGATAAGTTTTCAGTAAAGCAATCTCCCATTATTTACTACTTATATAGAAATGATAGTAAAATGCAAAATTATGGTTTTGAGATTAAATGCTTAAAAAAGAGTAAGAATCCTTTCTTCTCATTTCCCTTACATGCGGAAAGAGTTGATTCTTTTTCTAAGTCTTTGTACAACATTATGCGCAGAGCAAACTGTGGGTGTGGTAATCAGAAATTTCTATACAACTGCTTTTTACTAGAATGACAGTCTAGCATTCTGGAATTCACTGATGAACATTTAAATTGCCTCTATTTTCAGACTGGATATGATGAAAAAAGAAACTGAATGCAATGTAGTGATACTGAGAGCTTTTGTAAATAATCTAAAACTTACAAAATGTCAGGAAAATGTAAAATGACTTCTGCTGTCTCTGACAGCAATCTGCTTTGTTTAGTTCAAAATCAACAGGCACTGACCATGAAGTGGGACACCTGGCCTCATCCCTGACCCTGAACACCCACTTCCTGTGCGCTAGAATAGATAGCTAGAGGAATCTTGAGGTCAACTTCTTAACTACAAGGAATTGTTTTCTGGGTTAAAGTTAACTGTCTTGTTACTGTAATTTGTACATGGGTAATGTGAACTGAGGAAATGAAGTGTAACCACCTGAAAGAGATCAAGGCTGTAAAACCCTATAAAAGAAGAAGCTGCAAGGCAAGAGGGGGTCGATCACTGGCACTACCTTTTTGAAAACTAGATTCAACCTTTGCTGGCAAAATAAACTTTTTATTATTTTATTATTAACTATTTAGTATTTTACTTCATTCCATTTTACTTCCATTCAGCTCGTCTCTATGTGCATGTCACTTGCCAATTCCTTCCTCAACAGTAGGACTGAATAAATGGAGGTAAGTAAAAAGAAACAAGGAACTCAAAATTTGGTGTTATCATAAAGCTTTGGGTTAAACCCCTACTCAGTTTTGCACAGAGACAGGTTAATTGCTCAAGGAGTGTCAATTTCACAAGGTTTATTTGGTCTAAATTTACCTAGTCTATGTCATTCTCCTTTAAGACTGAGGACATCAAGACAAGAGTAGTTAAAGTAACTTTCAGGATTTCCAGGGAAATCTGGTTGCCAGTTTTAACAATGTCCAGGCCCAGACTCCCCAAGAGCAACACCTACGATCACCTCAGACTCCAGGAACCTCACACAGCCCCCAGAATGAAATAACCCCACCCAGCGCAGTCATTGCCTAGGAAACAAACTGCCCCTCGAGCCTTATGGCTTCCTCCAGAGCTGTGAAACCCACACATAGATAATGACCAGCTGGAACCTGCCCCACCTTGGCCAGTCCACAAGAGCTGGCCCTGTGCCCTTGTGACAGGCCATTCCAACCCTCGGCACCAGGGGGAGCTGCTCGAGCCAGAGTCCTCTTCCTCTGCTCCCTTCTTTTCTAACTCTGCCGAATACATCTGCCTAGGCCTCATACAGGCTTCATGGGAATTCTTTTTCTGAGATGAGAGTCAAGAATCTATTTGGCAGGGTAAAGTCGAAATACTCATCTCTCCTCTGACCCCGTCTGGTGACAGGAGGAGCAGGAAGGTGATGATTGTTTAGTATCGGGGGGCTACAGGACAGTGAACTTGTATTGAGTAAAACATCACTTCTTTCCACTTGCATATCCCCAGAAGCTGGCCTGGACTTGTGCAACAACTAATGAAGTAAGTAATCAATTAATGGAGGATCAGTAAAAGGCAACTGCAAAAAAAACAGAAAGTCTTAACTTCCATATCTAAGGGAAGAACACAGGAAAAGGAAAGAATGAAGAGACAGACTGAAAAAATAATGTGGGTTATTATTAAAAGTAACAGTATTAGGCCGGGTGTGGGGGTTCGCACCTGTAATCTCAGCACTGGAGAGGCTGAGGGAGGAAGATTGTGGCAGGTTTGAGACCAGCCTGGGCTACATGGTGAGTTCAAGGCCAGCTTGAACTATATAATGAGACTTTGTTTCAAAAAAGCCAAAAAGAAAGACAAAAAATGAAGAGTATATAGAGCTGCAGAAGGACACACACTGATGTTTACAATCACCATGAGAATCCATCAATAGGACATAGCTAAATCTGTGCCTCTGCACAGGAATGCAATGCTGTAATTAAAAGCATGCGGCAGACTGACCTATACAAGCATTGGAAATATGTCCAAGATACGAAAGTGTTGCTGCTGGGCATGGAGCCACATCCTGAGGCAGGACACTGGTGGGTTTGAGGTCAGTCTGAACTATACAGCACAACCATCTGAAAACAAATACAAATGTCAAAAAGGCAACTTGCAGAGCAGCAAGCAGATCAAGGTGCAAACTTTTTATTTTCTTTTTTGAGACAGGGTCTCACTATGTAGTTGAGATTGAACTGGAACTCACTATGTAGCCCAGGTTGGTCTCAAACTCACAGCAATCCTCCTGCCTCAGCCTCCTGAGTGCTGGGATTACAGTCGTGCACCACCGCACCCGGCTCTAAAAGCAAGCTTTTAAAAAATTACACAGAAATTATATGAAAATGAAATCATAGTGTTCTTACAGAGGCTAGAATTACAATGCATTTCACTTTATACATTATATAGTCTTGAATTCTGAAATAGATTCTTGTACACAAGGAAAAAGATAAATTAAAAAAAGAGAGAAAGAAAACATGAATTCAGACCTCGGAAGCCTACAAGGAACATTGAATAAAACAACATATTCATACAATGGCCTCTCTGCCCCTTCACAAGACTGGATATACAATTCCACAAGAATGTAAGTTTGAAAGAACAAGAAGCAAATATAGTGAAACCGACATGTTTTTAGTCACTTTAATACACTCACTTGTTGAGCGGGGAAAATTTCATTGCCTTTAATATTATCACAGAAAAGATTTTCTTCTTTAATTTTGATGTCACTTGTTAAAAAGATATTTCTTAGAAAAAGGTATAGGAGGATGGACGAAGTCTCTGCCAAAATATCTGAATGTAATCTGTGAAAGAAGCAAATGATATGACATGTAGAATGTAAGACTTACTTGGCCTTTGAACCCAGTTTGTCACATTCATTAATCTCAGTATCTACAACAGCAACAAAAACGTATGAAATAACTATTTGTATTCAGCTGCTTAAATTGAAATTTAAGGTTATCCTTACCAAGTCCACAGCTAAAAAAGGTAAGCTGCTGAACTATTACATCACAAACACAAAAAATAACTAGCACGAAAGGTTTCTGTTCTTATACATACAGCTATTTCAATCAATCAACAAAATCACTGTAGGATTGAAAAACGGGCCCAGTTTTTCAATTAATGAACTTTCTGGAAATCAGGGTCATTTACAGCAAATTCAGCTATGATTAAAGAAACAAAGACTTATTAACTCTTGGATTATTTCTAATTATCTTTTCTACGTTGCTCTTAACAGTGCCCACCATTTGCAAAGCTGGGAAATCTGCAGTCTTCTTTTCGTTTCCAATGTCCCTTCCCTTTCCCTTAGCTAGTGACAAACTCTCCATCTCCACAAAACAGGAAAAGATTCTCCACCAACGATTCATGTGCACAGATGACTACCACCATGTTAAACTCTGAACCTAACTTTGCCAGGGTAAATTTTGGATCATCACCACGCCAACTCATACTAAAATTTCCTCTTGTCCTTCCTGGTGACCTCCAGCACCTTGGACTCATGCACTGAGTGCAGTCTACTATTTCCTGCCTCCATTTCCTTCCTTACCCGGCTCAGTCTTTCCAAAAGTAACCTTTCCAGCACTTTAAGTTCTATTTCCTATTTACTTCATGCAATAATGAATTTGCCTGACCTTGCAGAGATGCCACCGTCTGATTTTTCTATCCTTGCCACAAAAATCACTTGTTCACTTTTTCTTTTTCATTCTCTCATTCATTCAAATTAGCATTTGCTAAATGCCTACGGTGGGCCAGGCATCATCCTAGGCCCTAAAATATAAAGATGAATCAATGGAGCCCTTAGTCATTAAGGTGCTCAACTTCCCTGCAGATTTGTGTTTATGGTATCAGCTGGACCATTAGTGTTTCTGAATAACGCATCCATTTTCCTCAGATGTCTTTTTGTTCAAATTCCTACAGAAAATGTTCTAACCCCCTCCTCAGCCCCAGCCTCTACCCTACACATTCTTACACGCTCCTAACTCTCCCATCATAGCATCCTCACCTTCTGAATTTTCCTGTATATTTAGTCACTCCCTCTCCACTGACTCCCTGCCCTCCATTCTCCAAAATTCTTCTCCTAATTCCTGTCTCTCTTTCAAGTTTCTGTTGCTTCCCTCTTCTCTTTACCACCCAGATTCCCATGACTTGTCTTTGCTTGTTCTCATTCTCCATTTTCATTTATTCCTTAGCCAAGAGTAAAACAGTTTCAGGCCCCTCTCCCCAGAGAAACGCTCATTTGAATTTACTGAGGCCTCCTGAGTGCTAACTCTAAACGCTTCTTATTTTTTATCCTTCTCAACTTTTTCTGTTGCATTTTATTGGACTTGACCTTGCACTAGAATCTGACCTGCCAGACCAGTCCCCCTGAAGATACTCTTAACTTCCCTTGGCAATTCCTTTTCCTGGATTTTTATTTCTTGGGCAGCCCTTTTTCGATATCCTTCCTTGGTTCCATCTCCTGCTTCTGCCCCTTCAATGTAAGCAGTGCTCAGGGTTTGTCCCAGCCTTTTATCTTTTCTGCTAAACAGTCATTCCCTGAGAGAGAGTGCTCCTTTTCAAGGTTTTAAGGATGACCTTGTAGACTACTTCCAAATCCCTACCTCTATGGCCTAGACTCCCTCCTGAATGTCAGCACTATCTGAATGCATCCATGGGTGTCTTCTGCCTACAGAGGCATCCAAAGTCAAAATATACTCACAATCAAATTCATTATCTTCCTCCAAATACAGGTGCCACCTCTCTTGTCCCCTTAGTAAATGTCACAGGCTTACCAGTCCATCAACAGTAGGAATCCCAGGCACTTTTCATTTCTTTCTCTCTTAACCCACCAGTTATATAAAATCCAAGTCCTTTCTCCCCTGCCTTCAAAATGCCTCTCGGGTCCTTCCCACAGCACCCAGCATCCTTGCAAGTGGTACGCACTAACTCTGCAATGGCTTAAATGAAACGGAATGAAACTTGTAATGCAAATGTGCATTATCTATACCTTGCTTCAACCGTCATTTGTATTTTTAAGCTCATCATCTTTGAGAAGTAAATGGTTTAGTCTTTTTATTAAAGAAATTTCAGGCATTAACAAAAAAGGGAGATTGTTGCTTTGAACTTTTTGTTACATCAGCCTGAAATTATACTAATGGTCATTTTGGAGACTGCTCTTAAACTTTGTTCCTTTAAAGAAAAACAGCAGTAAGGTCAAAAGATAGCCTGACACTTCATATGGCTTCCCCCAGCCTCTTTGTCGTTGCTGAGGGTTTAATCCTGGGAGTCTCTAAAGCAAAGGAAAAGCCTTTGTACTGTAACCCTAACATCCACCCATTGGATGCTACCTGACCTTCATCCCAACCTTATCTTGCTCTGTTATAAAAGTCTCCCAGGAATATTTGTGTTGTCTGGCATAGCTGATATCACTTTGGTTGCTGTTTGGCTATTTTTAGCCTTCACACACATCCTTTCACTGTTTTCTATAACTCTAGCAAGGACTCAAGATGTGGGGATGTATACACTCCTACTATAAGTCTGATAGAAATATTTGTACAAGGGCCATCTTATCATGAAATTGAAAATAAAACGTTCTCATCTTCACCAACCTAACATCTATATTTTTAGTAATGTACGTGAATGAATATCTTTAAACAATACGTCTGATTACCTTCTCTGTGTAATCATCATGACATTGCTTAATGAAACATAGGATTGTTCATCCTGAGATGGAGAAGCAACAAAATAATCCCAAACTGGGGAGAAAACTTTCTTAGCCAACTCATAGTGACCAATCTGATAGGCAACCTGCAACAAAAATAATATGATCTCATGCAAAATTTGTATTCGGGAGATGCATATTTTAGGCAAGCATCATGATAGGGTCCTATCACATGCAAATTTCACACATACTTATTCACATTTGCTACTCTGCTCAACAGAGCTACAGTGAGGGAAAGACAGCCACTGGCAAGGGAGACAGCACAAAATCCCTTTTATTTCTAAATTGCATGGAAATTTGAAACTCTATAAGGATGTTTCAAATCCTCATAAGCAAAACAAAGATCACATCTGAGCCAAATTAATTTCATTTTCATCTATCCTGGCAGAGCACTCCATTTATTATAGATACTGTTATAATGAACAATCTGTTCCAAGAGAAACAATCAGATTTCCCAGACTCAATATGTGAGATATACTTCATTCTTTTCCTGTTTTGACTGACACGCTCAGAGCTTTTGTGCAACAAAGAGTTCACCACTGATAAGAGTACAGAATAAGGCAGAAATGCTTTCTAAGAAGTCATGATCTTCGAAGTTTAACAAATTCAGTGTTAGGCAAAATAAATTATTCCACTGATGACAATTAGAAGCTCAAGAGAAAAAAAAAGTCATCAACTTACCTATTCCTTTTGGTAGAATATACTTATTTAAATATAATTCTAAAGATGATTCTATTAAATACATAAATAGCAGTATGAAATCTCACCAAAAGGGTTGTGTGATGTTTCAAATCCTTTACGAAAACAGTTAAAGAACCCTGTATGAATAAATTGATTGAACTGAGCATGTAAATGACTTGTTACTGGAATATTTTCTACTCAAAGGCTGGAATTTTTCTAATCTACCAAACAATTATTAATAATCAACCAACCAGTAAGCTTTTATGAAGTTTCTATTCTGTGCTAAGCACTGGAGGGGTAGCTTCTTCAAAGATGAGGAATAGGTTTATAGTCCATTCAACTGGAATCAAGGTAAAGGCATAAACCACAGGAAACCTCGGAAAAGCTACAAAGAATAACAAGATCATTGTGAAGGCTTTAGAAAAGGAGGATGGAGCCTTCAAAGGAGATACCAAGCTGAGTATCACAGGTTAGACAGAATCTGAGGAGAGACTGGAGAAATGGGTCTGAATTGGAAGAAAAATGGGTGACATGATGAGGACATTAAAATGGGTCATGATTTCTATCGAGGGGCCACGAGAGCCAGGTAGAACATGTTCACATGTCAACACTGGGCAGAGCACTTTCTGGGCACTGTCCTACTGACTCCATTACAGCCCTGAGACATGAGCTCGATTACCCTGCTGTGGACGAGAAAACTGAGGGCACTGAGAAATTGAGTTTCTATACACAGCCTGGTAAGAGTCCTATCATGGGAACACTTCATATATAGTAAAAGTAGCAGAGCCAAGTCTTAGACTGGTGAATAATGGATTTCTCTGGATTGCATCTGTCAAATAAGAGTTGGACTAGGTTGTCAGGCCACATAATGCTAAGATCTACCATGGAAAGTAACAGATGTTGTGTTAGAGGATGAATGAATCTGGAAGTGACTCTTCTTCGATCTTAAAATACTGTATATCTCTCCGAAACTAACATTATTGGTTCAATTAATAGATGCTGCAAAACAAGAAAAGATGCCATGATAAACGCTAAGATTCATAAACTCCAGGGGCCTTGTGGGTTTTTAACAAAGGAGTGCCCTGTCACAAGCATGTTCACAGATGGCTAACCTGGTAGTCTTGTGCAAAACAAATTTTAAGAGGGAGTGGAATTAAAATGAGAAAAAAGTACTAAAAGACTAATGAAATAATTAAGAACAAGAGATACCTCCACTCTTCCATATGGAGCTTTCACTTGACTTCCAGAACTATAGGTTCTCTTTTTACTTCAAACACCACATTCCTTTTGCTAGTTTCTCCTCTCTTTCTCACCTCTTGAAAATGATATGCCTCAGGGTTTATTCAGACTTTGGCTCTCTCCTTTTTTCCATCTACACTCATTTCATTTTCTCATTATCTCTTTCTTCCAAACATATCCAGGATCTGATCACTTCTCTTCACATCGACCACCAGCACACTGGCCAAACCACCTGCCTCTCTCACTGGATAGAAGCAAGAAATTGTGCTTTCTCCTTCACCCCTTACAGACTGTTCCCAACTTAACAACCAGGGTAACCCTTGAAGAACATAACTTACATTATGTCGTAGGGCTGCTCAAGATCAAGGTAAAAGCCAAAGTTCTTCCAATAGCCTTTATAGGGCCTGCGGAGTAGGACTGGGGAAAGCCTACGCCGGTGGCCGCTTGAAGGTTTAAATTCCTACAGGCACCAAAGGAGATGACGAGTTCATAGTCCTTTTTATGAGCCTCCCAGATAGGTGACCAAAGGGAAAGAGAGGTGAGATTTAAAAGCAAGTCACTGGTTAAACATCAAAATGAGGTCAGACTCTTCATTACATGGGGTGGGCCAATTAGACTTTCCAATCAAGACTAGAATCTCGATTACAAATTCCTAGAAAGCCGGCTAGCTGGTCTCTGTGACTGAACTTGAGGAACATGTAAGAATTCAGGAACCCCATATTTTTCCTCCATAGATACAGAAGGAAAGAAAGTCAATCTTTAGAGAGAGAAAAAGAAAGAAGATGTATAGAGAGGACTAAGCCAGGCTGGTTCCTGGCTACATCAGGATCTTGGCTGAATGCATACATCAAAATTTCCTAAGCAAAGGCTACTCTTGTGGTGATGAGATAAATACAAAAGACATTTCACAGGAAGGAGAACCTGGACACTGACAAAATAATTCACCAATAAACAGATGAGTAGAGTATAATAATATTCAGTTAAAGAGGATGAAAGATAAAAGAATGGAAATTTCTTAAAGAGGGGATCATGATCTTTTACCCATAATTCTGGGGATTTTTCAAGTTTGAAGTCATAAACAAAATGTAAATCTTGATGAACCAAAGAGTTTTAATGAAATGATCTATGAAGTAGACTGCGTGTCTGGACTGCATCTCCCTTGTTCCTGCCAGTCCTGTAACTGCTGACAAAGTATTTGTGCGCCACTAACTCTGATCAGGATGACCAGCTGACTGACTCAAATCCAGGCAGAGAGCAAAATAAAATTGGTAGGGGAAAGAGGTGCAGAGAGTAGAGGGAAAGAGCAAGGTGCCAACGAGAAGACACAGAACAGAGGATGGCAGGACACAGGTAGCACATGCGAAGCATCCAATACTTGATTTCCTAGAGCTGGACAGACTAGCAGAAAGACACAAGCTGGTCCAAGTTAACCACCTGCTATGGAAGGAACCCTGAGGGAATTTTTTTTACCTGCATAACACACTCTTTCTAGAATATAGTGGGACTGGCAGGAAAAGGATCAAAGTCATCTGTTTTCCTAACTTTAAAATGAAAGTAATCGTATCACCACATAGAGTTACTGTAATGGGTGGAATCATGGATTTTTAAAGTTTTGTTTTCTTTATAATTGGCAAGTAACAATCATTTATGTTTTTAGGGCACAATGTGATGCTTTGATAAATGTATATACATTGTGGAGTTATCAGATTAGGCTAATCAGCATGTCTCATCTCAGATACCATCGCTTTGTGGTGAGGACATTTAAAATCCTCATTTTTAGGGCCTGGGATTTAGCTCAGTGACACTGCATTTGCCTGGCAAGTACGAGGTCCTGAGTTCAACTGCCTATACCAAAAAAAAAAAAAGAAAGAAAAAAAGAAAAAGAAAAAGATGCTGGAGAAGTTGTGCAGAAAAAAAACCTCCGCTGCTGGTGGGAATGTAGACTGGTGCAACCCACTATGGAAATCAGTATGGAGATACCTCAAAAAAGTAGGACCAGAGGTCCCATTTGACCCAGCTCTTCCCCTGCTGGGTATCTTCCCATAAAAATTAAAAGAATCATGACTCAGGAATATATGCGCACCCATGTTTATAGTGGCATAGTTTGTAATAGCTAAAACTTGGAAACAGCCCAAGTGCCCATCAACTGGAGACAGGATAAAGAAGATGGGTTTTTTATAAAATGGAGCACTACTCAGACATAAAGAATGAGGAACTAGACACATTTATACCTAAGTGGATTCACATTGAGGCCATACTGTCAAGTGAGATAAATAAGACACACGTGTAAATACCAAATATTTTCTCTGGTGTGAGAATCTGAAAATATAAATAAGGATCAAAATGTATAATAGGTGACATCAAATAGGAAGAAAAGGTCCAAAGGGGAAGGAGAAGTGGAAGGGGGAGGGGAAAGGAAGGAAGGAAAGGAATAAATATGAGAAAAGGAAAAAATGGAAACAAAGTTTTTACATACACTGAAGGGTGGGGGGTGAAGGGTGGGAAGGGGAATGGGAAAAAAATAAGAACCAACACACATCATGTAAAGGTACAAATTCTCAAAGATAAATGTCATCATATTGTATACCTAAAATGTATCAATAAACAACAAATTTTAAAATCCTCACTTTAACCATTTAAAGATATTAAATATATTATTATTAGCTCTAGTCACTGTTTGGTACCACAGACCACCAAAACATACTCATAACTAAATTTACATCCATCGACCAACTGTAAATGTGCCCCTGTGCTTATCTACCCCAACCCCAGTCTCCTGACAGATATCATTCTACTCTCTACTTCTAGGAGCTTATCTTTTTTAAGTTTCATGCCTAAGTGAGATCATACAGTATCTGTCTGTCCGTGACAGGCTTATGGTTTATTTCTCCTAAGGTCCTCTGGGTTCATCCGCAGATTCCTGCTCTTTAAGGCTGAACAGCACTCTACTGTATACTTATCATCAGAGAAATGCCAGTTAAAACCCCAGTGAGATATCACCTCACATTAACGATGACCAGAACAGCGAATTAGGGATGCCTGGCACACCACTGTGCTCATCCACTGTTTGATTTGAGAACTCAATAGTCCAACAGAAGAGGGTATTTGGTCTTTACAGACATGAAAAATGGGATGAAACAACTTTTCTAAAATCGCCATCTCTACAGTCAAGACTTGAATTCCACTCACAGATTTCTACTTTTCTATATTTTATACCACATTATCTAGCCATTCCCAACATAAAGAAGAAAAACAAAACGAAATAAAACCAAAAGGGAAGGGAAATATTCGCAAAAAGAATGTAATTCCAAAATATTTGTAAAAAAATTTTTCCAGACAGATTAAATTTCTAGTTTTTTTATGTTAGTGGAAAAACCTGTCAAAGATTCTGCTGACTTTTTTAATGACTTTAGACTAGTGCTGAGAAAAAGTTCAATGTAAAATCCCAAAACCAAGCTAATCACACACATTTATTGAAGATCTCCATATTCTACTATAAAATAGCTATGCCACTATGTTTTGAAGAACAAAATTGTCCTCAAACTAAAAATTAACCATCCTGATGAAAATTAGACTTCACTTCCCAAAATCAGGTATATTACATTAGAATTTAAAAGCTTAACTTAAGTTATAAATTAAAGGGGATTAATAAATGAGAAAGTTTTAAACACTCAACATTATTAAAAAGAATGCCTATAAACTGTAACAAATGAACACCATAACTGCAAGTATATTATCAATAAAGGAATACAGGTCATTACTTCATGAAACTTTTCTTTATCTCAGTGTATCGCTTGGACTTAGTTTTATTAACTTTCAATCTAAGTTCTGCCAAATGGAATTCAAGAGTCAAACCAGTCCCTGGAGAAAAATTAGGCTTTGATGAAATATTCAGTTCCTCACAATAACTCTATCACTGCAAACTGGGGAATGTATGAAGTTCCAAAGAAATCAAAATACCAGGATACCGTGAGCCAATCTGACATGCTAAACCAATGCTAGACAAATCCTAGCAATTCTCTCAATTTAATTTTCTTTGAAAAATATGATAATATAAAATGCCACTGAGATCTAAGCTTATAATACTGATCAACTATTATGAGAAAAAAATAGCGTGGTAGAAATATGATGTAATTTAGAAGAACCATAAGATCTACAGCCAACAATGCCCTTAAAATTAGATGTTCAAGACCTAGGTTAAAGTCATTTTAGTGTCCTCCTCAGTGGTGACATGTTTTAAATCAGACAACAGTGTCTACTATGCGATAGAAGAGATGGCAAAACATTTGCTACGCATAATTCCATTTAATACTCATATTATCCCGAGAGGTACTTCTATTATAATAGTTCAATTTTTATTTCTACTTCACAGATGAAAATTCTTTCCTCAGTATCACATGGCTACTGTTAGGAGCTATAATTTGAACTCAAGTCTGTCTTTATTGACCTAGAAAGTGCCTGTCTCTGAATTCATCCTAAGAAAGTAATCACGAATACAAGTACAGATTTGTAGACAATGGCATGCATCATACCTTCTTCATAAGAGCAAAAGACTACAAAGTAACTAAATGACCGGCAAGGAAAAATTACTAAGTAAACTATGATATACCTGTAAAATTCAATGCCGTAGAGTTATTTTGGAAGAATTTCCAATAGAATGAACAAATGTCAATTATGTATTAAATTAAAATATCAAGTTATAAAATATCATGTATATCATAATTAAAAGAGCACACTATACATGAATTCATAGATGCATATGTGTAGTTTACATACATATAAAATGTAGTTTATCAGCATCTCTGGCCTCTACTCACTGGACACCAGCAGCACCCTGCTAGGTGGTGACAATGTTTCCAGACATTAGCAAAATTGCTCTGAAGTTAGTAAGAACTGCTATTCTGTAACATATTAGACATTTTTTAAAAAATATTTCTCCTATATGTATTTCAGTAATTTCCAAGATTACTACAATTACTATGTGTTATATTTGTAATCTGGGAGGGGATGTTATAAAAAAGCAGACTCATTGATAGAAAAAAAATGATTCGTATTTGAAGAGACTAAAGTGCAGTCGTGAAAATGTGTCACATGAGCTTTGGAATATCTGCCGTGATGTTCTTCCATCAGAAGTTAGTTAGCAAATTCTTTTTTTTTTTTTTTTTTTTTTAACACCGGGGATTGAACTCGGGTCCTTGCGCTTGCAAGGCAGGCCACCGAACCGCTGAGCTAAGTCCCCAGCCATTTTTTTTTTTTTTTTTTAGGAAATTCTTAACAACAACAAAAAAAGTAGAAAACTTGCAGAATTCTCCTCTACCTGTGTCAGATACATCCGAGCAGTAACAGCAGAAAGAGATGGATAAACCAGAATCGGCTTCGTTGTCTCCCCAACTGCATTGCCGACGAGCTTCCCATCAGAAGAATAAGCAGCAATTGCAAATATGTATTTTTCATTAGCTTCTAAACCTTTCACTTCAAAAATGCTTTTACCATCAGCTGGTATCTATTAACAAAAACAGTTCGAGTTATGCGTGGAAAATTAAAATAATGTGACTTTTAAAAATAGAATGAGGTAAAGATTGTATGTAAAAATACTCTCCCCGCTGGATTTTAGTTATGACTCAAGTTGAAGTTAGAGTGGATTCACTGAAATAAGGACTTCAATAAGGAAAAAACCTATTTGTCTTTAATGGGGCTTTGGTAAGGTTTTTTTTGTTTTTTTGATTTTTTTTGTGTGTATGTGACATTTAACTGGACGTACCGCTTCTCCTGAGTTTGGGAGATGATTATTGTTTAGTCTCACTTTTCCATAACTCCCTTCTGCTTTACAACCCAAAATGCAGTACCAGGACACCTGCCAGGAAGAGAGATGAGGATGTCACCTGTAGTCTGCACAAAAATCATTTGATTTCTTTTGTCTCAATGTAGCAAAAGAAATGCTTTTATAAATAAAAAGGTAACATTAAAGTTTTAAAACTTGAAATCTAGGTTTATAAAGAAATTGGAGTGTAATCTTACAAAAGCAAAGACAAATACAGTACATGGTGAGCTTACCTAGGACAGTCAAGGCTAAACTTTATTCTCTATTAATTATTCTCACTGACATTAGGTGGATGGTTCTTCTGTGCTAAGCATCTTAGGAAACTAACAGAGACTTTCTAATGCTCCCAGGATCCCTAGGAGATGTGATTACGGTTGTCATGGGAAACAGAGAGACACTGAGATGCTAAATAACTACCTCAAAACAAAGAGTGGCAGAAGCTGCCTCCAAAGATGACTTAATCTTCATGGACTCAAGAATGATTTGATGGAAGAAAGAGCCTCACTGAAATAATGTTCATATTTGGTCACAATAATAGATGACCAAAAAGCAAGCAGAAAAAGAAGCGAGATAGTGTAGTGTATAAAATGAAACGTAGGGCCTTGCAAGCGCAAGGACCCAAGTTCAATCCCCGGTACCGAAACATAAATAAATAATAAAATGAAATGTAAGGATGGGGATTTAGCTCAGGGGTTCCACCGCCTGCCTCGCAAGAGCAAGGACCTGAGTTTGAGCCCCAGTATTAATGAAAGAATGAATAAATAAAATGAAATGTAAATACATATATCCAGAAGAAGAGGCTCCTATATAAGAAAGGTAGAGTTTGCATGACAGAATGGTAAGATGACAAATCATTTTTTTCTCCAGTTTACAGCTGCCTGAACCACAACAGTACCTCGCTAATTTTAAATATAGACATACTCCAAACATAAGGTACAAAGCCCACAGAAACAACCAAACTTAACCTTGACTAAACAGTTAGACGATGGGTCTTCTGCCAAGATGTCAAAATAATGGAGATACATTATCAGAATGAACCATATTCTCACAGTGGGGAAAAGGGGGCCCAGATGACGCCACAGGGAGTGGTATTATGAACAAGCCATACTGTTGGGGTGTCGCGGGTCATCATCGCTGTGGCAAACCCTCCTCCCAGGCAATTCCCAAACTACAAGGAAAGCAGGAAAGAAGGGAAAATGTAATTGTCTCTAAGAAGCAAGTGCCTCATACAACTTGGGCTTTCTCCAACTTCCTCCAGGCCAACAGAAAAATTCTAATAGGGTCAAATCTACAAGAGTGGGTCTCAAGCATGCCTGTACATCAGAACTGCTTTTTAAAAACACAGTTTACACAGAATCACCAGTTTTCTTAAAATGCTTCCACAAATTAAAATTTCTCATACAAGTATCTGGGCTTCGTGTTTCCAAAGAAAATTTCTCAGGGGACTATGAAGACTAGTCAAAGGCAGGAGAACTCCAACGACAGAGAGAACCTTGAAGAAACCTGGAAGCTGGAGTCCAGGGGGAAAAACAGAGGAGGCTTAGGGGAAAAACTGGAGTTAACTTCCCTTGATTTCCCATGGGGGGGGACAATGGGGGCCGCGGGGGAGGGGGGGAAAGGCTACATTATATGACTTTGATTGTTATACTATGAATTATACCACATAAACCAGAATTTGGAGGATAAAATCATCTCTAAAAGCATTTTTACAAGCACTTTCATATTTTTACTTTGCTCTACTGATGGAAACATCTCAGTCTGACTAACTCTTAAGGAGCATGTGTAATTAGAATCTACGTAAGCACAGAAACATCATGAACAAATCACTAACTTTGGAAGTAAGATTTGATAAGTAATGTAAATAATATTAATATATTTTCAACTTTGGAAACAGATTTTAATGAAACAAATGCCTTAACAGGAGGTTCTGAGACAAAAGATGGCTGAAACCACAAAGCAGAAATGTATTCAAGCCCATAGCACCACCTAGTGTTCATGAGTAGGAACCACTAAGCGCGCTGTCCTGGAACAACTCATTGACAGCAACTTCTTACCATGTGCCAACTGACAAGGACTATAGCACTGCAGATCAAATATGCAGACATGCCTTCTGATTTCCAAACATCATAAAACAAAAGACACAGTCACTGGATTGAAATACATAAAAAAAATAGCATTTGGCTAAGTAAATCAAAATATTTGAAAACAAACAAAAATGTGGTAAATAGGGCCGGGGATTTAGCTCAGTGGTTCCAGAGCCTGCATCAGAAGGGCAAGGGTCTGAGTTCAATCCCTGGTACAAAACAAACAAACAAACAAATAAATAAATAAAATGGTAAATCATCTTGTTTACATTCTGTACTTTTTTTTTTTTTTCAGAAATCAGTGAAGCCATACTCTTAAACAGATTCTAAAACATTCAAAGTTGAACCGTACAGCGGCTCTCAGTAGAAGTAAGACATTTATTATAGCGCAGTGGGTATAAGGCGCTAAATCTGGTTCCACAAATTAGACATACAGGAAAAGTGGTGAAGGCTTCTGACGCATGTCCCTGTCCCCTTAGTCTGGAGTTCCTTCAAGAATGGAACCACATTTCATCCATTTTTTTTTCTTTTTTTTTTTTTTATTGAGGTTATTGGTACAATCTAGGTATACAATACAATTACATTCATCATTGGGATTCTGTACCTTTACATAATAGGTCTTGATTCTCATTTTTCCCCTTGTCCCTGTCCTCCATTCACCCCCTCCTACCCTCCCCATTTACAAACACTTTATTTCCATTTTTTTCAGTTTCTCATACTTTTTTCCTCTCCCTTATTACCTTTCCCCCACCCTTCCCACTTTCCTTACACCTTTAGCCCTTTACTTCCTATTTCACATTATTAATTATCTCATTCCATTTTTAACCGTAGGCCTTAACTGCCTGCTATGGGGCTTGACAGATTACGGACACTCATTAAACGCTCATCGGGTGGAATTAATGAAAAAAAATCACCAAATAATGTAATCTTGGTCTATAACTCCATTTGTTTTGATAAACTTTACTATGTATGTTCAACACAGTTAGCGATGAGACATCTGTTAATTTGCCAAGAGTATTACACATTAATTCATTTTATTTTTAGTTAACATGATTTACAAATTTAAAAAACCCAGAAAATGTGTTGTCTTCCTAAAGTGATCCTGCTAGTAATGAGTGGAGCTAGAAGTTTAAAGCCAAATGTACTCAACTTCAAAAGTCTTTGTATGCAATGTGAAACAGGAAGAAAAGAGCTAAAGGTGTAGGGAAAGTGGGAAAGGTAATAAGGGAAAAGAAAAAAATGTGAGAAAATGGAAATAAAGTATTTGTGAATAGGGAAGGGAGGAGGGGGTGAAGGGAGGGCAGGGATAAGGGGAAAAAATGAGAACCAAGGCCTGTCATGTAAAGGTACAAGATCCCAATGATGAATGTAACTGTACTGTCTACCTAAAATGTACAAAAAAACTCAATGAGGAAAAAAAAAAGTATTTGTATGCAAAATACCCTAAAGCAAGTCAAAGATACAATTTTTATTTCTGTACACAACATCAAAGAGCATGTTGTTGGTCATTCAAAAGAGGAAAATGCGATATTTAAAATATAAATTAGGTGGAACCAAATTCCTGTTAGGACACATTGTCAAATTTTAGTCACATTTAGACCAAGTTCCAAGGCATTAGGGAAGCCAGGAAAGTCTCATCCTAATAAGTAAGTAAAGATTTATGGTGTCCTACATCCCAGGTGGCTAGAATTGACACTTGTGTTGAAGGAATCCCCATTTACTTGGAAGAACTGGAAAGAACCTCCACACCCCACTGCCTCATGCCCATCGACAGCTCTGAGGGGTCTTCTTCCTCTCCAGCTGTCACCCCCTCACTGAGGCCATCAGAGCAAGCTCAACCGTAGGGAGTAAGGATTCAATTCCATCACAGTGACAAAGGTGTTCCAGGAGAGCTACTCTGCCACTGTGTCTCCTTTCTGTGTATCAGGGTAGGGAACCCTTATGCAGAATATCCCACAAATGGCACAAAGGGAGACATCACGAAGAAGCCAAGACATTAGAATACTAATCTGCTGCTTTGTGCTCATCATGAGGACCAGTCGGATTCAAAAAGCAATCAAAGTATGACTTGTGACAGTCATAAAAGTATTTACACTGTTTTGCAAGAGGCAAAGATCACACTGGGCGCCATACCTCAGCATCTGAAATAAATGGAGCAGGTTTGAGGGTCACGGAGCAGTGAGTTCTGGATAGCAGGATAGGTGGAGGAGGGAGTCTGCTTTTCTTTATTTTTGAACTTTGCAAATACTTCTGATATGAATACAATGCATTTTGTTCTGCCTCAGTCTTCTCAATTAAAGAGTATGCTTCCTATAATGAAATGTGAAACAGAAAAATACATCTCAAGAGTTTGAATTTCCTTTGTATTTGTAGAATATTAAGTAACATTATCTTTAAAATATAACATTATCTTTCTATATGTAGTTTATTGAGTCTCAGAGGCGCGCATGCGCGCGCACACACACACACACACACACACACACACACACACACACATATATATATAATATAATATATATCTTTGACTGATTTGGCAGGAGTGCACGCGCACACACACACACACACACACATATATATATAATATAATATATATCTTTGACTGATTTGGCAGGATTAGAAAGTGGTTATTACATAGGCTAAGCACGATCACCAATGCCATCATACTTGTATGTTTAAAGGTAATTATCATAAATTAAGACAAGACATTTATCTTTAAATCAAACCCTCTGCATACCTACCACCATATATAACTAAGCTTTAGAAGCTCATAATATCATGTACATTTATACTGATGAATCATACACCTACCGTTATGTAGCTTGAAGTGTGACTACCAGCAATAAGGCTGTTGGCATACAATATGTGGCTTGGGAAATGAATATTATTAGGAGTTTTGCCTATCAGCAAGATGAGGTAAGTTAGAGAAAAAAAATAATATGCCATAAGCGTGAGGGAAAGGTAATCATTTTTTAAAGGTTATACACAGAGGCAATACATAAAACAGAAGATAAAAATCGGATCTAATAATATTTCAAAAGCAAGGCTAAATATATCAGCAGTGGTATGTAAATTTCTCAAAACTACTTAACACATAGGAACTGCTCAATTAATAGTAGTTAAAATAATTTAAAATACTGTTCTAGTCTTGATAGCTTCAAGTAAATAAGCTTTATATTTGTTTTTACTTTTCTAAGATATTTGAACATTTTAACTGATTTTTTTAAAACTCCATAAATTATATTTATTATTTTCTTCTCAGCACTAGAAATGTTCATTTTAGTTAGTAGCAAACATACTTCAAATGGCCCCAAAACAGCACTCTTGCTGTTAATAACGAAGCACTAAAAGAAATATTAATAAAACCTAGGAGACAGAATTCCATCTTGTTGAGGAAGTTCTACCCAACTTAACAAACACAGAAAAAGGGACCCTAGACGTGAGAAAGCAATATGTCTCCCTACCAAATTCCAAATGTATTTCACTCTGTACAAAACCTGCACTGTTCCCCCTGTAGGAGACATGGTGAGCTTGAAGTTTCCATTTGGAAATCTGGTACTCACACGCCAAAGAGAAAATGTGACTGGAGACAGGACCTGAGCCTGCCTGGGAGAAATATTCAAAGCCTAGGGGTAAACCAGTCCCTGGTACAAGTGCAGATCAAGTACCGTACACTTTTTCCTAAAATAATGAAACTCGGCCTAAATTGAGATTACAATTAACTTCTCGTTTTTATCTTTTATTGGAATTTTCTGACATCAAGATCTAAAACCATCCATCCTAATTGCAATGTCATCTGCAATGATAATTTTTTAAATTCTACTTGTTCTGTGTCAGGAGACTTTGGAAAACATTTCTTCATTTGTTGGTTAAGAATCTTATCTATCTTCAGGGACACTTGCTTTTTCATGCCTCATATGATAACTAAGTTTCTGCAATCCACATGCCGAAGACATTAGGTGTTTAGACCCAAAGCTAATTTACATGCACATATCAGGTGTGCACCGTAAGAATTCAACCATTAAATGAATGGGTCAGTCTATCAATCAAGGACATGGTATGGCATCTGTCCTTCCTCATCTTTACTTCTCTGCTCATTCAATCAAACAGTGAAAGGAAAGGAAAGTAGAAAATTAATTTTTAAAATGGAAAAATGGGTCTGGTCGAGATGCTGAGCAAGAGGTGTCAGAAAAGACTGAACAGCCAAGGCCCTGAAGAAACACCCAACACACAACCAGGTGGAAGCTCATTCACCTCTCTGCCCTCTACCATGGACAGCAGAGGCGCCTGCAGAGCCTGATTCCAGGAAGGCCAACCAAAGGTGAGAATCCAGACGCAGCAGAGTCGGAGCCATAGAAGTGAAGAGCATTTACCAGGTAACAGTGGGCAAACCCGAGGAAGGAAATGCCAAGATGGACAGAGAAGAGACAAAAAGACAGGAAAGGGTGACAATGATGCCAATGTAGCAACATCTGCAGCCCAAGCTGGGGTGCTTCAGATTACACAGAAACAGGTTAAATCGAAGGAAGACGACTAATACTTTGAAATGTTGGAGTCATTTCCTTCAGCTAGATCATGTTTGGAGCATGGAAGATAAATCAGCAGCAGGTCCTGATCTTAGCACAGGTTGCCTTTGACCTCATCTCCGTTCACCAGACCATGGCCCTGGGACCCCTACATTTAACCCCCAATCTGCATTGACAGTTGGTGCTCAAGTGAGCCAGCTGAACCCGAGCTTCTTCTGACCTAGCATCCTTTCTCTGTGCATCAAAACCTTCCTCCTTTCCGTGTCACACAGAGGGGCTTTTCCAGGCTGGTTATTTATCGCACTCCGAACTGCGGAGCTTGTTTTAGAATGCAAGCTGTTTTGTTACCAACCCAAACTACAAATCCCCAGGGGTGGGGCTTGCACACCTGTATTCTTAGCACACGCCAAGGGCAATTCTGCAGTATGAGGAGGACTGAGAACCACTGTTTAGATGAGTAAATCTGCCCTTCCTTCAGGGTCTAGTCCCATCACTCTCTGGTCTTCTTGCCCTTCAGCAGCTCTTCCCATACTTGCTAAATAAAGGGCAAACTTCTCCACGGGCCTTTTCCTCATTCTGATCACAGCCATATTTTCTAGCCTTATCTTCCTTTTCTACTCGCTCTCTCATATGTACCTCTTTACCTTGTGACAAGAATGTCCATACCCCCTAAACAATGACTGTCTTGGTGGTAGGCGCAGTCCTTTATCTCTTTGGGTTCAGTCAATGGATTTTGAATGAAAGACATACTAAACTATGACAGGGGAGGTTGACCTTTACTGTAGCACGCTTTATTAGTACATTTAAAATGTTCCGATTGGATCTGAATTTTAGCTTCAGCTCTGTAACTCAGATCCCCTGGCCCAATTCGAAATAGGTTATCAGAAGAAGTCAAGATTTAAATGAAAGGTATTGAAAGAAGTCTAAAACAAAGCCCTTGGCCTTGTTAAATCAGATAAATTCTAAAATAGAATTCAAGGCAACCCCTAATGCTAGCTAAAAATTAAGAATGCTGAATTTGTGAGGTGAATCACTGACCGGCAAGTAAGATTTCATTTATGAGACATTAACTGAGGATTTTAAAAGGGGATTCTTCAACCAGAAGGGAGCAGATAACATTTAAAATTAGGACTGAAAAGTTCTCATGAGACCAGCTCTGCTCAATCTTGAGAGGGTTTCAACAATAAGGATATGAGTGTTGTGTAGAATGACAGGTGCTCTGAAAGGACCGCAACTGCAAAATCTAGACAGCCATTCTCTCGTCAGAGGTGAAGATGAAGTGGGTTTCCACGAATATCATATAATGGAAGATAACAACTTCACTTCCTCCTCTATCTAACGCAGTCGTAGCAAATTAGAAGGGCTCACTAACCTTGAAGGAAGAACAAAAAACACCCTTTATCTATCACAGAAAGATTCAGCCCAGGAACCTCGGTGGAAAGGGCCGTCTACCCCAGTCCTCATGGGAAGTAAGTTCTGAGTACTTGTTCAATGCTGGCGTGTGCCCAAAGTGCTGCAAAACAACTGAAGTCCAAAGTCTTTTTGTCTGTATGTAAATTTCGTTGCCTGTAGTTTCCATCAGAGAAAATGAGACCTGCCTATTTTCAGGAGCTACCCAGTGCTTCTGAAGAGAGGTTGATAGTAAATACATTTGACACAGGCTTGACACCCACGGTGCAGCACAACTCTAATGGAAAGATGTAATGTGATCTTGAGGGCATGATTAAGATGTATGTAAACAACTACCACAAGACTGGAATGATAAAGTAGCGTATTTACTACTTATCTAGTGGGCCTCCCCTGGGTAAATCTGGATTCTTAATAGGATGATGTACACTGCAGAAGAAAACGAGAAGTAGATTAAGCCATAGCCAAGAATCCTGGAAGGAATTGTCACTGAGGATAAAATACAAAACGTGTAAGATAAGCCTAAGATAAAACATACAAAAATATGAGAGCTTGTAAAGAGAAATATAACTAAAGCAACAGAAAATAGACTCAGAGTGCTTAAGTGAAAGACAGCAAAACTAAAAGGAAAATGGCTAACATATAGTGACTTATTCCGTACCTAAAACTAAGCATTGTATATGCATCTTTTCGACTCTTCCCAAGAACCCCCAGTTTACAAATGAAGAAATTAAAACTCACAAGAGCAGAAACGTCCTGCACAGTTAATCAGCAACAGAACCAGAGCCTTATCCCAAACCTTTATAGTCCTAACCACTATGCTCTCTTGTCCTAATACCAAGCTAAGTTAAAAGAAACATGGAAAGACAACCTAGATGATGACTTCCATGCTTTTTCTTTAAATCACTTGAATCTTAACACGTAAAGTGTTAAAATCCTTGGTCAGTAGTTTGAAACCTGGGGGATAACGTGACCTTATCAGAGAAAGAGAAAGGCTTGTTCTTGTTAAATATTTATTTACTTTAATTAGTACCTGCATGGAGTACATAATGATTACATTTATCACAGGGACTTGGTAAAGTACACAACACATCTTAGTTCTGTTTTTGTCCTCTTCCTTTCCCACTCCTCCCCCTGCTCCCTACAACTCTTAGCGCCCTTCACATTTGCTTCACAAATAGTGAATTTGCTTCACAAAAGCGCTATTTCCATTTTTTTCTTTAGTTCTCTCTCTCTTTTTTTCCATCCCTTTTAGGCTTACTCTTTTATAAGTAAGAGTTTAGCATAGAACAATTAAAAAGCTGAGAAGATCTCTGAGAAAAAAATAATTCATATATATTCTCCTCCACTTCCCAAAAAAGCAAACAGGATTGATTTGAAATGCTACAAAACAGGAAAAATAATTAAATCTAATTACAGCTAGCATAGTTAGCAGAATGATTTTTAGGGGACACCAACATGTAAATTTGGGAAATATTAAAGCCAGGAGTTATTAGAACGTCCAGTAACTCTGGGCTTCATTGTTAATTTTAACTTCAAATTGGGACTATACTGTTACATGTTGTATCATTTATTAAGAAAATTAGCCAGGCGTACTAGTACACACCTGTAATCCCAGAACTCAGGAGCCTGAGGTGGGAGGATCGCCAAGAGTTCAAGGCCAGCCCCGGCTACATAGTGAGTTCAAGCCAGCCTGAACTACAAAGCAAGACCCTGTCTCAACCATAAGTGCTCTTTTAAGTAGAGCAGAGGTACTGTTACCAAATTTGGAATTGTTAAAATCATCTCAATTGCTGACTTGATTAGATTGTATCAAAAAGTATTGTAGGGGGTGAGGGAGGAGCTAGATACAACATTCAGTTTCTCTGCAACAGAAACCACTACAAAACCAGGTCTGGACCATAGCGGCCCAAAAATAGCATAATATGATCAGGGCACGGGCATTAGAATGAATAAAATACCAAGCTACCATTCCTTAGAGTCAGACAAACTTCCCTTTGGCTATTACTTTTCTACTGGGTGCATGACTGAGGTTTTGGTCTTTTCATCTCTCTCCTGAAGATTCATATTCCAAGGATTGAGTGATCAATTAGCCTCTTCAGCACCACTAGAATTCCGTGGGGAACCAGTTCCGCCTGACTATATCAAATGGGGAAGAAGAAATTCTTCTGTACGGAAAACTACAGTTTAGAAGTCGTCCCTGGAAACCCTTAGCCCTAGGATTGAGAATTTCTGCCTCTTTCCAGGAGAAAATTCCACTTGTGAAGATGCTGAATGTCCCCGCTCGTGGACTCCC